TTGTGTTGCACTTACTTCGTGCCGCCTGGTACAGATCCTTCACTTCCTTAATGAGTGACTTGATGGAAGAATTCGTCTGGTCTAACTCCTTTTCATGGGCATGTAGTTTCTCCCGAAAGTAAGGACTGTCAGTAAGACAGTCCTTAAACTCAAGTGGCATCAGACCCATTGTGGTTATATCATATTACCAGCCAATAACCGACACATCACAACACTATCACAATAACGCAGCGCAAGACACACACGTCTACTCTCACCAGAGAATTTTCTCTAACTGGCTACACTCGTGTGACTCGTGTCAACTTTGATCATCTGAAATAAATATCTTTTGAATAGATTTCTAAAATCGTTTTGAAAATATTTAATAATACTGAATATTATAAATATTACATTTAGTCTTTATTTATTTAATATATTTGATGCGCTTTTGTTTTAAAATCGACGACCGTTAGAATGTTTCGAGAGTCTATACTTACTTAACCCACAGCAGCGAGCCACTTGTTGCTCCGTTTTCTGTGAGGAGGCGCAGGATAAACTTCAACATAATAGATAAATTGACAGTTATGCACAGTAAAATCGTCATATAAGTTAACATTGGTTCATGGTGTACATAGAGTGCTGGAATAGTAAATAGTAAGTATCAAATCAAGAAAAATCCAAGAGAGCAGCTAGAACAGTGGCAGTACAAGTGACATTTACAAACAAAATATTTGCTTGCATCAGCCGCACTGCCAGAAAAACATGTCTTGAATTACGTTTGAAGGACTGACTATACTGTAATCAATTAATCTTAATTGGAGGCTCAAATTTAAAAAAATATATAGGTTCAAACATCTGAAAGCGGCTGAACCTCGACTAAACCAAAAGCTTTAATTAAGAAATAGTGTTAATTCTTCGAAGATAATGAAGGTAAAAAAAAGTATGAATTACCTCTCAATAAATGTCACTACTAAGTTTTTTTCTCTACGTGAAACTGTGACTACAATGTATATACTTGAATTGTCTACAGTATATACTGTACTGTACAGTATATACGTAAATTAATGTCTGGTATTGTCCTCATGTATGTCTTCAATTTATGTATATGTCTGCGTATAAGAAGAGATATTGTAAGCACGGTAAATCTTCTGTTCAAATCACTACTGAGAAAAATTGATTGACAAATTGCGTTGTAATGAAGCAGCACAGAATAAACACGAGAGTCAGACAAGGCCTGGCATCACGGGGTCTCGGCTAACTTTAGTCACAAGAATGTAAATATAATCCTTCTGGAGTGACCACAACACTCAATATCAGGTTCACCTTGACACATAACAGCAATTTGTTTCTTGTTTAACCTGTTTTATTGTGCCGTAAATTTTGTTAGGTTTATGTATCAGGGGCGGATCCAGGAGTATCAAAAAGGAGGGACGGGGGGAACATGGCGTGCACAGCGAGTCCACTCCGGCCTTCTTTTTTTTTTTTTGAGGGAGGCGCTTTAAGCCCCCATTTTTTTTTAAATCTTACCAGTATCATGGACATTTTGAAGCCATGTGCAATTGATATAAGGAGATATTCTGAGGTCAATAGTAATTACTTTTTACTATATAAAAACGCATTAAAGAAAAAGTACCTGTATTTAAATTTTCTGGTAAAAAGAGGGGAGGTCCAGACCCCACTTTGATCTGCTCTTGTGTATACTGTATTTATACCACATAATTTTGTCCAGAGAGGGTCATCCTCCGTGGGTACAGAGTGGGCCATCCTCCATGGGTACAGAGTGGGCCATCCTCCACGGGTGCAGAGAGGGCACTCCTCCATGGGTACAGAGTGGGCCATCCTCCATGGGTGCAGAGAGGGTCATCCTCCGTGGGTACAGAGAGGGCCATCCTCCGTGGGCGCAGAGAGGGCAATCCTCCATGGGTACAGAGAGGGCAATCCTCCATGGGTACAGAGTGGGCCATCTCCACGGGTGCAGAGGCAATCCTCCAACTCCATGGGTACAGAGGGGCCATCCTCCATGGGTGCAGAGAGGGTCATCCTCCGTGGGTGCAGAGAGGGTCATCCTCCATGGGTACAGAGTGGGCCATTCTCCATGGGTGCAGAGAGGGCAATCCTCCATGGGTACAGAGTGGGCCATTCTCCATGGGTGCAGAGAGGGCAATCCTCCATGGGTACAGAGTGGGCCATCCTCCATGGGTGCAGAGAGGGTCATCCTCCATGGGTACAGAGTGGGCCATCCTCCATGGGTGCAGAGAGTGTGGGCAGAGGGATCAGAGAGGTCAGGGGTGCAGAGAGGGCCATCCTCCATGGGTGCAGAGAGGGCCATCCTCCGTGGGTGCAGAGAGGGCCATCCTTCATGGGTGCAGAGTGGGCCATCCTCCGTGGGTGCAGAGAGGGTCATCCTCCGTGGGTGCAGAGGGGGCCATCCTTCATGGGTGCAGAGTGGGCCATCCTCCGTGGGTGCAGAGAGGGCCATCCTCCATGGGTCCATCTTCTACACAGATTTTATAGATCACGACGGTATTTAAAGTTTGTGGCTGAATTTCAGTGGTGTTTTGATTGAGTAACTGTATGGAAATTGTAATTGAATGAATGTTCAACAATACCCTTTCCACGCTAAGCTGGGATATAAGCCACGCCCCTCGTCTTTAGCTACAATTAGCTTATTGGTTCCCCTGAGCGATTTACCTCCCCCCCGGACTAGGCACGTATTTATTTCTACCATTTATGATAGATAAATAAAATTTTCTAATATCCTCTCTGAAGTGCTAATGCCTTAAAATCATCTGTATTTTGATAATTCAGATATTTAACATTATTTTATATAATAACAGGTCTGCTTGCCAATTGTGAACATACAAGTACTTTGTTTGAATTTTCTATGAACCAATCAGTTATTAGTATAGAAGAGGTGGCGTGGCTTATGGGCCAAGTTAGCGTGGAAATAATATACGGTAGGTATTGTAATTTAGGGAATAATGCAAGAGTGGAGGAAAGCTGGGACTATACTGAAGCTGTGTAAGAAATAAAGAGACGACAAATATTATATTACCATTGTGTAAGAGTGAATGAATGATTTAGAACTGTAGGAGTGAGGGTTTCACTTCACAATGCTGTACACTGGAGTTGTTTATTGTTACCAGAGAATGATACCTGGTAGGAAAATGCTCCTTTACCTGTATAAATCTCAAGTAAGTCCCAGTCTGGAATAATGTTGACAGGCATGGAAATCTACCTCCAGAAAGTCATAACATCCTTAGAAAAGGTGCAACACAAGAGTGACTAAGATGATTCTTGATCTGTCATCTTGATTATCCAAGTAGACTAAGGGCCTTAGGACTAACAACTCCTCAGACAAGATACAATAGGACAGATGTCAGACATACAGTATTTAAAATCTTGAAAGAGATGGAAAATGTGAATGTGGGCCATTTTTTTGTGATGTCATGCTCCACCAACATGAGGGGACCCAACTTCAAGCTCATAAATATATCATGCAGAACAAACTATGGAAATATTTCTTCACACAGAGGGTGGCAGATCTATGGACAGTCTACCAGCCAAAGCTGTGTACAGTATATGTAATTGAGAACAGTACTGGGCTTCAAAATAAGTCAGTCCAAGAAAAAAAAAAAACTGAACTCCTACCCTCAGCATGACCACCTCTAATTTGGGTGGCCATTAAGTAAAAAAGTTGTTTAGGTGTAAAGGAATGAAAACCTTGTACTAAAGTTGTGTAGGAGTGAATGACTGATGTACAAGTTATTCTGGAGATGTCATAATGGTGCACCTGTAAGTGTATAGTACAGCAGGATCACAGGGACTGTGGCAATGAAAGCAACAAATAAAATGCCTAATTTCTCTCATATTTCCATTAATCTCCTTGAAACCTTTATTTATCAACAAACACATCAACTAATGTCATAAAACATTAGTTAAAACAATAATCATTATACTGTACATACAACATTACCCAAGATATATGTGAGTTGCTTGAATAATATTATTGTCTCAGTCTTATGATGTAGACAGAAAATAATGTTTGCTATCTATCTATACTAGCATGAAATTTCTTATACAGTATTTAAAATGTGAAAACCAAGTAGTTTATAAACCATTTCTTTTGATTCAGTTTGTCCAGCAACATTTTAAAATAATTAATAAACAGCAGAGATGAGACACCAGCTCCTGAGACACCCAGCTAGTGCTGGCACAATGGTCTAACCTTTACATCTTCATGAAAAAATTAAATAAATAAAAATTCATTAGTTTCGCAAAACCTACATTTATTCTATCTAAATGTAAAATTTATAAACGTATCAAAATACCTGTATATAACTTAGTACAGCATCAAACAGAATTGTAAATTTATGAAATAAAAACAATTTACAGTACAGTATACTACTGTACCTGTACCGTATAATATAAAATTTTAAAATTTGAAGTTATATTTTCTAAATCCAGTCATAGAAAAATATAATTTTACACATGCTAATACAGGTGCTCCTCTACTTAAGAACATTCAACTTGCAAACTTTCAGAGATACAAACATCATCACTGAGGGGGGTTACCTGCCAGAACAGGTGTTTAATAGGTGGATGAGACAATTATTTTGAAGAAAATTCCACATAGAACAAACATTACCTGAGAGGAGAAGAGTGAGCCAGGTTTTAAGGCTGTATTAAAGGGCATAGCTGTACTAAATATCCATAATCTTTTCATTTTTTACAATATGTTTGGTATCTACAAGAGTAAAGTTGGACTTACAAACAAGCCTCACGAATGTAACTCGTTCGTAAGTAGAGGAGCACCTGTAAATAGTTTTGTTTTTAATAAGACCATATGTCTTTATAACAGCATTAAATTTGTATAAGTTACCAATATTATGACTCTTGCTTTCTTAATATTACTGTACTGTATACGTATAATATGCTGCATACCTCCCAAGTTAAGTATTGTACCATACTGTACAGTAGATTACATGTCCATATCCTTAAAGGTGTAATAACCACACAACTAAAATTTTAAGGGAAAAATTTTCAATTCATTAAAATATTTCCATTCATGTTTATCAAAAGTTATACATTATTACTGAAAACTGATGTTCAATCTCTTTCTTAAAAAGTGACTAGAGTACGGCGTTTCTCTGTTTATTTGCTCTTCTCTTCTTCCGCTTCTTCTTCCTCTTCAGATTCATCGTCTTCACCCTCCTCGTCGTCATCGTCGTCATCGTCGTCATCATCATCATCATCGTCGTAGTAACTGCCATCATACCCGACCGCTCCCTCTTCATCATCGTCATAATCACCAAAACCAATCTGTTGCCTTCCAAACTTGTGGGTGCGAGCTGCAAGAAAACACAATTACTTCAATACTGTAATACTAAAAGCATTTATAACTGTACCTGTACTCAGAAAATTGGTTACGGTAATCATATGGTACTTACAAGATCAATTACCATGCTAAAAATTTATTACTATACAAGGTGTCCATAAATTATCTAAACCATTTTAAAATTAATAACTTCAAAAACAAAATAGCCTGAACATGCCAACCTTACTCTGCTTGATGAAAAAAAAATTTGCTTGCCTTAGCAGATTTCATGTTCACTGTTCTATTTATAATATTTATGAGGTTAGTAAGTCTTAAATTAGGTTAGATAATCTATGGACATCCTTTATATCAATATGTACAGTACTGATATTCAATTAGTCATTGACTGTACACAATGTACTAATTTACAGCCCACTGACCTACAGATAGACCCATAAACAGTCATAATCTATCTGTAAAAATACATCTCTCATATCACTGCCTCTCCAGTATGTAGTAGATACTTCTAAAATGTTTTACCTCACTCTGGGTCTACCACACCATTGTATTCTTACATTTCCGTGAATGCATTATATCAAGCACAGTATGAATAGAATACCATTGTAATATAACAATATTTTGAGTCCTACTCTTTCCATTTACAGAGTACTGTACAAGCCCATAAAAATGGCTCCTAAAGTAGATAAACTTCGTTGTGTGAAGAGAAAGAAGAACACGTTGAAATTGAGTGACAAACTTGATTTAATTAAGAAACTAGAACGTGGTGTGAGCAATACTGTTCTAATAGAAACATATGACATTGGAAAGTCTACAATTTATGATATAAAAAAAGCAAAGAATAAAATTCTAGAATTCACAGCTTTTTCATTAAAACTGCTCATTTTGATAAATGAAGCATGCTTTATTTGCTAATGAATAAACTATCAAAATGTACCTGTTCATCTCTTCTTTATTCCTCCTTAAATTTGAATTTTAAAAGTACTGCCTGAGAATCCGGAAAATCCGAAAATCCGGACTGACCCAATCCCCAAGCAGTCCGGATTTTTGGACTTCTACTGTATTTCACTTATGTTTATTATTGGCTTTAATCATCGTGTACACCAAAAATTGTCATAAAAATTATGTGTTGTGGTATTTTACGAGGTACAGTATAGGGAAGCACTTTTCTTGTATCAACTTGTCTCAGCTTTTATAATGGGAATCTATGTGACAAATTGATTCAGTTTATGATAAATAAGTTTACAAAAGGTGTTTCTCAGAAATGGAAAATTTTCATTAATCTGGGAATGCCTGTATGTACTATACAGTATTATACTGTACTTGTCCTGAGTAACCTAGAAATTATATGTTCAACTTGCTTCACCAGCTGACATATACAGTACAGTACAGTATTGTACTGTGGCAGCTTATTACTGGTCACCTTGCTTTAACCCCTCCCACACACCCAGTTTTAGGTGTAAATATTTACAATATCACCTTCACTACCCATCTGGATAAATGGATGAACAAAATTCACATAAAAATAATTTACTCAAAAGAGTCACTCACTTGACATGCTGAGTTCCTTAGTCTCTTCTGTATCATAACTACACTTGGGACACGGGATCTTCTGCTTGTTGTCGTATTTGAAACCTTTCCTGCGTACGTGTTCCTCACAGTAACAAGTCTTACATCGCAAGCACGAGTACTGTCCGTGACGGTTGCAAGACATACCTGAGGGAATAATTCAGATATAAAATACTACAGAATATGGATGAACCACTATCATTTTCATTACAGTACTACTGTATACAGGTTTATGTTCCTGTGTAAGAAAGAACACTAAAAACTAGTAATGATACTACACTACTGTATTGGTTTAAGCAGTTTCACTAAATGGTACAAAATATGAGCCAACACAACCAAGATGCACGCAAGGATCCTAGACCGTCTTCCCCCTGCAAAATCACCTGAGTCTTCTTGTTATGATACATAGATAGTTTCAGCTTCTTACACTTATCAAGACATGAGAATAATACTTTCTAACAAACATCTTTACATTATTATACACAGTATACAGTACTTACCAGTAGTTATTCATATTTATTAAAACTTGCCCAACAATTTACAGACTGTAACTTAACAGAACCTATACAACTTCTCTTGAATTCCTAACTTAAAAAAAAAAAAAATCCACGATATTCTCCATTTTGTTTCATTTTTAAACATTCAACTGCAAAGTACATGTTGCTGTGGCTGGTCCTTCTTCTGACTATCTTTTGGGTCGTTTTTGTTTCCAGTTTTGTTTTATTTTCTGTCATTATGATTTTAATTTAGCCTTTTACTATTGATTACCTCCAGAGCCATAATTATGACCTTTGCAGTTCTGGAGCTCAGGGAGTAGTCATAATCATTCACTATCACCAACAGGGTTCATTTATCTAATTACACTCAAATTAACTTCACACCTGATTCAACACATCAAATTCGTTTTCCTGAAGTCAATTTGGCCCTAAGCTAACCTAACCTATCCTGACCTAACCTAACTGGGCAATACAGATCTTTCACTCTCTGCCCCAGTCATCATTAACTTGTGGTATGTCTGCCCCTGGGTCTTCATAACTCCTTTTTCCATTTATTTTTGGTCAAAAACAATTCTAGCCTATCTCTTATAAATATCCACAATTTTATCTCAAACCCAACCTAACCTCACCTAATATCTTAAAACTAATCTAACTTAACTTATCTTAAAACTAACCTCACCTAATATCTTAAAACTAACCCAACCTATATTAAATCTAACTTAACCTACCTTTAATCTAACCTATATTAAATAAAATTTAACTTATCTTGAATCTAACCTTACCTGACCTACAGTACTTTAAACCCCTAGTAGTGTTAGGGTGATTAATCTTCAGGTGATTTAAAATCAACTGGAAAAAAAAACTCACACTTATAGGATTCCTGCTCTAACACTTGGCAAGATGCTTGGTGCTCAAACTGGTCGTCGTCACACAAGAAGTTCTGGCAGTAGTGACACCTGAAGATACGACCACCGTGACTCCACACCTGTAGTTGTTAAAAAGGGGAGGGAGTAAAACAAACAAACAAACATAAGATATTTCAAAGCATCAATTTATAATGTACATAAGACATAACTACAGTACAGTATTGTACTCCTCTTTGGGATTAACAACTTTGCCGTGAAGCTTTCCAAAAATCATAAAGGAATTTGGGGGAGGAAACTGCATGTACTACAGGTATCCTTCTTTTAGCATTAATTCACATAACGTTAATTAGGTTTAGTGATAAAAAAACTTTGACACCCTTTCTCACTGAAAGTTAGGTTCAAAATCTGGTTTAGCGACAGCTTGACTTAATAGTTAGGGAAAAAATGGGAATGAGGTTGCCTGTGAGATGGCATGTTACCATTAATAAATGTAATGCAACTATAAAAGTCGTGGAAAAATCTTTACAATACTGTACTCTAATCTGGCTTAAAAATACAGAAAATATACTGGTAATAGAAAACTATAAAATAAGAAAAATGAAGAGCATAGATGTGTATGTATGTGTGTGTGTGTGTGTGAGAGAGTGTGTGTGTGTGTGTGTGAGAGTGTGTGTGTGTGTGTGAGAGAGTGTGTGTGTGTGTGTGTGTGGGGGTGAACGTACATGTGGAAGCAGTAGACTGTAACTGTGTCGCCAAACTCGCCATTCAGCAGCGCTCTCTCCCCCTGGTGTGATGTCACAGCATACTACTACTACTTTGCTGTCACTCAGAATCGAGTATGACGATCATCCAGCTATGATACAATGTTATGAGTTATTAGAGAAGTCACCTGTATTGGTCAGTTTTGAGGTGACTAAAGAGGCCGATACAGGACCGGCAGAGTTGTTCACAGATGTTGCACATGTAGAGGGCTACATCGAGTGCGGGAGGGGCGGTGGCAGCATCTTTCCGGCGTTGGCGCTTGTCTGCCTCAGTTTGCAATCGGGCTAACTCGAAAGTATTGACACCATCTCGTGTGGTGCTCCTCCAAGCGTTACAATGTGGAGTAATTGACTCCCAGGTGAGGGGGTCGATTTGGCACCTTTTCAGGTTTGTCTTAAGACTATCCTTATATATTTTCAGTTGCCCGCCGGCGTTACGTTTACTATTTGTTAGGTGAATGTAAAGTAGCTGCTTCAGCAGTCTACTGTCGTCCATGCGGTTAACATGGCCAGTCCAGCGTTGTTGTTCATGGATAATGGTAGCCTTGATGCTCCTACAGCTGGTGTCAGCAAGGATGCTGGCATTTGCTCTCCTGTCTTCCCAGCGAACTTGGAGGATGGAACGTAGGCTACATTGGTGAAAGTTTTCAAGTGCCTTGAGGTGCCTCCTGTATGTAACCCATGTCTCGCTGCCATATAGCAGGGTGGGGAGGACCACTGCTCAATAGATGTGTAACTTTGTAGATAATTTCAGCTCCCTACAGCTGAAGACATGGTTTCGGAGTCTGCCAAAGGCTTGAGTGGCAAATCTGATCCAATGCTGAGTCTCTACATCGATGTTCGCTGTGGTGGACAGGTGGGAGCCGAGATACCGAAAGTGGGTAACATTAGAGAGGGTAGTACCGTTAAGATGGATGGATGGTGGTGTGTCTGAACTAGGGGCAGGTTGAAAGAGAATCTAAGTCTTACGTACTTTCACCTCAAGGCCGAAGTGTGCATACGCATCTGCGTAGGTGTTCAGAATCTCCTGTAGGCTATGTTTAGTGTGAGCAAAAAGAGTGAAGTCGTTTGCATACTGAAGTTCAGTAATGGATCTGCTGACACCTTTGTTCTTGCCTGGAGTCATCTTATGTTGAAAAGACCCCCTTTTACCCAGTACTCGATGTCCACCCGACTGGCTAAATTGGCACTGGCACGAGTAAGGAAGGCAGCAAAGAAAATGGAAAAGAGAGTTGGTGCCAGTACACACCCTTGTTTAAGCCCTGTTTGGATGGGGAAGAACACACACACACACATTCTCTTGAGTGAGCTAGGTGACTGCCTGGCTGAACTGTGTCACGTAACTCAAAGGATGGTTTGAGTGTGGAAGGAGCTATTTTTTTGTACCTGAAATATGTGCTTTTGTATTATACGATAGGCTATGTAAAAAAATTTTGATTATCGTAGCAATTATTTTTTTTTGACGGATGCAATTTGAAATTTCTTCAAATTAGGCTCACCGTTTGCTCACCAATTTGTTTAACTATGAACCACATCATTTATATTGAAGTTTGGTGTTAATAAATAAATCTTTTAACTTCAAAACCGTTTATAACAAACTCGTTTATTATTATTATAATTATTTTTATTATTAAGGAGTAAAGTGATGTACTCTGTGTTTAATGCCCTGGCGTTTGAACCAGTTTTTCGCCCTCCATGCTTTGCAGTTGTTCTTCATAAAAAACAATTTTGCTTAAAGTTAGGTTTTTAGGAATGCAACCACAACATTACACGAGGGATACTGTACCTGTACAGGTACACAGTCCCCAAGTTACTACTGTCCGACTTACGATTATCCGCACTTATGAAACGGGGTCCCAAAACAGGTACAGGGGGCCCCCCCAAGTTTGTGGATGACACCCTGGATGTACCCAATAATGTCTGTGGGTAGTTTTAAAGTTGCCGACATTTCACGGCTGAGACAGGGAGCCATTCGTTCTAGAGACAGTAATTTCCTTTACCTGTATTGTAAATATGTGTGTGTAGACACATGGATAATTAGAGTGTGGGTCTGCAGGGGATGCCACACTTTGTCATAACAACACAATGTTCTACAACTGTGAAGGACACTGTACAGGTACTGTACTGTATGTTCAACAGTCTGTCAAGAACAGTACAGTACAGTACTGTATTAAAACATTAAGAAGCCCACCATACTTTTTACACTGAAACTCTCCCTTAACGAGATAAACAGTACAGTACTGTATAATACAGTATTCATGTAGCAATAGTTAAGGGAATAAAATTGACAAATAGGATTTTATGCCATTTTACTCTGAGTCTAAGGTAATGATCCCCTTATGGTAGTAACCTTTGGTCCATGTGGCTCAGCTTACAAACATCTGGGATAGGTTGGATGCTTCTGAGTGACAGAGAAACTTATTCATGATATTGATAAGCCTAATATATGAGGTCTGACAATTAAGTTCACGAACTTGCTGCATGGCTCAACAGGCGGGACACTGTAACGAGTGTGAGTGGCGTCCGTGTGACCTTGATCCCTTCTCTTACTACCCCTGTTGTGTCGTCAATCTCAAGCGAGTCGGATGTGTGCAGTGGCAGCTATTGGATTCGAGTGTTTTCTGGGTTTGTCGCGATAATGGCTGATATTGCTTTAGAACAAAGAACAAACATCAAGTTTCTCATGAAAATGGGGAAAACTGGGCCTGAAATTCGGGACATGTTAACCGAATTTTATGAGGATAATGCACTAAAGAAAACACCAGTTAACAAATGCATTAAGTTATTTTCTGAGGGAAGAGAAGATGTGACAGACAATGACGGTGAAGGACGACCAACAACAAGAAGGACCGAGGAAAAAATTAGGAGTTGTGTGAGCTAACAGGCAAATGACAGTGAAAAACATTGCAGATGAGGTGCAGATTGACAGGGAAAGAGTTAGAAAGGTTTTGACTGTAGATTTAAGAATGAGAAAAGTTTGTGCGAAAATGGTGCCAAATAATCTCGGTGACAAACAAAAACAAAGAAGAGTTGAAATTTGCTCAGCCTTTTAGAAAAGAGAAGGTGGAGATGACCTGCTTCACTGTGGTGATGAGTCATGGGTCTACCAATATGACCCTGAAATGAAACGTCAGGATGCACAGTGGAAAACTGCAAACTCCCTATGCCCCAAAAAGTGTTGCATATCAAAGTCGAAAGTGGAGACAATGCTTATCACTTTTTTCGATTCTAAGGGTGTAGTTGACAAAGAATTCATTCCCTGGGGGCAGGGTGTGAACCAGTTGTAGTATCTCGTAGTATCTCGACGTGTTTAAAAGACTCAGAGAAAAAGTGAGACGAAAATGCTCAGAACTTTTCACTGGAACAAGTGGATGACATCATGACAATGCCCCAGCACACACGGCATTGATTCTGCGGGAGTTTTTGGCCGAGAAACCAATTACCTTACTGGATCACCCTCCTTATTCACTTGAACTGGCCCTGTGTGACCTTTTCTATTTCCTTCGCTGAAGAAACACATCAAGGGGGCACATTTACAAGAAGTGGATGACATTAAGAGTAGCATGACAGCAGCAATAAAAACTATTCCAGAAAGTGAGTTCCAGAAATGTTTCCACGGGTGGAAGAAACGCTGGCATTCATGTATAGCATCGCAAGGGGAATACTTTGAAGGGTACTACAGTGCCGATCCTCAGTAAGGTACGTACCGGCGCATGTAGCATGAGCTCGCGAACTTAATTGTCAGACCTCGTACACACACTCAGTGCTTGCTTGATGTACAGAGGTACGTGTCGTTCCCTTCTGTTAGTGATATACTTCTTGCTATGATGACAAGTACAGTACCAGAGCTGATGATAGTTCAAGGTCGGAAAACTTAATTTAAATTTTGCCTCCTCTGACAGTTTCCTTTCATACATTATCTGAAACTAAACCTCAAAATATTTTAGAAATAAAACAGTGCACACATGGAACTCGAATACAAGAACAATAAACCAGTGCATTTAATCTATAATGTTTTTTAGTTCATTAATTTTTAAAATGGGCCAGATAATTCATGGACAGTACAGTATTACAGTGGCTTAATTCCTGTCGTCAAATGATCCAAGCCTTATCAATGTACGTAGTATCGAACAGGGAAATTATAGACTCAATTACTTGTTGCTCTATGATGATGACAGCACCTGATCCTACCCTGAGCACCAGTGATCTCTGCTGAAGACACCATCTGCCTCACAGTCATCATTCTTTATTACATTTATGAATCATATTAAGTGTTTGGAGAAGAAAAATCAGGAAAATAAATGCTTAAATATTTAAACAGTGAGAATATTATAGAGTTGACAAATTATTGAAACTCTTAACCCTTAGTCAGTGGCCATCATCAGTGGAAGTTAGCTGTAGGAACAGAGACTATCATCATCATCAATGGAAGTTTCATGTGCCTTGCATTCCACCTTTACCTATATGGGGACAGTGTTAAGAATCCTTAACCACCATTTAAAGGTAACACAAGAAATGATGCCAGACAAGAACAAGATGTGGTAAGGTCACTCATTACTTACATCTCGTTCACACTCTATGCAGGTGGCATCAACAAGTGGACACGAACAGGGGTGAGTCTGTAGACACTTGCGACCATGACACAACCAGGCTTCACAGAAGTCACAGATGGCTCCCTGTAATGTGTAAGACAGGATTTACAAACACTTTATGTTATCAATGACAATAAATTAATTCTAACAACTAGAATTTAAAACTATGATGGAATATTATCACACAATACATATAAATAAAACCATCAATAACATTTTACAGCTTATAGTTCCTGTGACATTCCACCAACTAAGTCAAGGGATTCTGGACTTACCTTGAAGCAAGTAATGTACTGTACTTATGGGTAAGTAAAGAGTACCTGACCAAATATTGCACAGTATTTCATCTACATACTGAATATTAGAAGATATATCATTCAAACTGTGCTTACACGATGATTTGTGAACGTTCATTACATTCACATAAAATAATTGTTTTCAATTTCATCAATGAATGACTACAAAATATGTTTAGAGAGACTAAGAGAATATGAAAGCTACATTGAATCATTGTGTAGAAATAAACACTATACTGTAGAGAATCACAATAAATACAAGTATTATAAACTTACCACCATACCCAGGCCAGTGGTATATGTGCCCGGGTGCTTTACTACACAGTCACCAGTCTTGAGCATACACTTCACCTTACCGCAGTGGGCACACTGTGGCAGCCGCTGGACGGAGTGACAAAAGTAACAGAAAGCGCGGTTCTTTTGACGCCTCTGGCATTTATCACATTCCTGGAAATACAATACGTTACAAGTATCAATTGTTGCTTAAGCTAAAAAACTCTGTTATAGTAATATCATCAAACAGTAGTACCATCTAACAGTAATACCCTCTAATAGTAGCATCATCTAACAGTAACAACAGTAATACCATCTAACAATAACAACAGTAATACCCTCTAACAGCAGTACAGTACCTACCTCTCCAAAGCACTATACCAAATCAGTGGGTACACATTGTCAATACAGTACTTACTTATAAATAGACGACTAAAATATAAGATGAAAGAGTAAAATGTTGTAAGACAGTTGACACAAAGAATGTCTGTTGGAATAGGTTAGGATAGGTTGGTGTCATGGGTTGCGTTACACCGCCACTCTGTCCTGTGACCGTCGTCGACACGAGACTAAGCGTGTTAACCTAGGTTGTTATCCCCGTGGAAATATCACGTGTGGAAGCCTGGTTGCGACAAAAGCAATCCAGGTTGGTCTATTGCACCTAAATGGTTAATTCAAGTCACACTTACCAGTTCTCCTTGCCGCGACAACCGTCTACAGTGACTGTCAGTGACACGAAACTATGTGTGGTAACCCAAGAGTACTTTTTGTTGTTATGGCCGTGGAAAGAAGTTCTTGTGCGGAAGCCTGGTTGCAACAAAAGCAATCCAGGCTGACAATAAATGTATCACTTGAAGAATTAAGGCTCTGTGAAGTCATACCCATAGTAGAGTAATCACATGTGTCCCCAAGTTGAAAATTCTCTTTTAGAAGATTAATTTTATTACAGCGTGAACGTGAGTAATTCATATATCCATGCAAATTGTAAATCATTGTATGGAAGCTTGACAAATAAATGTAAGTGCAATTATCTGCCCGTATCTATGATCCTATCATATTATTACTTAAGGTAATGACTGATTGGTTATGACAAAGTATAACCAATAACTTAGATGGATGTTGGAAATTAATGGAATTCATTAAATCATCATTTATCAAGTATAAATCATGGAATGTCGAGTGGTGGAGTGAACTTCTACGTAGATACGCCATAATCTCCTGTAAGTAACCAGTGTGAAGGTATCGAACTCTACGGTAAGAAATAAGAAATACGACATATTATTATCTTTATATAATATACCTGTAATCTACTCCTACTACCACCGATTCACCCAAAACCATGACAGTTGGATTAGGTTGGATTAGGTTAGGTTGGGTTGGGTAGGGTTATTGTACCGTATCACTTGGTTAAAGAAGAAATATCAAATGGAATGTTGGTGACACAAAAAACTCAAGGAAGTGAGAAGAACAGCAAGAAACGTCAAGAAAAGAGAAAGTGACTGATAGATTTTTTAGTCTAATTTAAGTTGGGTGAAGCATGATGAACTGAAGAGGTACAGAAACAGATTAAGAAATGACAAAGGCCCCTCTAACCTGTCACACACAAGTACCAATGTGTTCCCTGACTTTTACACTGCTCAAAATTGTGGTTCGTGAGCACTACTTCTAGAATTCGGACATTTCATTATAAATCCTCACTGACAGTTATTGAGCAGACCATCACCACCACCACCATCATCATCATCATCATCATCATCATCATCATCATCATCATCATCATCTTAAAAAACCTTGGTACTCACCAGGATAGGAAGCCCTACAGAGCGCAGCACAAGTGTGGGAGCACAAGCAAAAAGAAGGGAGTGTGGGAGGAAAGGCTGGCAGAGCTGGGAGTACAATAGGTCATCAAAACAGTTGAATCACAAAAAAGTGGCAGAAAAAAATTGTGTAAAGATATGTGAGAATAAAATGAACAAACATACAAAGAATAACTAACCTATATTAAAAAAAAGAAGGAAAGACTTTAGTAAGACAACCAAGACAGGAAGTCTATGAATGATGTAACTGAGAGTGTACTGTATGGAGTAAAAAGGGTTCCAGTCCAGAAAGACCATTTATAAATTGATCTTTGGTAGAATCGAATGATGCCTGTAGTGTATATACTGTATCAGATGAAGAATCATACACATTTTCCTAGACACATAGATAAAAATGCTGAATAAACTAAAGTTACTGGACTTTGACAAGTTATTGTGTTGAAAGATTATCATCATTATTATCCCTACATAGTACTGTACTGAGTTATACATAATTATCCATCACTTTAATACATTAGATTTTCTTCTTCTAATTTACCATAATAGAGTTACAAGGAAGATCAGCTAAAGACCGATTGGCTCGGCCCTTTCTCAACTCCTTCTGGCGGGCCTTTTGTTTCTCAGCCTTCTTCCTCTGTCCTGTCTTCTTCTTAGGCATCTTGGCAACTTCTGTAAAATATAAAACAATATTGTAAGCGTATTACTATGAGTTACTTGATACATCATCAACTCTACTGGAATTAAGCCTAACAATTTCTTTAGAATATTGCATAGTTTAGAGAAGAAAGATGGCTTAGACGATACTAAGGTGTGTGTGTGGACTAACTTATTTGGTATTTGCTAGTGTAATAAGTATTCTGATAAGTGTTCCTGGCACTTCTGGCCTGAAAATTACAAGTGCAGTACATGTACACTTGCAACAAAAAGTATCGGTGCATACTGTAGTGTGAACAATTTGAGACCAGTGACGATAGGTATTGGGAATGCGAGTTGTTCCAGCCGTTTGTTGGCAGCCCTGATTGTCAGCCATATGGCAACACCTAGTGGAGGGGGGAGGGGGGTTATGAGGATACACTTACCAACCTTCCCGACATATCACAGTGTATACGTATCGTTTCAGAACTCGTCGATCTCACCCTGCACCGATATTTTTTGGTGCGAGTGTACCCGTACTGTATTTAAGTCAGAAATATTCTTTAGAGGCAAAATTAAAGGAGAGGGGCCAATGGTTATAAACATTGCTTATAGTGAAAATCTAGCAGAAAAATTACTGTAAATACCCAAATAAGATCACCTTACACTAGTGAAAATTGACATCTGATTCTCAGCATCAAGGCAGCAGCTGCTTCGGTGTCATCACACTTTAACAAAGTGCCAAGACAGTAGTTAATGACCCCAACGCCTTCTACAATAACACTGAAATATGATTATATAGCAGGAATGAACTACCGAGCCATGTAATTTTGACGAAGAATTTCAGAATGAACACTGCAAGTCCTGTTGTCTCGGTAGGGTTGACAAAATCGTTTATCCTTGTGTCCATCCTATTGCCCAACACATTTTTGTAAGGATAGTTTTTTTATTAACTACCAAATTGCTGGGACAATCACTATGGTGACAACATATAAATACATACATACCTACTGTACTGAGGCATAGAGATTGTGTGTACAAATATACAAGTATAGTACCAGGACTATTGCCACAGTGACAGTGCAAACAGTACAAAATGACTACTGTATTGACATAGACCAAAAAAAAAAATAAGATAAATGCTGGACCTACAGCATACAATGGTCCATACTGACAGACAGTAGTACTGTACATTCTCTGGGCACCACTACACTGCCATCAACCTTCAGGGGAGAGAAGTGTTCCCATACAGTGATTATTTTATGAGCACTTGTGAAGACTAGTGACTGTACCCTAAAACATTACAAATATAATTTAACCAAATTTATTTTATTTGTTGCTTCCTACAGTTTTTATTCATATACTGTACTTAGAACCTTTGTATTTGATGTATCAATGTAAACTTGTAGAATGATTTGGTTAAGTTTGATTTTACTGATGTTCACATTTCCAATAGAAGTTGCCCTATTTATTGAATTTTACTTACTGTTAAGCTCATAACTAACCGTCAACCTTCAGGGATTGTCACTGCTTTCACTTGGATAGTCATTATTTTGGAGGTAATGTCGAAAGTTGAATTATTAACTGTAAATATCCCTCCGAAAAATATACTAAGTCACCACATGTCATCTGTTTGTTTACAACCGACTCGCTCAGTCTGAGTGTACTCTCGTGTCCAATAAAAATGTTAAATTACCCCATTATGTTTCAACAAAGTTGCCTTCATTGGTAGTTGCGGAAATGTGTTCTTTCACTCCCTGTGGTAACTCGTGTTTCCAAACAGTAACGTTGCAGTAGTAGTATCACTATTTATGAATTAAAGGGTATTGGTCGTGTAAAGATGAACGTGATTGGTGGATAGGTTTGTTATATCGTAGGACTTGGTCATATAGATTTGCCGTTTGGAGACGGGTTACCACAAGGGGTGTAGGAACACATTTCTGCAACTGTACCAGATATCAAAATAAGTACCTTCAGTTTAATATGGGGTATTATCATTATTTTGGTTATTCAACAAATTTTAGGATTTTAAGTTTTGGAATCAGTAGTCTAGACAATTCTAAGACGCGTTTCTTCGATAGCATTTCTTCAGTAAATGATAACTTTCCTAGATAATTGCAATGAATTGTTGGAAAATCGTCGTATTCTTTCTAAGTTCATTGTTTATGTTACCACTGTCCCAGAGAGCTCCTGCGAGCTTGTTTGTTGGTTAGGTTAAGTTAAATTTAGGATTTTCGTCAGAAATCACTCGTTTTGGCTGTGGAGGGAAGGGGGGTTATCTTAAAAACGAGTGATTTTCGACGAAAATCAATATCAAAATCGAATACATCAAAAACCAAAGGAAAACCCCAGGCTTCATCTCCAGGAGGATTATGGTCAGAAACTTAACCTTTATCATTAGTTTTTTGGTTGGTTAGTTCTACTGTGTCTCCGACATTTTCTCATAAATGGGGATTCCAAAAGAAAATGAAGGTCAGGTTTAAACAAATCACACCAGAAAATGGGTTTTTATGTAAAAAAAAAACACAAATTGAATAAAAAGACAGTATACAGTAGACCTACCTTACCTATCAATGGCCTTCCTTCTGTTAAATCCACAAACTGCTATACCGCTTTTGGAGTTCTTTAAATTTACCCAAAGTGTAAGCTGACATTAGCAAGTGTTATATTTTTTCCTTCTTAACAGACAAGACCAGTCAGAGGAATTTGTTATATTACGGTCTAGGTTACACTGTATACCAGCGGTTTATATGTTTGCTGAGCTGTACACCAGCCTCATATGGTGAACCAAGTGTGATCTTGCATGACGAATTACTTGAACATTTATCTATACCAGTCCATTTATCATAGAGGAAATACTTACTTATAACAGCGGAGCGGCTCTCGTGTACCCTACTCTCCTCCGCCCCAACACTGATAATAAACATCTACGGAACTTTTGTAATAACTTTACCAGAGCTTTTCATCTTCTATTCCACTTATTTATTATGAAAATAAACACAAAGAATATATCTATGAACACAACTGATACTTGTAAGACATTTTGGCTCCGGAAGCACGAATTATATTAGTGTAATAAATTATATGTATAATTTTATATAATTTAAAAATAATCAACCCAATATTTAAAGGTAAATATTACATATTTCATGTCACTCACATTAACCATTAAATAGAATTGAATTCGTCATACTCAGTGGTATGTAGTAGTAGAGATTTATAAAAGAGCCGTAGGCTACGAAGAATACAAGAGGTGTAGGAGGAAGGTAAAGTTAGCAAATGGGAAATAGAGTGGGAGACTGAAAGCAGGTGGGCAATCCACCCTGCGGGGGTAAATTAACACCAGTATTTGTTATGAATTACGACCAAGTCAACATGCTGTGTCGTATAACAAGAGCCATGTTGACGCAGGGATAATAATTATCCTTGTGTTTACCTGACCTATGACCTCATACATTTGTTATAATGATCATTTCTCTAAGTCACCTTTAATGGACGAGTTGACGGTGATCATTTTTCATAAAATGGCGCTTACACAAGTAAACAATGTGCTTAATTTCACTATGGTAACCATATTTTTTTATAAAATGTCATAAGTAAAAATAAAGGTTATACTTGCTCAAAGGCAAGGAATATCTAATAAGGAAGCTTAACTGACACACATTCTCAGTACTTTTAGAAAGTTTCCAAGTTTTACTATAGCGCTACCTTTTACTGGGCGAGTAAACTAAAAAAAAGTTACTCATAGAAAACGGGTGGAAGACAAAAATAGAATACCAATATATTTTGTCACGAATCCGCGTGCTATATGGCCTGATGATATATTGTATATATATTCATCAGTCCATAAAAAAAAATATATAGAATATATATATATATATATATATATATATATATATATATATATATATATATATATATATATATATATATATATATATATATATATATATATATATATATGCAAGTAAATCTCTGTAGGTGCGCGTGATCCAAAAGTGAGAAGTGATAAACTCGAATATGTTGAGTTGTCAAAGTAAGAAACAATTTTTTGAGACTGATATTGTGTGTAAATGAGGCAGAAAGTCAGATCACCAACTTGGGACTTCGTCACATTCCTTTGAGATGTCATATGGCATTGTGGATCTATATGACTAAACGGCCGTAATGGCCCTAGCAGTTAACGGCCAGGAAATCAACAGAAGCAAGCAAGTATAATAGAGGGGTCATGTAAGTACAGGCCTCCTTCCCCCATCATGGCCACATCTACGTGAGGTAACCATTAGATATATGGCAAATGTTCGTACGCGTGGAAGCAGCACTATCACTGCTGGGTCTGCTTTTAAGTTATATAAAATATACAGTATACATACTTGTAAGTTCTTATGCTGCAACAATATCCTGAAACAGAACATTCACCCAAGTACTAAAAAAAAATCTCTTATTATCTACGACTGTTTTATTAACCTTAATATATAAGTAACCTCCTATTATATTCCCTGCCAGAATAACATCCGTCAACCGGACTTGTGAAGTTTGACCGAGGTTTATTAATTCTGGTGCGTCTCCCTGCCCACCTTCAGCCAGCACTGCACACGTCTCACTAGTGTGACTCGTCGTCCCAGGAGCTACAACACACCCAGATATATCTACCACCTGTGCTTATAACACATACGTACTTATAAGGAATTTCGGTAAATAATATTGATGAAGCTCTTAGTGACGATGAAAGTCTTGTGGTCGTAAATAAACGATTAAACTTAAACAGACGACTTTAATGAATATCTACTAAACTGACATTCGAACCAGCCATTGTTGAGCCAAGTGAGAACTCTTGAAACAATCTGGCAGAGAGCGTTGTGACGGCACCGAGTGTGAGCTCTTTCAAGACCAGACTTGACCAACACTGGAGCGGGTTCCGTTATATTCAAGAGCCAGTGCATGCCCAGTGCTTGCCAACAGTGCCTATCAGAGACGTGTCCGACCGCCGAGGCAGCTAACGAGCCGATCAGTGGCGAAGATAAAAACAGTAAAAGTATAAAAAAGTATAAAAGTAGTGTTTGTGGTCAGTGTTGTGTAGACCGTATTGCAATAAGGTTATTATTGACAATATAAATCTTTACTGGAAGTTTACATATTTATTTGTACGATGTAAATATGAGTGACCACAGAACTATGATCCACTTGATTAGTTAACAACCTGTCTTACCTATGTCATTTTAGGAGTGTCATAATTCATGTCGGATTAGAAACCCATGCCCAATTTCGTTTGTGTATACCTGCACTGTTTGGGTACAATGATAGTATAAGTGAAAGGTCTATGCACTGCATGCCTGCATTGTTTGTAAGTATGCTGAACAGGAAGTTACCAAACAGGGAGATACTACCGCCTAGGAAGATTTGGAAGCATAATGTATTGGCTAATGCTAGACCCTGATGCCATATGACATCACAAAAATTGTGATCATGTCTCAGGTTGCTGATCTGACTATTTGCCTCATTTACAGGCAATTGCAGGACCTCAGTTGTTTCTCTTACGTTGACAACACACCATACTTGTATCGTTTCTCACTCTTGATTTTTTATTATTATTTATGGTTCCTTATTATTAAATTATATATATATATATATATATATATATATATATATATATATATATATATATATATATATATATATATATATATATATATATAATAAATTTTTTTTTTTTTAAGAATTTTTATTATTATATTTTCACCCCAGGCCCTGATGTGGGTCATTGACCTGTGCCCTGGTGGGTTAATCCCATAAAAAATTACCTGCATTGTCGATATACATGCTGAACTGTATACTTTAATTGTCTAGATACAATTATGCATGCTCAACTGTATACTTGCATTGTTCTATATACATGCTCAACTGTATACTTGCATTGCTATATATACATGCTCAACTGTATACTTGCATTGCTCTATATACATGCTCAACTGTATACTTGCATTGTTCTATATACATGCTCAACTGTATACTTGCATTGCTCTATATACATGCTCAACTGTATACTTGCATTGGCTCAACTGTATACTTGCATTGTTCTATACATGCTCAACTGTATACTTGCATTGCTCTATATACATGCTCAACTGTATACTTGCATTGTCTATATATGCTCAACTGTATACTTGCATTGCTCTATATACATGCTCAACTGTATACTTGCATTGCTCTATATACATGCTCAACTGTATACTTGCATTGCTCTATATACATGCTCAACTGTATACTTGCGTTGCTATATATACATGCTCAACTGTATACTTGCATTGCTCTATATACATGCTCAACTGTATACTTGCATTGCTCTATATACATGCTCAACTGTATACTTGCATTGTTCTATATACATGCTCAACTGTATACTTGCATTGCTCTATATACATGCTCAACTGTATACTTGCATTGTTCTATATACATGCTCAACTGTATACTTGCATTGCTCTATATACATGCTCAACTGTATACTTGCGTTGCTCTATATACATGCTCAACTGTATACTTGCATTGCTCTATATACATGCTCAACTGTATACTTGCGTTGTTCTATATACATGATCAACTGTATACTTGCATTGTTCTATATACATGCTCAACTGTATACTTGCATTGCTCTATATACATGCTCAACTGTATACTTGCATTGTTCTATATACATGCTCAACTGTATACTTGCATTGCTCTATACATGCTCAACTGTATACTTGCGTTGCTCTATATACATGCTCAACTGTATACTTGCATTGTTCTATATACATGCTCAACTGTATACTTGCATTGCTCTATATACATGCTCAACTGTATACTTGCATTGCTCTATATACATGCTCAACTGTATACTTGCATTGCTCTATATACATGCTCAACTGTATACTTGCGTTGTTCTATATACATGCTCAACTGTATACTTGCATTGTTCTATATACATGCTCAACTGTATACTTGCATTGCTCTATATACATGCTCAACTGTATACTTGCATTGTTCTATATACATGCTCAACTGTATACTTGCATTGTTCTATATACATGCTCAACTGTATACTTGCATTGCTCTATATACATGCTCAACTGTATACTTGCATTGCTCTATATACATGCTCAACTGTATACTTGCATTGCTCTATATACATGCTCAACTGTATACTTGCATTGTTCTATATACATGCTCAACTGTATACTTGCATTGCTCTATATACATGCTCAACTGTATACTTGCGTTGCTCTATATACATGCTCAACTGTATACTTGCATTGCTCTATATACATGCTCAACTGTATACTTGCATTGTTCTATATACATGCTCAACTGTATACTTGCATTGTTCTATATACATGCTCAACTGTATACTTGCATTGCTCTATATACATGCTCAACTGTATACTTGCATTGTTCTATATACATGCTCAACTGTATACTTGCATTGCTCTATATACATGCTCAACTGTATACTTGCATTGTTCTATATACATGCTCAACTGTATACTTGCATTGCTCTATATACATGCTCAACTGTATACTTGCATTGTTCTATATACATGCTCAACTGTATACTTGCATTGTTCTATATACATGCTCAACTGTACAACTGCTTTGTCTATAAACATACAGAACTGTATACCTGCAGTGTCTATATGCATGATGAACTGTATACAGTATACCTGCACTGTCTATATACAACTGTACAGTATGCTTTGTCTATAAACATACAGAACTGTATACCTGCAGTGTCTATATGCATGATGAACTGTACAGTATACCTGCACTGTCTATATACATGGTGAACTGTACAGTACACCTGCACTGTCTATATACATGGTGAACTGTATACCAGCATTGTCTATAACTTGTACATGGTGAACTGTATACCTGCACTGTCTATATACATGGTGAACTGTACAGTATACCTGCACTGTCTATATACATGGTGAACTGTATACCTGCATTGTCTATATACAAGGTGAACTATATACAGGGTACCTGCATTGTCGTTATACATGCTGGATCAAATGAAAACTTGTATAACGATTTTATTGAATATCAAGTCTATACAACAAACCTTTACAGTAAGTATATAGTTTGTGGACCATAAATGAATATATTGTACATACATTCTTCAAGTTTAATGTCAACACACACAGCCTTTGTAAGGTAGTGATTCAGTGTAGAGATATTTGTACAGTACACCTAATTCTCCCAGGATATAAAGTCGGTCTATGAACCTGATTAGATATGTTGTAATGGAGCTGGTCCTTATCCTCTGAGGGTGTTATCTGGAAGAATCTCTGTTTGTTGTTATCTGTAATGTTATCACAAAGTTCCAGGTGCACAATCTAGGAGTAGCTGTGCTGCTGCGACTGTCACCACTACCACCACTAACCTGACGGCTGGTTATCGTCCGCCTCTGCGAGTGATAACCACGACTAACATAATCGCTGGTTTTTACCCTTATCTTGTAACGGGTAGAGCAGCCGCCATTTTGAGTGACGGTGGCGAGACAAGTGTGGGTGGTCATCCACAGTGAATGGTAGTGTAGAGGACGAGGAGACGTATGATAGACACAAGAGTGTGAACCAGCACAGGAACAACTATAACCACTTCACAAACAATGTTCAAGTACCTCCTCCTAGCCACGCTCCTGGGTGGCGCCTATGCGGTGAGTTTATCTGAGTCACAGTTTACTTGATACTTCTTGCACTGTTGGCAAGTGCTGGGCATGCACTGGCTCCTGAATGTATCTAAACCAGCTCCAGTGTTGGTCAAGTCTGGTCTTGAAACAGCTCACTCTAGGTGCCATCACAACACTCTCTGGCAGGTTGATCCACGAGTTCACAACTCTCATTCTGAAAAAGTTACCACTCACAGTTTTCTGGACTTTCAGCTTCTTCAACCTTGAGCTGTGACCTCTTGTGGGGCGAGAGTCCGCTAGCTCCAGGTATGGACACTTGACAGAGTAGTGCCCTTTGAGATATTTATACACCTCAATTAGGTCTCCCCTTGCCCGTTTATAGTATAAGCTAGACAATTGCAGGCGCTCTAATCTCTCTGGGTAGCTGAGGTGGCAAAGTGCAGAGTGCAGGCACCAGTGAGGTGGCCCTCCTTTGGACATTTTCAATCAACTGACTTTCCCTAGCATATCTCGGGGACCAGACGGGGTGACAGTACTCTAGACGGGAAAGCACTTCACTCTTGAAGATCGTTACGAGGGACGGACCGTCTAGATATCTGAACGACATTCTTATAAGACTTAATAATTTAGTTGCTTGATTCACCTTCTTCTTGCAATGACCCAAGAACTTCAGTTCATAGTCAAAATACACACCCAGGTCCTTTTTGCATTCGGTCTCAATGTAGTTTCTTTGTCCCGTTGGGACATATGATACGCCACCTTACTGTTGGTGCATCCTCTTACACTTCATGACATTGAATCTTTGCAGCCATTTCTTCGACCATTCTTGAAGCTCACAGAGATCTTTCTGTAGCTCTTCACAGTCTGCTTAGTTCTTGATTTCCCTAAATAACAAAAATATATTTTTCAAAATCAGAAAGCAAAGCTACGTCAGGTTAATATGTTTTTATTTAAAAAATGCTGTTTAACCAAACCAAAAAGTTTCCAGGGCCTAGACCAGCTTTTCTCAAACTTTTTTGAGTGCAACCCAATTTTGAATATCTGGGAAATTTTGCAACCCATTGATTCAAATACAATAAATAAAAAACTGTAAAATCAAATTTAATGTTATGGAGTCATGTCCCTCGCTGCTGACTTGACATGACGACAACAAGTAGGTCATTATCTATACCAGTTATTGTTATCATGCTGTGTGCACATCTGTACTTAGGGATAACACAGTCTGTTTTACTTGTGACACACCTGGCCTTAAAACTTTAAATTGCTGCCATGCAAACAATCTTCCTGTGCTGACCCACATTGTGTCCTCAGAAGAGGGTATAAGAAATAAATTGTCAAAGCTAAAGGTTCATAAGTCCTGGCCCTGACATGGTGCATCCCAGAGTGCTAAGAGAGTTGTGCAACGAGCATGCTGAGCTCCTGAAGACCCTGTTCTGTAAATGCCTGGATGAGCAAAAGGTCCCCAGTGATTGGAAGATGGCTTATGTGAGTCATATATTCAAGAAGGGCGATTGACACTCCAATAATAATTATAAACCAGTGAGCCTGACTAGCATAATATGTAGAGTACTTGAGAACATTATAAGAGATGCCATGATGGAACATCTACTGCGAAACAACCTTTTAAAGGATTGCCAACATGATTTTATGTTGGGACGCTTCTGTTTAACACAATTACTCAAGGTACTGGATGTTTGGACCCGAATTCTGGAACACGTTGGCAATATCAACAATATATTGTTGATACTGATTTTGCCAAGGCTTTCAACAGCATATACCCCATGAAAGGCTGAAAATTAAACAAGAAGGGTATGGAATTCGGGGGAAGTGTCCTAGTGTGGATCGGAGACTATGTATTATAGCAAGCAGTTTCTGGTGAATAATGGTACAAAATTGTCATGTGTACCCGTGACAAGCGGGGTACCGCAGGGCAGTGTATTGGCCCCGCTGTTGTTTGTTCGCTTCATAAATGACATTCCAGAAGCTGTACCCTCCTCCACACAAATGTGTGCAGACGATGCCAAATTATTTAGGGAAATCAAGAACCAAGCAGTCTGTGAAGAGCTACAGAAAGAACATTTTGAGCTTCAAGAATGGTCTAAGAAATGGCTGCTAAGATTCAATGTCACGAAGTGTAAAAGGATGCACCAACAGTAAGGCGGCGTATCATATGTCCCAATGGGATGAAGAAACTGCATTAATTGAGACCCAATGCAAAAAGGACCTGGGTGTATATGATGGCAATGAATTGAAATTCTAGTAGGTCTTACAAGATGGTAGTTCAGATATCTGCTGTAGATGGTCCATCCCTTGTAATGATCTTCAAGAGTGAGGTGTTTCCCCGCCTGGAGTACTGTCTGGTCCCCGAGATATGCTAGGGACTGTCAGTTGATTGAAAATGTCCAAAGGAGGGCCATCAGACTGGTGCCTGCCCTTTGGCACCTCAATTATCCAGAGTGATTAGAGCACATGCAATTGCCTTGCTTATACTACAGATGGGCAAGGTGGGAGCTAAATGAGGTGTATAAACATTTCAAGGGGCATTACTCAGTTGAGTGTCCATACCTGGAGCTAGCGGACTCTCGCCCCACAAGAGGTCACAGCTCAAGGTTGAAGAAGCCGCAAGTCCAGACAACTGTGAGGGGTAACTTTTTCAGAGTGAGAGTTGTGAACTCTTGGAACAACCTGCCAGAGAGTGTTGTGATGGCACCGAGTGTGAGCTGTTTCATGACCGGACTTTACCAGCACTGGAGCAGGTTCAGATACATTCAGGAGCCAGTGCATGCCCAGTACTTGACAACAGTGCATAACAGAGACGTGGCCGACTGCCCAAGCGGCTAACAAGCCAATCAGTGGCGAAGAGAATAAAAGTAAAAAAAAAAAAAAAGTAAGACCTTGGAAAATATTTTACCTTAACTCTGTGTGAAGTTAAGTGAACATGTCTGGTTAATTAAGGAAGCATATTGTGGATGCTAGACTTAGATCTTAAATTACTGATGTACTTTAGCTCAAGTCACACAGTGCAACACTTACATCTTTGCTTTGAGGAATACTTATCATGTGAACCTCAAGTCACACAGGTGCAACACTTACACCTTCACTTATTAGGAATATTTTCATGGGAACCTTTATAAATTCAGATCTTGGATTTACTAACTTTGTACATTAATGTAGTTAAGGTAAATATATGTGTACTATAGAGTAATATTAATCCATTTTGTATGTTCATTCTTGTACTTAGATTAAGTGAAACATTTACTGCATGTATAGTCCCCCTTCACTTGGGCGCTTACAGGTGCTTGTCGTATAAACATTCCACAAATCATTATCATTGAGATATTTGTTTTAATATTGCTTTACTTTGATTCCATAATGTTTACTTTTGTGAGTTTCCTTCTGTTGAATGTAAATAAACACAGTGCTGCCACACTGCATAAAACCTGATTAGCCCCTGTAAATGCACTAGTGAAGGGGACTGTACATTCTTTCATCTCCAATTACTACATTAGCAAAAACTAACTGAAATGTCTGACAAGGGAAATTATGGATACTGTGTACGGGAATTCGTGTTGTGCATGAGAGTATTGTATTGTGGTGAGCAGCTGTTGGAGTAGTGTGTGGTAGCCAGGAATGGGAGGTTTGTGTTGGGCCAAAGGAAGTTTATACTACAGTACTGCGTTGGGGAAGGTATAGTTAGTACAGCAGCACAGTACTGGTCTTACAGCAGTAATCTCTTTGCTTTAATGGTAATGTGGGTGTGGCAGATGTGTGTTCCACCACAGCCCCAAGTTCAAGAAGCCACAAGAACAGATAATTGTCAGGGCTAACTTTTTTGGATTAAGAATTGTAAACTCTAGGAATATCCTGCCAGTGTTGTGACAGCCCCGAGCGTGAGTTTATTTAAGACCAGACTTAACCAATGCTGGCACAATTTCAGATACATTCAAGAACTTTAACTTGTCCAGCACAGTATAGTACAGTATTTACCAGCAATATGAAATGGAGAAATGACCAACTTTGCAAAATAAGAGTACAATAGCTGATTCTCTTGAATGGAATAGATTTGGAGATTTAGAACAGAAGATGCCTAGATAAGATCTTAATAACCACATGGGTGAGTGTGGGGATACACAGTGTACCATGAACTGATGTATTAATATGATTATAGCAGATTATGACATACATACAAAACATTAAGATCTGAGGAAGAGTTACAAATGTCATAAAAGTAAATTATGAAGTAGAAAACAATACAATCTAACATAATTCAGCTTCATATGTCATATATGGAAGTGGCGAGTGTTAACATAAAGTAGTGATAACGTTAAATGGTGTGGCACGAAAAATGGGAGTACAGTATGGTAGATTATGTAACGGAGATAAGAGATGGCAGCTACTCTGAGGTACTGCAAGGGCGGATGCAGGGGGGGGGGGTGTCCTGACCCCCCTCCTTTTCATCAGAAAATTCCCATACTGTTTCTTTAATGTAGTATTGTACCCAGGCATTTTTGTGTAGTAAAAAGTAATTACTATTGACCTCAGAATATCTCTTAATATCAAGTGCACATGGCTTCAAAATGCCCATGATATTGGTCAGATTTTCTAAAAATTTCGGGGGGGGGAGGGGGGGGCTTACAGCACCCCTCAAACCCCCTAGTTGGGTGGACTCGCTTTGCTCGCCATGTTCCCACACCCAAAACTTCTCAGACCCCCCGTCTTTTGATATTCCTGGATCTGCCCCTGTGCTTTTGAGCCGCTCTAGTATGTGTGTCAGCTGTACTGTACCCATATATGTACTGTACCATGGTTTTATCCAACAGCTGCAATGCAAGTGTGGAAAATGACTGTAAAATATTATTGATGATTATTATATTATTGTCATATAATTATTATTGTTGTTATTATAATTTATGTTAACATTGTGGACCAACAGGAAGGTTTGACCCAAGAAGAGGAGTTGTACATAGTGGCGGGTATCCTAGGAGGTGTGTGTCTCCTCCTCACCATTGCTTCCATCTACAACACCTTAACCATCATCAGGTGTGTACCTATGTGTCCTTCGCCACCATCACCATAAGTGTACCTGACCATTATCACTCTCCTCATCAACTTGGACTATTGTTAATTCATCTGACTGTCACTACCAGCATCATCCAGCTTGCACAGCCTCTTGACAGTACCCAGTAGGCACCATGGCCCAATACTACCTAACATTAAGAACTTGACAACTCTTGACAGTACCCAGTAGGTGCCGTGACCCAATACTACTTAACATTAAGAACTTGACAACTCTTGACAGTACCCAGTAGGTGCCGTGACCCAACACTACTTAACATTAAGAACTTGACAACTCTTGACAGTACCCAGTAGGTGCCGTGACCCAATACTACTTAACATTAAGAACTTGACAACTCTTGACAGTACCCAGTAGGTGCCGTGACCCAATACTACTTAACATTAAGAACTTGACAACTCTTGACAGTACCCAGTAGGTGCCGTGACCCAATACTACTTAACATTAAGAACTTGACAACTCTTAGGACAACCAAATATCTCCATATGGTTGGGTCATCACTTATCACAAATAAAGAATGGGGATATTGTGCCACTGATCACCACAGTTCACTTCCTAAAAAAAAGTTACTGAGTTACATTTTGCTGTACAGAATGTCACCTTACAATCATCACCAGGTATTACTGCTCTATATTACTCTATAATTACCATCAGGTGGTGATCCTTTACCATTATCAAGCGTCGTCCTTCTCACTCTGTCACCACAATTAAAATATACATAGTTGTCATCATTCATCTCTTTAATATTCATTCACTTATTTTTTTACAAATTTTCCTTGTCATTATTGGCTAAATCATTAACTATGATTATAAAAATATAATGTTGAATTCTTGTCCGAGTATATCAGTTATATTGACTGTCTCTCATTAGTCACAAACATTATCATCAATTTCTGTTACAGTTTATATAAAGTTATGTGTTCTGTATAATATCTAGAGTTAATATCTTAGGTACTTTTGTGTTTGTATACTTGTACTGAGACAGTGTCCTACAGCTTACAGTCCAAGGTGGCGGTGCTGCAGGCCACGGGGTCTGCTGTCACCAAGGTGGTGTCGGAGGCTGTCGCTGACCAGAGACGTGACGTAACTCCTCCACTCAGGTAAATACTAGAGGTGTGGCGTGGGTGAAGCTGGGGATAAGAAAGCTAGGTCAGGCTAGGATAAGGATAAGTTAGGCTGTGATAAGGAAAGGTCAGGCTCTTGTAAGGATAAATCAGGCTAGATTAAGGACAGGTCAGCTGGGACAAGGAAAGGTCAGCTGGGATAAGTACAGGTCAGTTAGAATAAGGACAGGTCAAATGGTATAGGGATAGGTACAGTATTGCTAAGAAAATAAATAGAGTTTATCTTTTCACCATTGATATTAATACTGTAGTAATGATTATGATAATAAAGACATTAATAATAATAAAAGTTACCATTATTAATGATTATAATAATAATACAGTACAGTACTCCTATTTGGGCTATCTTTATAGTACTGTACCCTGTACAGTTTACAGTTTTCTCTTTATTGATAAGACAAACTCTGTGGTTACTCACATATAACACTTTACAGTAAATAACAATCATCTGGTGAAAACAGTTGTTGACAACCAGACTTAGAGTACCCAGTACCCAGAAAATTCCGTGGAAGATTGATTTTTTCCGGCTTTGAGGATCGCCTTGTTACCCGGAAATCTCTCATTCCTGGAAGTGCTCTGCACTAATTGTTCTGGCTAATATATATATATATATATATATATATATATATATATATATATATATATATATATATATATATATATATATATATATATATATATATATATATATATATATATATATATATATATATATATATATATATATATATATATATATATATATATATATATATATATATATATATATATATATATATATATATATATATATATATATATATAAAATAACCTTCACTAACCTGAAGCAATTAATAAAATTAATAAAAGTTAAGTTAATAACTGTAATAATGTAATAAACAAGTTAATAATATTAATAAAGTAGTTAACATGTATAACAACATTAATAAAACAATCAACAACCATAATAATGTTAAACAGTGGTTAGTCCCTTGTATAAAGGGTCGCCCCTGAGCTGAATAAAACATCTGGCTTTAGCCAAATAAAATACAGTACTAAAAGGGGTGTCCCCATAGTGAAGGGGTTAATAACCTTAATAACATTTAAAAAATTGAATAACATAACAAAGCAATTAATAAGCATAACATTAATATATTTTACCAATTAATAATCTTTCAATATGACATTGTAAAGATATTATTGATAAAGGAAAACTAATAGAATAATAAGAATGAGAGGAGAGCAGTTACTGAGGCAGGTGATAATCCTAACAGGGAACCTTATGGTGGTGGACCAGCCAGGGAAGAACACAACCGTCGCCAGGACCGATCTGAGGACAACTTCCGCCGTCAACCTACACGAGACAACTTTAGGATGGAAAGGTACCTCATCACCACTGTACCACTATCATCACTGTACCACACATCTATCACCATTGTACCACAACACCACTATCCATCACTGTACAGTACCTCACCACCACTACTACCACCATCACCATCACTACGACCATCATCACCATCACTAATTCATTGCCACCATCACTAATTCACTACCACCATCATCACCATCACTACCACCATCATCACCATCACTAATTCATTGCCACCATCACTAATTCACTACCACCATTATCACCATCACTAATTCATGCCACCCTCATCACCACCACTACCACCATCATCACCCCACTAGTACTAGGTCACAGGAGTATAACAGAAGGATGCTGGCCCTTAAGTACACCCCTTTAGTCATGTTTTTAATCAGGGATGTGAGAGATTGAATACTGTAACCCAGGTAAGGCCTTCTACAGAGCTGTGTACAGTAGTTAAAAAAATATCTGACAGGTTGGGTCCGATGACAACCAAAATTATACGTTCAACTGGTGATGTCTCGGGAGGGTTGGTTTGCATGTCTTCACCCATCGCCATTCAGTATCCAACACAGGGGGTGAGTTGACATATGGGAATAAAATAAATGGTTAAATAATTACTATCACATAGTATAAGGAGACAACACATATATCCCAATACCTATCATCTGTGGTCTCATGATGTGTCACACAGAGTATGTACAGATACTTTATTAGCTACTGTACATATGTTATGAAGGCACATTATATTCAGCTACTGTGTGGTTTGGGGCATAACTGGCATGCTGTGTTTTATGAAATGCTCGGGTTTATACGCTAAGCTTTGAATATATATTGTAAACAACAGGGATTGATAATATATACAGTACAGGCATATAAACCAGCATGATATATTCAACATTACATTATTATACACACACAGAGCTCTTCCGGGGATGAGAGATTTCTAGGTGAGACAACTCTCAAGCCCGGAAAAATCCTACATCCCTGGAATTTTTCCTTGAGCTGGGAAAAGTTTTTAGAATTGTCCAGAATTACGCATTATTTTATCATCGGAATTTGCTCCCAAACCTGGAAATAAAAAGGTTAACACAACATACACACATACAAGGTTAACACAACATACACACATACAAGGTTAACACAACATACACACATACAAGGTTAACACAACATACACACATACAAGGTTAACACAACATACACACATACAAGGTTAACACAACATACACACATACAAGGTTAACACAACATACACACATACAAGGTTAACACAACATACACAGCTGTAAGGGGAATATCCCATCTAACCTAACTTTACCAAGCGTATTTTAACCTAATCTTATCAAACTTAAACTAAGCTAACCAAACCCAACCCGACCTAACCAAACCAAACCCAACCCCACCAGACCTAACCAAACCAAACCAAACCCAACCCCACCAGACCTAACCAAACCAAACCCAACCCCACCAGACCCAATCCCACCAAACCCCACCGGACCTAACCAAACCCAACCCAACCCCACCAGACCCAATCCTACCAAACCCCACCAGACCTAACCAAACCAAACTCCACCAGACTTAACCTAATCAAACCCAACCCTACCTGACCTAACCTAACCTTACCCGAAGATATTACTGTTTACTTTTATCCTCTTCGCCACTGATCGGTTCGCTAGCCACTTGAGTAGTTGGTCACGTCTCTGTAACACACTGATGACAAGTACTGGGCATGCACTGGCTACTGAATGTATCTGTACATGCACCAGTGTTGATCAAGTCTGGTTCTGAAAGAGCTCACATTCGGTGCTGCCATGTTTGGTAGTGAGGGCCGTCTTCCATGGTCCAGTGTTAGTACAGTACAGGAAGAAGCTGCCATGTTTGGTAGTGTCACACTGGTTAAAAAATTCTGGAATCACCAAGTTTTGTGAATAACAATAACAATGTGGTCCTAATGTTTACAGTGCATAATCTATTAATTTGTTTATCCTATTCATTTATCATTTCACCACTTACAAACCATTTGAGTGTTTGATCTTGTTTTTGTAACTTTGTCTATAATATTAAATACACACACCAATGTATTTTAATACCAAAATACTTTAAAATAAGTAAGTTAAGCGCCATATAAACAATACTTGAGCTTCACTACACACATACCCTCGCTCGACTGGTAATCTTTTACAACACTGCTCAGGGAGACCAACGCTGGGGTGGAGGCATTAACATATTTTAATACAGTACTGTACTTAGTAAGGCTTATTTTGTTATCAGATGCATATAAGTGTGGTGTTGCCCATGCAATGTTTTAGGTTCATCTAGGTATTATTTGTTGTGGGTAATGCTTACACCATGTACTGTACTGTACTTAACTGTACTGCTAACTTGGTTATCTGCTCAGCTTTCACCAAGCTCAACAGCACAGTACATGAATCAAGTGGTGAAAACTAAGCAGATATGGGTAGATATAAAATGACATTTCTGCTCTGATATGATTGTGTGGATTTGCTTTATACAGGATGAACAACGATTACTACAAGGACGACCGCTACTATGGAGGGTGAGTCTCACTTATGGATGGTGAGTCGTACTCAAGTGAAAGCAGACATGCATACTAGACGGCCAGTATTATATACTGTATTAGACTGAGTAATCTGTACAACATCGAGGATAAGTAACATATACCAACAAATATCACTTGATGCATGAATTAAATTTTCTTTGTTGATTGATATTTTATCACACATAATGTATAAACACACGCACACACCTTCTAGTGACAGTATAGGTACAACAACAACAAAAATGGGTTTTTCTTTGCACTTCTTCACTGAATATCATCAAGGTGTGTTTACTTCATATATATTCACTTCATTATCACTATGCAATGTGTCATGATCTATTCTTGTAAATGGGTTTTGTTTTTGCATCACAAAATAAACAAAAACTTTACAAGATTCTGATGTGAAAGAAAAATTCACCTCTAGCTTCCATGGTACAGTAACTGATGTCTAGAGAAACACAATAATAAAAGTTGTACTGTATTTGTTGTTGGTGATAGAAAATTGTTTTAACAGACCAGCGCCACCACCACGACCCATCAACCGCCAGGAGTCCCGGACTAGTGGCTACTACTGAACTCCTTCAAGATAACTCCTCACTACCTGAAGGTATATTCATTCATCTTTTAATTAACACTTAATACACACAACTCCTCCAACACAGGGCAGATCACCAGTTGTTGACACCTTCCCTCCGGGTTTTTCCGGACTTCCTCGACACAACACAGCATTTCTAGCAACATCTTGGTTACATATATCTTTTACATGTCAGTTTGTTATCATTATCTTCAGTTTAAAAAGTTTATATTTGAAAATTTTATGTTAACTACAGATGTGACCACACACCTGTACCTGACTTCAGTATTGTATACAGGTACTGTACTGTATTTGGGTTAACTCAAGAGGTCAAAGGCAAACTTTATATTCTTGTGCATCTCTCTTATCCAACACTACAGTTCTGTAAAGTGCACAATGAGCATCAGGCTGTCAAAGGTACTCCTGAATATATCGGAACCTGCTGTGTTGGTCAAGTCTGGCTTTGAATGAGCTCACACTCGGTGCCGTCACAACACTCTCTGGCAAATTGTTCCGAGAGTTGACAATTCTCACTCCAAAAATATTTGCCCTCACTGTTTTCTGACCTTGTGACTTCAACCTTAAACTGTGATCCCTTGTGGGCCAGCTCCGGGTATCACTGCCTAGTGCCTCTGAGATGTTTATACACTTTGATTAGGTCCCCCCTTTACTGTCTATAGTATATAAGTTAGGCAGTTGCAGGAGTTCTAAATTTCTCTGGGTAGCTGAGGTTCTGTAGAGCAGGCACTGGTGGCCCTGCTCTACAGTACTTTGTGAAAGAGTTACTCTTTTACTTCTACTTGAGTAACATTTTGGCAATGTAACAATACTTTTACTTAAGTAACAAAGTACGGTACTTTTTACAACTTTGATCATGAATAAGAGCACCATCTCAACTAACCTAGTGAGTGGGATCCTGTCCTGTCTAAGGCTATGGCAACACTGGATCTCATTTGCATTAGTTTTAACCATTCTTACCAGTACTATAGGTTGTAGGTGGCTGTCACTTGTCATTCCTGGACCATATAACCCATAGTGTGAGACACAGCCAGGACCTCTCCCTTCAAGTGATGTAATTAACAGTGAGGACCATAGTCTTCTCTTTCCAACAATAATGAAGAAGATTATCCATGACCCAGATAAGGTCGGGGATGCCAAGATAATGGAACTGAAATAAGAGGAGAGGTCATTGTAAGTTTCATTATGGCCACATGTGTAACTCCATTACAGGAAAGCTCTTGCTGAACTATCGTAGAGTGACCTCATACATCTTTCATCATCCTTTAATTCTCAGCTCCGATACTGTACACAGTCAATCATTCTTTATCACAACACAGTAAAAATAATTCCAGTGTGTTATCAGTTGATCTGGTTATAAGAATTTCCAGTGATAAGCTGGTTGTCAGAACCCTTTGAGGACAAAAGCTTAAACTATCACCATTAAAGGGTTAAACTCTTCATTCTTAAAGGGTTAACATTGTCCTCAATGGGTAAAAACCATCATTTTCAAAGGGCTGAATTATTATCCTTTAAAATTATTGTCCTCAAAGGGTTCATAACAAGAGATGTTGACATTTAAACTTTGAATAATGAGGACTTATCACTGATAAGAGAGATACCAACATGAACTCCACCAAGTAAACTAAGAAATTTTGTTGTGATAGTGAGCACGTTTTTTATGTACAGCACAGTACTGTACTGTACTGTACTTGAACATTTAGGATTACTTCTGGTTTATCTTTGTCCAGGAAGTGTTAAGTCAGGGCAAATATTTCTAACAAGAATAAAGAGGAGCAACTATGAAAGAAACAAACTCAACACTTGTGTGTGTGTCTGTCTTTGATCATGGCTTGCCACTCAGTGCCGTCTCATCCATCCACCTCTGAGACCCACCCCACTGGCATCACACCTTTTATATCTGTTCATAACACAAAGCTAAGTAATAATGGCAGTATACTGCATTACAAAGGTCTGTGTCTATAACCTTTAATAGGAAGACTAGGTAATATTTTGTGAAGTAACTGTAAATGGAGTGAACACAAAAAGGCAACAAAATGAAGAAAAGAAAATATTGCACAAAGTTAGCCAGGGGTCACTCACAGTAGTCCTGGTACAGTATTTGGAACTTTGATCTTCAACAAAATTCATGTAGATTAATAACTTGCTTAGTGATGTGTGAGTCAATATCTACTCCTCTAGTCTCAAGATCAACTCTCACCTTTGACTTCCCCAGTTGACCCACATGTACTTATCACATCTAGAACTTCATGAGTAGTGCATGTTGCGTATGGTCACTCAACATAACATCCATCTTGAGATTCCTTTTAAATGACACAAATGGACAGACACAGTTAAACAGAGATTGTAGTTAAAATCTAGGTTGATTCACTTGCTGGTTGTCCTCGAGTTTTGTTAATATAACTTAAGGATGGTAAGCAGAGGTACAATTTGAGGCAAGGCATGTAATGTTATAGTAATTATTGTATTTATTTTCAGATCTGGTACTTCACACAACAATAGCATCAAACTAGCCAAGGCGTGTTCCAATTTTCTTATGGCAACTAACGTCAGACAAACCAGGAAGCAATAGTACACCTTTAATTCTAAGTTTCCTACTCACTTTATGGCACTTTGAAACGAACACACACACACACACACACTGTACTGTACCTGTCATTTAGAACTATGAAATCCCCTTCCATTAAGACGAGTTTTGAGGTTCATAGTTGGCAAGATAAGTTCCAAGGTGATAGACATGTACTACAGTACTGTATAAACATCTACATAACTTTGATCCCTTGAAGAATTCCCTCTCTGCTGTTACACACTGTACAGTATGTTCCCTTACGCATGATTCATCACCACATGCCAAGGAAGATTACTGGCTCATGGATGTGTCCATGATTACTTGGTACATATAATGTACCATATTTACTACTAGTAATTCTTTTTCCTGATATAATTCATGGAATTTTTGTTCCCCATTTATCTTATAACACTTTGTTGTATAAACTGCCCTGTAGCAAGTTAGTGAGAAATGGAGTGACAAAGATTTGTGTGATGAATATTCCTCAGATCTGAAGGCTGTCAAATTGTAACTGTTTGAGTTAATATGGACAAAAATACCAAAAATATTGTGCCGAGACTCATTCTGAACTACAGTAGATACATTCACTTACCACCAGCCAAGAGGTAAACCCACGGCAGCCATCATCAGTGGAATTTAGCTGTAGGGACAGTGGCTATCATCAGTGGAAGTTAGCTGTAGGGACGGTGGCCATCATCAGTGGAATTTAGCTGTAGGGACAGTGGCTATCATCAGTGGAAGTTAGCTGTAGGGACGGTGGCCATCATCAGTGGAAGTTAGCTGTAGGGACAGTGGCCATCATCAGTGGAAGTTAGCTGTAGGGACAGTGGCCATCATCAGTGGAAGTTAGCTGTAGGGACGGTGGCCATCATCAGTGGAAGTTAGCTGTAGGGACAGTGGCTATCATCAGTGGAAGTTAGCTGTAGGGACGGTGGCCATCATCAGTGGAAGTTAGCTGTAGGGACGGTGGCCATCATCAGTGGAAGTTAGCTGTAGGGACGGTGGCCATCATTAGGAGACACTTCATGTTCCCTGTGTTCTTTATTTGCACATATGGAAGTGGAGTGAGGAATCCTGAGCCGGCATTTAAAGGTAGAGAATCTTTTGAAAAAAATCCTTTATTCATATTTCATTTAATGACTGATGGTAGAAACTTCAACATACAGTACGGTCATCTCTCAATTTATAAAAGAGTTTTGTTCCTCAAAACCATTTGTGAACTGTTCATTCATTAATCTTGGGATAACTGTACACTGTATTTGTGTTCTTCTCTAATTTATGTTAGACATATTCTTACACCTTCACCTTTTGGATGAACTCACTACAATTCTCTGTCACTCTGGATCAGCACCTTTGTAAATTTAAAATTTCACAATTATCATTTTATTCTGTACAGTACATATTTTTTTTTTTTTTAAACAAAACTTTACCTCCAGCAAAAGTTTGACACAAATATAATTATTGCTGGTACAGTATATATTATTTTTAAAGTCTTATAAGCACTCATTTTGATATGTTTACACAGTAAATAATTATTGTATTCTTAAGGGCTAATGCTATTAATTAAATCATCACATATACAGTATTAAGCATAGTTGTTTTATATTGTACAGGTAAAGATCCTTGGGGTCAAGACTGAACCATTTTCTAGTTTCCTGGGTTCTAGGTCATCCATATTGTCCCAGTCCTACTAGGAGACTATGTCAAGATTTACTGTACTTACACACACACAATGATTGTTTTACTTCTACAATAACAAAGCAAACATCGTTGGCTATTTGTTCTCTCCTGACCAATATTAATTTCAAAAGCTACTGTATGTAAAAAATGTAACATTTAAATATAGAGATAATCATGGGTATTGGGTTGTTTATTCAGACAATAATTATTTATGATCACAAACTGTAACTCACTGGAAGCAGCTGGGATGTCTACAAACCCATTTAACTTGTAACTATTTTGAGAACTCTGTATTGATTTATTTTTATTTGAAGTATGTATATACTAATGGTGTTTTATTTATGAATAACTCAAACATTTAGCAGATTGTGTGTGTGAAGCAAATCTTGTATTACCAAGGTTAGAAATCTTCAGTAAGTGTCCGGTTTATAAGAATTTCCGGTTTTCTGAGATCAAGTTTGGAGGGTCTGTACTGTACTGTACCTATATTTTAATATGAGTCAATTTATTATTACAACGAAAAATAAATAAGATATTCACAAACACACCTTCAATTTCCTTCAGATTCTTGTCGTAATTTGTCCTAATAGCCCGCACACACGGGCTATACTGAACTCGTGGGGCTAGGTTTGTAAATGTTTCTCCTAGTTTAAAATGCATCAAAAAAAAAAAAAAAAAAAAAAAAAAAAAAAAATTATATATATATATATATATATATATATATATATACCAAAACAACTATTGAGCAACTAAATTAATGCTCGTCACAAATCCTCCATTACTACGTGAAGAATTCTAAAATTCTGGGTGTGCAGTATTACCATGTGTCACATTTTGAAAGTACTGTGCTGTACAAGAGTACGGTCAGTTTGAACATCGTGTCATTTTTGTTGCATACGTCCAAATGAAAGGTCCCAATGAACTCCATTGATTTCTAAATCACGTGAGAAAAAACACTTGTGTGAAAGAGGTCTAATATGATTTTTTTTCCAAACATGAACTAAATTCCATTAAGTTAAAAAAGATGAAGTTATCCTCACTTGGCACCAAGATCCTCTTCTGTAAACTAAATATTGATGGTCCTATTCTGTACATACAATATTTTCATTATTTCTCTGTAAATCACAGATTTTCAACTGAGCAGTGAAGGAGATACTGTAGGTATGTTTAATTGGTACACAAGCCAACAAGGATAGACAGACAAACACACACACTTAATTGTCAAACTATTGCTGCTTTTAATCTCACATCATTCATTCAGGAAGAATCAATCTTAAATACAAATATTCTTTATTAGTGAACCTCTGTTAACTTTGTTCAATATAATTTCAAAATGGTATTTGCAGGGATGGTCTGCCCCTTCAAAGTTTTGTGACAGCACACCATAAATGTTCATAAACACACGGAACTTAGTCTTTCCAAGTTCTGTACTGTCAATTAGTTTAGCCTTGATGCTCCATCATTGTAGTAACCAAACAACAAGGTTTTGTTTTATAAAAGCAAATAACATATAACAGTCCATTTATTTCTCAATATACAGTTTACAAATATTCTCATTTAAAACTCAACATGACCCTCGGGTGTTCTGTTACAGTAGACTCTCCAGATGTGCAGACTTTATTATATTGTGTATTAATGGGATACATATTTTCTATACACAACAACTTCATACAATTATATCCATTCATCTGTAAAGAAACAAAATAAATGGTGAGGTGACGGTTCCATTACGTAATAAAGATCACTTAAAATAATAAAGGCATCCCAGGGTTACGGAAGGGTTCCGTTCTTGAAAACTTCCGTAATACAGGACCAATTTTCACATCGACTCCTATTATATAATTTGAGATGTGTTCCCACAGAAAAATTTTTCGGCCCAAAAATGAAATACACCTGTACAAGCACTTATACGAATGAAAATAAACCGTTTTAAACACTACAATGATTTATTCACGATCTTCAAACTTTTTCATCACAATCCAGTACAATTTTATGCAGTACCTTCACAACCTTATATATTCGGGAAAAGTAATTTCGCTACATCTTCAAGTTACTTATCTGATAAAGCTATCATTGCTAACTTACAATGAAGCTAATTTGCATTACATCAATTGCATAGATAAATTATGTAATACCCTATACTGTATGTAAATTCTATTTTTTTTATTCTATCATAGTGATGTTAATACGTACTGTAGTTTTACTCGAATGCCAGTAAATGAAATGACTACATGAAACGAATTACCTTTCTCAATTATTCATAATATGTACATGTATTTATTTACCTACCTACATACATATATATATATATTGATTAAAAACACATGTGATGTAATTTTAAACCAGTGTTTTTGTAGATTTTGACAAAATAATTGCAAACCATGTAAAACTGCTAAGTAAAATGCAAAAAATAAGACAGAGAAAGGCAGTTTATTTACCAGCTCAATTTGACTTGTGGGCCTGCCTGTTGCTTGTGATCTTGGTCCAATCTGGCTTACAGGAAGATAATGCCACACGCATATCAGCTGCAGTATTGAGTTGGTTTCTCTCTTTGGTTTTAGCTTTGTCATGGTGGAAAAACCTGCTTCACACATGTAAGTTGTTGTAAAAGTAAGCAACAGCAAGACACTTTCCTTACTTAAGAGTGGATATTCTTTGGTAACACTGATGATGACTTGTGCCGATTCTTAATTAATCATCACATGTGAGAGCGAGAAACTCTTTTTCCTGATCAGGTGTTAAGTTCAACCGTACAATAGATTCTGGCCTCTCAAAAGCAAATGGATCTTTTACCAGTATTTTTCTCTCAAAAATTTGAACTTCTCCTAAGGAAAATACTGATTGAAGCTGGCATACAAAGCAAGGAAGTGCAGATGTACATCACCTTTCATTTTCTTCAAACTTTCTTCAGTGATGCAGTTTTCCTCAATATATTGCAAGTGTTGGGAACATGCAGTAGATGGGGCAATCAACTCCAAGTCTGGCTTGCCATAGCACTACTGATTTCTTAAATGCTTTTATTTCCTCACTGTGTCGGCATACATCATATTCCTTTTCTTGCAGTTTCAGATTAAGCTCACAGCTTTGAAAAAATGTCTGCTAGGTGTGACAGTCTCAATATCCAATCATCATTGCAAAATAAGTCTGCCAAATCAGATTTTTTTCTCTAAGAGGAAAAGTTGAATCTCTATCCTTAGCTCATAAACCCTGGTTTGAATTCTGGCATGGGAAACCCACCGAACCTCTGTATGATACAAAAAGTGTGAATGATCAGCTCCCATTTCTAAGCACCAATTCAAACAGCCGACTGTTCAGTGAACTTTTGATCATATGAACAACTTTCACCACATCTTTCAGAACATCCTTGAGATTATCAGGGATACCTTTGGCAGCCAGTGCTTCACGGTGAGTGAAACAAAGTTATGTCTTTACCTGCTGCCTCTGATATTTTATTCACAACCCCACTGTTTTTACCAGTCATATTAGCTGCACCATCAGTTGTAATTCCTTTGCAATTACTTTAGTCCAATCCAGTTTGTATTTTCCAACTACATAATCATTTAATACTCTATATCTCTCTGACCCCGAAGAGTGTGTAGGTAAGGTCAAACAACAGCATAAATCTTCCAAAAAGTCATCTTTCCATGTATATCTCACATACAAAAACAATGTTGCACAGTTTGATTTGTCGGTACATACTTTCATCAAGTTGGATAGCAAATTCTCCAACAGGTTGTAGACGTGAAACCAGCTGGAATTCTAAATCTTCTGCAATAGCACTTATCTGCCAAGACACTGTTGCATCACTGAGAGGGACACATTTGATATTATCTGCAATCTTATCATCAAGGAATGTACTCACTATATCCAGTTTCTTCTCTGGAAGTACTCAAGTGGTTTGCCAATGAGTTCAGTGTGTTTTGTCTCAAGGTGTCTTTTCAATTTGGACGGTTTCAAACTTTCATTTGCAAGAACTTCTTTGCAAATCACACACCGAGGCCTTTGTTCTTTTTTGTCCTGTTCACACCTTGCTAAGCTGTACTTCAAAAAATCATCACTATACAGTGCTGCCTTGTCCAGGACTTAATTTTCTTGTTTTGCAGGGGGTTCAGAAGGGGAGACTAATGAAGAGGTCTCTCCCCTACTCCTCACACTTTCAACTGTAGGGCTCGCTGACTGCTAATCTTTCTCAGATCATATGTATCTGATGACCGAGAAGGTACTTTGCTTTTTCTTATAATAAAATGATCCATTATCTTTGGGGTGGTGAAAGGTATGGTTAGCAAAGGGATTACTTTCACCCTCCTACAGTACACCCACTCCTTGGTGTTCATTTAAGGTGTTTGTATGATATCGTGGGTTAAATTATTGCCAAGGCGTCCTTCTCTGTCTCACACTGGTTTCATGAACATCTCCCAAGTCTGTGATTGTAAAATTTTCTTTACTGTTGAGTTTTACTGCAATCATGGCTCCTAAGAGGAAAATTAATGGCAGTGCTTGTGGTGGTGAGTGAGAAAAAGAAAAAAGGTCATATTGTACTATACTGTGAGAACTTTTGAAGACACTGGATTTACCAAGGAGTTATACGTATACTGTACTGTATATACAAGGGGCACCCAAATATACGCGAATTCGCACTTATGCAGGATCCCAAGAATGTAACTCTCACATACTCTGAGACCCTACAGTACACACAGTGAATAAAATTACTTACCAAGAAAGATTTTATCTACTGTGGACTTGGACTCAATGGATCAAAGCCAACAAAATCGCTGGCTGTCTTCACTCCAACAATGAAGAAGAGGACACTTTTCATTAAAGACCTAAAGGAAAGGCAAACAAATGAGGTTCTGTATCAGTAAATCATTATATATATATATATATATATATATATATATATATATATATATATATATATATATATATATATATATATATATATATATATATATATATATATATATTCTGTATATAGTAAAAGTCCAAAAATCCGGATGCCAGAAATCCGGACCACCCGAGAATCCGGACTTTTCGAAAACTTTCAAACTTTTTAAATTTAGCGGGCTACGTGACTGAATGGAGTTCCTTTAAAAGAATTAATTTACATAATTCTAATAATAAAAGTAATTGTAAATTATAGGTAGCTAATTTTGTTAGTTTAGTAATTAGCTTGTCCTCAAATGTAAAATTTGTGGCACTATAAATCTTTTGTGTGTATGTGTGCATGCATGAACGCCACAGCTACACAGCGACAACAAGCGACCACGCGATCGCCACTTTAAAACAAGCAATCAAACTGTGACAACATACGTAATTTTGAGTCCTACTCTTTCCATTTACAGAGTACAAGCCCATAATAATGGCTCCTAAAGTAGATAAACTTCGTTGTGTGAAGAGAAAGAAGAACACATTGAAATTGAGTGACAAACTTGAAATAATTAAGACACTAGAACGTGGTGTGAGCAATAATGATCTAAAGGAAACATACGACATTGGAAAGTCTACAATTTATGATATAAAAAAGGCAAAGAATAAAATTCTAGAATTCACAGCTTCTTCTGAGCCATACATTAAAATTGCTGAAAGAAAAAGTTTACATTGGCCCAAAATAGAAAATCTTGATAAAGTGTTGCAAGAATGGTTTTTGTTAAAACGATCAGAAGGCATGGCAATTTATGGGCAGATGCTTATTGCCAAAGCAAAGTCTTTTAAGGAGCAAATAAACATTGAATCAGAGTGCGCATTTAGTGATGGATGGCTTAGGAATTTCAAGACTCGTCATGGTATTAGACTGTTTACATTTTTGTCAAGTGTTGACTTTATTTTTCTTTAAAACTGCCCGTTTTGATAAATGAAGCATGCTTTACTTGGTAATGAATAAACTATCAAAATGTACCTGTTCATCTCTTCTTTATTCCTCCTTAAATTTGAATTTTAAAAGTACTGCCTGAGAATACGGAAAATCCGAAAATCCGGAACGACCCAATCCCCAAGCAGTCCGGATTTTTGGACTTCTACTCTGTATTTAAATGTGCTCAGAATTTTCTGGAAAATTCCAGTTGGGAATGATTTTCTGAGAAAATTTCAATTCCGGTTATCAGTTCCAGCTAATGGATATATTAATACATTGATGTTTCCCAACTTAAGTAAACACCCAAAAAAGTGTCTTAGAATTGTCTAAACTACCAATTCCAAAACTTAAAATCCTAAAAATTGCTGGATGACCGAAATAATTTTACCTTCAAAAGTTTGTCTGGTGTTATTTTTAGTATTTTATCCGACATTTTCCCACTACTACTTCAAACTCCTGCCCACTCTGAACAACTGATATTGTTGTAAACTTTATCAATTAAAATACTAAAAAAAAAAATTAATTTCTGATGGAAATGCAGTAAATTTTTAGAAATTGGCCATAATGGTTTTGGACATGAAACTTACATTTTTCTGGTGGTTTTTGATGTGTTTTGAACGATTCTGACCTTAATTTCTATCACAAATGACTAGTTTTTGAGTTTGGCAATCTTGGGGGACCCGTGGGAAATTTGGGTTTTTGGGTGAGAGCAAAAACGAGTGATATGCTATATAAATTACCAAAGTTGGCTCGGATTTTCCATTTTTAACAAGTAAATAAAAGCTAAAATTTGAAAATCCGAGCCAAGTTTTGGCAAAAGATTATAATCAAATTTGAATGACTCACACCAAAACCCATCGGAACAACCCAGGTTTCATCTCAAAATCAGTTTCTGTATCAACCTAGCCTAAACAAACACTGTACTTGGAAAAGATTCGATGACTCCCTAACAAATTAATATGATTTTCTTGAAAACAAATAATTTGCGACGGAAACGTTACTAAGAAAAGTTGTTAGAAATGATGATATACAGAATACCTAGAACTGGACCCAAAATATATTGTGTGACATTATGGGCAACTTTTAAAAAAATACCAGAAATGCTATAGGAGAAAAGTGCTAAATCACCGGCGGGTCAATCGTCGATAATTACCAGAAAGTGTCTTAAAATTGTCTAAACTACTGATTCCAAAACTTAAAAACCTAAAAATCGTAGGATAACCCAAACGATAATAATACCGGGTTAGGTTAGGTTAGGTTAGGTTGAAATTATGTTTTTCCGATATTTTTGATGTTTTGAACGATTGTGACCTTCGGAAAATAGGTGATGACTGAAAGGACATTTACCGTTTCAACTTGGATTCCGTCTAGTGGCAACAGGTGACAATTGCCGTTGAGGGTGATAACCACTATGAAGGTAACAATGTACACTATGAAAATATTTTCCATGGTAATGTCTATACATGGCAATATGGAATATTTAACCACTCGTCTTTTAAACTGATTAATTGCCTCAATAAATACCTACTTGCAGCAAAAGTAGTCTTACCACTTAAAAGGGTCGTAGTACACGTTGAGGATGGCGCCCTTGATCCCTCCTCTCTCTGGTCGGCGAGTCTCAGGAGCTGCTGGCATTATCTTGAACATGATGAAGATTCCTGTTCTATGTTTTTACCGGTGTTGTAACGTCTGCTGTGCTTCAACCACTACACTAACAAGGGTAGTAACAGTCCGGCCACACTAACGAGGGTAGTAACAGTCCGGCCAGCCTCAACAACACCTAACATACACCACCTTTGTTTACATCCACCAAAAGATTTTTGCACTATATATACATATATACATTGTCTCAATATCTTCTAAAGCCTATACATATTGTCATAAATTAAAATAACCATATTTAACATATAAACATTTATATAAATTTATTATATATATTCATTGTTCATAAAAAATACAAAAATATTTTCCTGGATAAAATCGAATTTATATACTGTCTCTGGTGATTTGCATCTCTGGGTGTTTTCTCTCCTTTTATATGTACAAGTACTATCCTTTTTCGCCAATTTATCAGCTTAATTGCCGTGCTTCAAACATAAACTATATTTCCAAACCAAATAAAGCCTTACTTAATTTTTTGTTATTTTTTAATTTTTGTGTATCACGCCAACTGCCTATTGAACATCTTAATGCAGGAATGTTTAATACCTTTGGGGTTTTTAGTAGTCAATAAGCTAAAATAAAGAAACTGTTCAACGCCTCCACTTTGTGTTGGTCAGAATCTGCATAACTACCACCATCTTCAAGCCTCAAGCCCGATAATCCAACTTGAATTTTTAATTTCGACTTTGCGTAGCAGTAAAATGCCTTTGGGTTTGACTTGACCTCGCTTTCAATCAGCCTCTGGAACTCCTTTCCAGCCCGTCTATTCTCTGACTTTGCTTGGTTCCTGGATCTGGCATACATCCTCCTGTCCTGCTCATCGTTTGTTCTAACCCACGTCTTGAATTTCTGGGTTTCCTTCTTAACTTTGTCGACCGCCGCATGGTTCATGTGTAGCGGTCTCTTTGCATTCCTGGAGGCACTGGGTTTGGTCTTGGGTTAGGACAGGAGGATGTATGCCAGATCCAGGAACCAGGCTGAAAATTAATCTGGAATGGTGCGGGATTCGGGGAAGTGTCCGAGCGTGGATCGGAGACTTTCTGTATGACCGCAAACAGTGAGTGGTGATTAATGGCACGAAATCGTCGTGTGTACCCGTGACAAGCGGGGTACCGCAGGGCAGTGTATTGGCCATGCTGTTATTTGTTTGCTTCATAATTGACATGCCAGAAGCTGTACACTCCTCCATACAATTTTGTGCGGACGATGCCAAGTTATTCAGGGAAATTAAGAACCAAGCAGACTGTGAAGAGATGCAGAAAAATCTCTGCGAGCTTCAAGAATAGTCGAAGAAAACTTTTTTGGAGTGAGAGTTGTGAACTCTTGGAACAATCTGCCAGAGACTCAGAGAGTGTTGTGAGTCTGTGACGGCAGCTAAGGCAAGGAGCAAAACTTGAACATAAAACGAATGAATATTCATGTCTAAATATTCCGAACTCGGTTAATTTGGATTTTTCGGCAATTCAAGTGACCTAGAGCCCCCACTTTTTCTTACCGAACAAATATCTCCACAAACTTAACATTATACACTACTGTATTATCTCTTAACTAAACTGTATTGAAGTGTCACACGTCTATGCTCACCAGATCAAAGAGACGAGTTGATTAAAGTTCCTTTTAAATGGCAAGCATTAACTATACGGCCACCCTGGACGCTGATTGGTGGAGGAGGATTATGTAAATAACTTTTTCTTTTTCTTTTATCTTCTTCGCCACTGATAGGCTTGTTAGCCGCTTGGGCGATCGGTCACGTCTCTGATTACTTTTCCTTTTCATTTATCTTCTTCACCAAAAGATCGGCTCGCTAGCCGCCCGGGCGATCGGTCACGTCTCTGTCACACACTGTTGGCAAATACTGGGCATGCACCGGCTCCTGAATGTACCTGAACCCGCTCCAGTGTTGGTCAAGTCTTGTCTTGAAAGATCTCACACTCGGTGCCGTCACAACACTCTCTGGTAGATTGTTCCAAGAGTTTACAACCCTCACTCCGAAAAGGTTTGCCCTCACGGTTTTCTGGATTTGCGGCTTCTTCAATCTTGAGCTGTGACCCCTTGTGGGGTGAGCGTCCGCCAGCTCCAAGTAAGGACACTCAACTGAGTAGTGCCCCCTGAGATGCTTATACACCTCAACTAGGTCCCCCCTTGCCCGTCTGTAGTATAAGCTAGGCAAGTTCAGGCGCTCCAATCTCTCAGGGTAGCTGAGGTGCCGAAGTGCAGGCACCAGTTTGGTGGCCCTCCTTTGAACATTTTCAACCAACTGACAGTCCCTAGCATATCTCGGGGACCAGATGGGGTGACAGTACTCCAGATGGGGAAGCACTTCACTCCTGAAGATCGTTACGAGGGACGGACCGTCTAGATATCTGAACGACCTTCTTATAAGACCCAATAATTTATTTGCCTGATTTACCTTCTTCTCGCAATGGCCCGAGAACTTCAGCTCATTGTCAACATACACACCTAGGTCCTTCTCACACACAGTCTCAACTAGTGCAGTTTCTTCATCCCGTTGGGACATATGATACGCCTCCTTACCGTTGGTACGCCCCAGGTGCATCCTCTTACACTTCGTGACATTGATTCTCAGCAGCCATTTCTTCTACCATTCTTGGAGCCCACAGAGATCCTTCTGCAGCTCTTCACAGTCCGCTTGGTTCTTAATTTCCCGAAATAACTTGGCGTCATCGGCAAACATTTGTATGGAGGAGTGTACAACGTCAGGCATGTCATTTATGAAACAAACAAACAACAGCGGGCCCAATACACTGCTCTGTGGTACCCCACTTGTGACAGGTACAGATGACGATTTCGTACCATTAATCACCACACACTGCTTGCTGTCATGTAGAAAGTCTTCTATCCACGCTAGGACATTTCCCCGAATTCCGTACCCTTCCAGTTTGATTTTCAGCCTTTCGTGGGGTACACTGTCGAAAGCCTTGGCAAAATCTAGGTAAATATTGTCGATATTATCACTCCGTTCCAGAATATGGGTCCAAATATCCAATACCTTGAGCAATTGTGTTAAGCAGGAGCGCCCCGGCATAAAACCGTGTTGGCAATCTTTTACAAGGTTGTTTCGTATTAGATGTTCCATTGCGGCATCTCTGATAATACGCTCAAGTACTTTACATATTATGTTGGTCAGGCTCACTGGTTTATAGTTGTTCGTGGAGTGACGATCGCCCTTCTTGAAGATAGGACTCACATAAGCCACTTTCCATTCACTAGAATCCGGATTTTAAGAACGCGTGAGTAAAATTCGAATTTAATGAGTAAACTACTAAATACTCATAAATACGGTACACCTAATTATAGTCTACTAAGAAAAAATATTAATTGTTTGTTAACCAGCTTGTTGTTCTGTGTATATATTTCTAGTTTGTTATGGTGGGTAAATAAAATTAAACAACACTGTACAACCATAGATTCTCTTATTCTTAACATTGGTCAGATATATAAGTATAGTGAATCAATTAACTTCTGTAGGCTCAAGGCACCAAGTGTTCCAGTCCATCACAGTTCTTCTCGACACAGCCAGTCACTATACAACTGCTTCTGCACAGTCACCATTCTGCAGCCGCCACAGCTTATAAATATTTGTGCTTCTGCTGTGTGTTCGTCTTCGTCCATCTTCTCTATAGTGGCAGAACGGCAGCTATACATAACCATCTGGATTTTGACTCTGCCATCGCCAAGCGTCAGCACCTACGGGGAAGAAATATGGTGTAGCTGTTACTTGGGTTCAGTTAGTATTACTCTACAACAGTTAGTTAAAGGTATAGGTGTTAAAACAGGTGTTATTATTTAGCAGGTATGGTTCATTTTGATGCTCTAATTTAATGCATTACTACACTTCAACAACTAGGGTTTGTAAGCGTGTATACTAGATTAGCAATGATTTTGATAGACTGTCGAGGGTAAAATAAATAGACAGCGAGGAAACACAAACTCACACATCTGGTTGAGGTCTCTGGTAGCTCGCCATCCTAGCTGCAGTTCGGCCAGGGCACAACAAGCTACCATGGTCGCTACATCACCTTCCCGACGACCCACTATCTTGTATGGGATCTTTCTGTTACTCGCTCTGTTGGTTGATACAAAATGAAGGTTATCCATAAATCATGAAGATCACCTGAAGATTAACCCCACTAGCTTATTTCACTTGGAAGTTTAGGTTAGATTTACTTTGGATATGTTATGTTAGGTTATCTTAAGGTTGTTTAATAATTATGTAAAATAAGCCTAAATAAACCTCTTCACTAAAATACACATTTTTTTAAAGCCCCCAAACCTCCTGGAAACCTGCATCACCAATATGTGTCTAAAAGCTTCATTACCACACTCACTATGGCTAACAGATAAGCGTTAATCTCGCACAGTATATTATAACATCAGTGTGCTTGGGTCACCTGGTGAAGGCGTCGACCATCTCTAGGACGGACACTCCACGACCTGTGCCGAGGTTGTATGCCACAGACCCCTTGAAGTCCTCACTGAACATCTTGTCCAGTGCCGCCACATGACCCCCTGCGAGGTCCATCACGTGTATGTAGTCCCGCACACCTGTTGAGTAGACCTGCTTGAGTGCCACATACCTACTGAGTATATCTGAGTGCCACAAGACTGTTAAATACACCTACTTGAGTGCCATACACCTATTGAGTACATGTGAGTGCCACAAAACTGTTAAGTATACATGCTTGAGTGCCATATAGCTGTTGAGTACACCTGTTTAAGTGCCACTCATCTATTAATTTAATGACACCTGCGAATGCACTATACACCTATTGAGTACACCTGCATGAGTGTAAAACAACTGTAGATTACACCTGTTGAAGCGCCAAACATCTATTAATAACACCTGTGAATGTGCTACACACCTGTATAAGTGCTACTCACCTGTTGCGTGCCACATATTTTGATAAATAAACTTGGTATTATTCTAATGGCCAGGAGTTGAATATAAAACCTCTCTATCTCCCTTAACAATAATAATCCCCATTAAAATAACAATCTACCTTAATTAACAACAACAACTCCCTGAAGAAAGTACCTGGTGTTTGCTCGATTGTACAGTACCTGCCATATACCTAGGATATACCCGTCCATACCTGTGCCATCTGCAGTGTCGTAGTCATCACCGTACACACTCAATATCTCCCTCTTGCCCACAGCCACCTGAGCTATGTACGGCAGCAGGTTATTGGGAGGTCCTCGGGGGTCCTCACCTATCATGCCAGACTCGTGGGCTCCGACAGGGTTGAAGTACCTCAGTAGCACCACCTGCCATTCCTGTAACACCAAGGACCACTCAGTAACACAGACACTGTAACACCGAAAAATACTCAGTAACACCACCTACCACTCCTGTAACACCCAAGAACAAACACTCTGTAACACCATCTTTTATTCCTATAACACCCAAGGACACTCAGTAACACCATCTGCCACACCTGTACCACCAGTAACACTTAATAACACTCCTTCAAAGTGAATGTAACACAAATAACACCCCCCACAATGTTAATAGTATATCAGTCACTCGTAACATCAAATTTTATCCCAGTAACACTCTCTGAAGGTTACGGTAACGTAGTAATATGACCACGTACCTTGTCTGCTGTGGCGAGGTCCTTCATAATCTGCTCACAGAAGTGCTTGGTGTGTCCGTAGGGGTTAGTGACGCCCTGGCCTGTTGGATGACGCTCGTCCGTAGGTAAGTACTGAGGGGTCCCATAGACTGTGGCGGACGAAGAGTAGACGATTTTCTTCACCCCAGCCTCGCTCATCACCTAAGGGCGAACACAGTGTTACAGGGTGTTAAGACAGTGTTACAGGGTGTTAAGATAGTGTTACAGGGTGTTAAGAGTGTTACAGGATGTTAAGACAGTGTTACAGGGTGTTAAGGTAGTGTTACAGGGTGTTAAGACAGTGTTACAGGGTGTTAAGAGTGTTACAGGATGTTAAGACAGTGTTACAGGGTGCTAAGACAGTGTTACAGGATGTTAAGACAGTGTTACAGGGTGTTAAGACAGTGCTACAGGGTGCTAAGACAGTGTTACAGGGTGTTAAGACAGTGTTACAGGGTGTTAAGGTAGTGTTACAGGGTGTTAAGACAGTGTTAACATAATTCAGTACTACCAGACCTTAAGTATTTTAGACAAGACACTATGCTACCTACAGAGAGAGAGAGAGAGAGAGAGAGAGAGAGAGAGACTTACCTCCAGCAGTGTAAGAGTACCCGTGACGTTGTTGACATAGTAAGTAAGCGGCATCTCCACTGATTCACCCACAGCCTTCAGCGCCGCGAAGTGGATCACCACGTCTACCTTATGCTGTGTGGCGGAGGGAGGGAGAGAGAGGGTAGGTAAGGTATGGAGGTAAGTAAGGAATAAATGTAACAAAATAATCCATGATTTAAGATTATTATACAGTTCAAAAATATACTCAATGGAGATAATAAATATTAGGCTGGAATTCAAGGATGATTTGTTTTGATAAGGAAGAGTTACAGACAGACAGACAGCCTCCCTCACCTTAACGAAGATTTGAGACAGTGCTGGGCGGTCTAAGAGGGACACCGTGTAAAAGGCGGTTACCTCCTTCCCCGTGATAGTGTGTACGCGAGCTAGGGACGGGGGCAGGTGCTTCACGCCTCTCCTGGTCAGAAGGGCGGGAGAGCCCTTGTCATGCTCACCGTTGACAGAGGGTACAGTGTCGCCCTTGTCATGCCCACCGTTGACAAAAGGTACAGTGTCGTCCTTGTCATGCCCGCCGTTGACAGAGGGTACAGTGTCGTCCTTGTCATGCCCACCGTTGACGGAGGGCAGGGGAGCGATGTTGGCAGGGGGCGCGGCACTATTGACGCAGTTGTCCACTACTACAACTTGATGACCCGCCAGCAGCAGCTCCACCACTGTATGTGACCCAACGAACCCCGCGCCGCCCGTCACCAGCACCGTGTGATTCATCCTCTGCCCTGTGCTGTTAAGAGAACGTATCCGTCACCACATGTTACAATGCAGGTCAACCTTCTGAAACATGGACGCTGTAATAATTAGCTGTACTTTACGTTAACACTAGCAGTACCCTGTTGCATAAACAAACACTAAAACTGTCACGATGTCTTGCGGAAACCGGAGGACATTTAACTCTCTCTCTAATATCACTAGAGGCAGGGATAGACAGACGTAGATACAGACAGACAGATTGACAGAAACTGTACCTCACTGCAAGACGTCAAACTGAGGACTGATGCCATTGTCTGCTGTTATCTGGTCATTGGCGCAAGATAGTCAGTCGGTCATTATCATGCTGTAGAGAACTCATAGATAGTGTACCATCACCTGACACACTGTACCATCACCTGACACACTGTACCATCACCTGACACTACAAGCTGACACAAACTGTTTCAGGATCAGCTGATCAGTGTAAACAAACGCAGGGAGAGGATCATGATCAGCTGACACACTTTACCATCAGCTGACAAATACACACAATCAGCTGACACACACACACAAACATGCATACACTGGTGACGTCATAACCTGTTTACAAAACGCCCATAACTTGAAGAGATAATGGTGGGGGGAGGCAGAGAGATAGAGATAAGAGAGATAGATATACACTCATCTTTACTATCTCTCTGCTCTTATCTGTATCTCTCTATCTCTCACTATCTCCGTTATTCGCTACGATATTTGAGTGACTGTTTGTCCTCGCCTCTCGCTTGTTACCACTGCAGCGATTATTATCATAATTATTACAGCAACAAGTACTACGAATAATAATAATAATAAATTGCTACTGTTATTATTTTACCATTACTAACTATTTCTACTTTTACTTTTTTTTACCACAACTATTATTACGATAACTATCAGCATATAAATTTAATATTCTGGTCAGTTATACAAATTTTGTCTCCTAATTAGTTAAGTGAATGTATCTAGTTAAAGTAGGGTGTTATGTGTAAATTAGGAGTTGTATCTTGACTATTTCTGTAATTAATAGTATCACCTGAAGAATATCCATCCTAGCTTATTTCAACTGAAGATTAACCACCCTAACGCTAACTTAAACTCACCTCATCCCTCTTAGTATCGTTAGGGTAGTTAATCTTCAGGTGAAATAAGCTGGGGTGGATATTCTTCAGGTGAAAATAAGTTGGGAAGGAGATAATCTTATTTGTACACTTTTAGTTTCGTGTTAAATTAATAGTACGAATTCGTGTTAGTCATTCTTTATCATGTTTTCATAGAGGATGTTTTTATCGTACTCGAAGCATTATTATGGTACTCTAGGGGTTACAATTATCGTCTTCAAAAAGCTCTTATCCTTTCCTGTGAAGTCTATTATAGTCATGCAAAGCAAACTCGTCAAACAGGTGCAGGTATATAAACAATGGTAAACAGTAATTTGGTTTATTCAGGTATAACCCAATAGTTCTCTCAAAATATTATTTACATTGAGGATAATTTCATAAACAACTGTGTGTCGTTCTCCTAAACAACTACAACGGGCGAATTGACACGTGCAAACCTTTTAATACTCAGCAGGTAAACAAATAATGTATTGCACCTATGTGGTGCCAGCATCACCAGTTGGCGCCATACACGTGTTTTACTCCGCCAGCTGACGCCTCATATGTGAGGCGCCTCCGTCACCAGCTATCACTGACTTGGCACAGCCATCGCCTCCACCACCCCCTCTTCCTCCACTCAGTGTTTCGTCACGTTTCACACATTTCACTCCATCCTTTGCGGTAATCCTCCACCAGCTCTCACAAGCCAAGCGTCTCTAACTTTCTCATTCAGATTTCTTTCAGACAGGACAGCACAATAAGAGTGACACGTTAGTGTTGAACACAGTACACGTGTGTGTGTGTGTGTGGCAGAGGTGAGCCCGGGTGTGTACTGAGTAACAGTCACAATCAATACAATAGAGTTCCCCTCACAGGCACTGTGCCAGTTTTATTACAGAAAACGGGCACCTGAGAGAATGTGTAAATAAATTATTTATACAGGGGTAACTTCACTACGTTGTGACTTACTTTAAACAAATAAATTTATGGATACTTTCAAGTGAAAATAAAACAAACGCGTCTTTTGGACTCATTTTTTTTAATTTCTAGTTTATCTTCTACTGAAGTTTCACCAAATCGATTGTTATAATGTATAAAATGTAAATCTGGAGAGCAAGGAAAGAACTGATTTCGAATTTACTTCAGCAGAAAGAAGGGGCCACGAAGAACAGATTAAAGTAATCATCCCTGAAATTTGTCTAATTTCAGATGGGATAAATCACCCTGTATTGCACTGCCAAATCTACAGCACCCACGACCAATTTCCCGCTGTTCAAGACGTTTTCCTCCCTCAACAGATTTACATTTTATGCATTAAAACTATCGTGTGATTTTGTTATTTACAACACATTTAACTTATTACTGTCATAATTCGCGTCTTGACGGTATAATATTACACCAATCACGTCACGCCATCGGTGTTTATTGTGTAATTTCCCCAATTTTCATCGTAATTTCAAGGCTTAAGGTATAATTTCGCTTGTGATAGTATGATTTTGCCAATTACTCTATAATTTTAGTGGCAACACTATAATTTCATTGCTCACGCTATAATTCTGATACTTAAAATTACTTACTTTACACTGTGATTAAGATATGTACGCTATAATTTCACAAGTAAAAGTACCCAGTCGAGTGTCCTTACTTGGAGCTGGCGGACGCTCGCCCCACAAGGGGTCACAGCTCAAGATTGAAGAAGCCGCAAGTCCAGAAAACTGTGAGGGCAAACTTTTTCGGAGTGAGGGTTGAAAATTCTTGGAACAATCTACCAGAGAGTGTTGTGACGGCACCGAGTGTGAGCTCTTTCAAGACCAGACTTGACCAACACTGGAGCGGGTTCAGATACATTCAGGAGCCGGTGCATGCCCAGTACTTGCCAACAGTGTGTGACAGAGACGTGACCGATCGCCCGGGTGGCTAGCGAGCCGATCAGTGGCGAAGAGGATAAAAGTAAAGTAAAAATAATTCTGTTAATTATACTCTAATTCCGCTACTTATGCTATAATCCTATTACTAATCTTCAACTCTGCTACTGAAGCTATAATTCCGCTACTTACGCTATAATCCTATTACTAATCTTCAACTCTGCTACTTAAGCTATAATTCCGCTACATACAGTAAAATTTCGCTATTTAAGTTACAATTACAGAAGTGCCTGTATAATTACGGTATTGAAGCTAATAATCGTACTCTTGCATCACCATTACGAAAATTACACTAATTATGCTGTTAACTTTATTTGTTTTACGTATTTTTTACTAATGAGGAATATTAGTCTTATCGTGTGCATGAGAGAGCCTTTTACTTTTCACTTTTATCCTCTTCGCCACTGATCGGCTTGTTAGCCGCTTGGGCGATCGGTCACGACTCTTTTCCTTTATATTCTTCACCAAAAGGTCGGCTCGCTAGCCGCCCGGGCGATCGGTCACGTCTCTGTCACGCACTGTTGGCAAATACTGGGCATGCACCGGCTCCTGAATGTACCTGAACCCGCTCCAGTGTTGGTCAAGTCTTCTCTTGAAAGAGCTCACACTCGGTGCCGTCACAACACTTTCTGGTAGATTGTTCCAAGAGTTTACAACCCTCACTCCGAAAAAGTTTGCCCTCACGGTTTTCCGGACTTGCGGCTTCTTCAATCTTGAGCTGTGACCCCTTGTGGGGCGAGCGTCCGCCAGCTCCAAGTAAGGACACTCAACTGAGTAGTGCCCCCTGAGATGCTTATAAACCTCAACTAGGTCCCCCCTTGCCCGTCTGTAGTATAAGCTAGGCAAGTTCAGGCGCTCCAATCTCGCAGGGTAGCTGAGATGCCGAAGTGCAGGCACCAGCTTGGTGGCCCTCCTTTGAACATTTTCAACCAACTGACAGTCCCTAGCATATCTCGGGGACCAGATGGGGTGACAGTACTCCAGATGGGGAAGCACTTCACTCCTGAAGATCGTCACGAGGGACGGACCGTCTAGATATCTGAACGACCTTCTTATAAGACCCAATAATTTATTTGCCTGATTTACCTTCTTCTCACAATGGCCCGAGAACTTCAGCTCATTGTCAACATACACACCTAGGTCCTTCTCACACACAGTCTCAACTAGTACATTTTCTTCATCCCGTTGGGACATATGGTACGCCTCCTTACCGTTGGTACGCCCCAGGTGCATCCTCTTACACTTCGTGACATTGAATCTCAGCAGCCATTCCTTCGACCATTCCTGGAGCCCACAGAGGTCCTTCTGCAGCTCTTCACAGTCCGCTTGGTTCTTAATTTCCCGAAATAACTTGGCGTCATCGGCAAACATTTGTATGGAGGAGTGTACAACGTCAGGCATATCATTTATGAAACAAACAAACAACAGCGGGCCCAATACACTACCCTGCGGTACCCCACTTGTTACAGGTACAGATGACGATTTCGTGCCATTAATCACCACACATTGCTTGCGGTCATGTAGAAAGTCTTCTATCCACGCTAGGACATTTCCCCGAATTCCGTACCCTTCCAGTTTGATTTTCAGCCTTTCGTGGGGTACACTGTCGAAAGCCTTGGCAAAATCTAGGTAAATATTGTCGATATTACCACCCCGTTCTAGAATATGGGTCCAAATATCCAATACCTTGAGCAGTGTGAGAGTGAGTGAGAGAGATTCGGTGATAAGGCAGGTGAGTTTGGGTAACAGGTGTTGCCACACACACACACACACACACACACACACACACATTAAAACATATGTACAGTCACGCGCACATACACACCCACACATACATATTATACATTGCTTATGTAAGTTCACGACTGTCCACTGGTAAACACACACACACACACACGCACATGTACACTACATACACTTGTGTCGTGGTGAACATTTACCTATTTTTCACACCTGGTAATTAGGGTCTTAATTTAAAAAGATTTCTGCGTGGTCACAATGAAAATGATAATAACAATAATAATAATTATAATAATAATATTAATAATAATAATAATAACAATAATAATAATAATAATAATAATAATAATAATAATAATAATAATAACAATAATTAATAATAATATTATTAAAGTATTACAAATACTATTACTACACCGGGCCGGGGTAACTTGTGGTCCACTACACCGGATAGATAGATATAAGTAGATACATATGTACTGTACACATATAGCTGGAAATATAAGAAAATACAGTAGATATACATGTGTGTAAACTAGATAAATACAAATATATTAACAAATAAGTAGAGATAGATTATAAAACGAGACAAATAGATATATACAAAGACAAATAGACAGGCAGAGACAGACGGGACATGCACACCCTGTCTTCCACTCTTCTGGTGAGCGAGTCCCCACCGTCATATCAGAGGAAGGCGAAGTGACTTTTACGCTTACTAACGTCATCGTATCAGCCCTGAGCCCTATTTTTGTCACTCGGCACTAACTAGCGTCATGTTTAAAAAATATATGATACTAATTAGTTACTAGTTGATGTACGAAATATAGGAGTTAAGTTGTGCGGTTGGATGTACAAATATTAGTTGAGTTACTCTTTAAATCGACCTAGTTTTCTGTCATTCCAAAGCATCAACCTCAAGATAGCTCGGCAGACAGATAGATAGATAGATAGATAGATAGATAGATACTGTAGTTATTCAGAAAAATCGTCATACAAATCACATTAATTCATCGATATACATTGTCAATTTAACCAGGGGGGGGGGGCGATAACACACACAATTATGTCCAGGGTAGGAGTCCTACTTGACTGAGACACACGTGAGAAGGGTGACACACCTTCACTACATCACAGGTTTCCCGAATTCCGGTTTCTTTCTGGTAATTGGTAAAATGATAAATAAAATAAGACACCTTTACTAGAAACTCGCAAAGACACGTAGAGTAACAGAGACGTGGCAGATCGCCCAAGCGGCTAACGAGCCGATCAGTGGTGAAGAGGATAAAAGTATAAAAAAAAGCAAGTTATATTTTCATCTCAGTAAAAAAATTAAAGAACTTATCTATCTATGGTAATGTCTAAGTACAATTTCGATGCCATTTTGCTTAAGTGAACCTGTATATAGATAAATTCTCGTACACGTGTACTTATGAATTATGGGATTAATTAATAAATAAACACTTGATAAGCCGCACCATTAATAAAGCTGCCAGGTGACGCCAGGGGACAAAATTTATGTACTGTACGTCTTACACTAATACGGAACCAACAAGAAATACCAGAAATAATTAACACTCAGAAAAACCTAACCTAACCTTACGTACCCAACACCAACCAGCAGTCCGTAACGAAAAACTGTAACCTACTGACCATCAGCTAATTACGAAGACGATACGTAAATACAGTATAATTAACAGAGTAATTAAGATTAAGCAAAAGGGAAACGGGTGAATAAAGAAATGAGTTAGGCTTCAGACAAGCGAGGCGAGCCAAGCTAACGGATGTGTCACTCTGGCTAACCTGAAAAAGACCGTCATATCAGCGGTAACATCCTGGTGGTGGAAGGGAGCATGCAAGAAATGTTTGGTAGCTGCTGTTGTGGCTGTGTTGTTCCTGATATTACTACGTGCACGCTCTTTGGGTCTTCTGTGACAGTATAATTATGGGTGTTAAGTGACGGTATATGTGTTTCACGTGATGGTATATGTGTTTTAAGCGACGGCATATACTATATGCCAAATTCAAATGACGAGTGACGATACATAACGCGGTACTCACTTGGGACTGAATCTCGACCTTTTAATGACACTTGAAGACATGTGGAATTCGCTAAAGACTCTGTGGCATTTAATGACCGCCAGGTTCAGGTATACATTCAGGAGCTGGTGCATGCCCAGTACTTGCCAACAGTACGTAACAGACGTGACCGATCGCCCAAGCGGCTAACGAGCCGATCAGTTGTGAAGAGGATAAAAGAAAAAAGAAAAGATATAATTAAGTGCTGGTATACTGCCAGACTGGGGTCACTAATCCTAAGGGGGAATACTTAACTCTAATCTTAATTTCTAAGGGTCGCTGCCACCAGACCCCCTCTGGACAGCATGTAGCTCGTTAGGTAGCGTGCAGAGTGGACTAGGCATTGGGTTAGGTTTTTTATTGACCAGATCGATAAGGGAAAGAAGGGTGAAACCACAACCTGTCTTAATCCTTTCAAATGTTCCTTCTACTCACTTCAGTTCATTTTTGGTACTACCTAACCACAGTTCTTCTTGGTAGCATGTCGATGGTCTAGGCACATGGGTAGGCGAGTTATCCTTTAACAATGTTTCCCGTTTTCTGAGATTCTACAAGCGCGGTGGATTTGAATGTTAAATAGCGTAATATTAATTAAATGGGGTTTTTAGGAATGACAATGATGTGCGCAGTACACTGGACTACTGTTGCCTAAGTACTGTCTCTGCCACTGGACAATGTGCTTCCGTCACTACATACTGAACACTGAAAAGCTGTAGCTACTAATGAGAGTCCATGGAGCAGGAACTCACCCACACTGGAATCAAACTCCAATCCGATCATTTGCGCGACTAGCAACCTAACTACCTCACAACCCAAAATTTTTTTTTTATTTCTTTTTATATTGAAGAAGTGAATAAATAAGTTACATTAAAACACCAAGTGGTCGATAAAGTATTAAAAAAGAAGATAAGTTTTAAGACCTACAGAAGAACGCCCCCGCCATCATGGGACTGAAGGCCAGTTGTTCATGTTGTTCATGTTGTTCATGTTGCCGCTCTGACTCTGATGATTCTACTGGTTTATGTTCTAACCTGACCCTGTACAATGATAGATAGATAGATAGATAGATAGATAGATATTCAGTGATAGACAAATAGACATTAAGTGATAAAGATTACTCAAGTCTAGAATTCTTAATAGCAATGAAAATCTATCACGTATTTTGACTCCGTTCTCTCTCATCTACAGGAATTATCAGCATAACATAACAGTTGGTCCCCTTAAGACAGCTGTTACTGAAGGGGTTATAATGGGGGTCTAATTTCGTTTAGTACCCACTTTTCTCAGATCTCCTTAACTTAATCCTACTTGTAGTCTTTCCATCGGACGCCCATGTAAACATCGTTCAGTAAAGTTTTTAATAAGAACCTGTAGTGAACATTACCCCGGCATTTGTTAGTGTTTAATAAAGTATAACAGCTAATAAAATATAAATGTTTCTAAAAAATATTAGTAACATTTACAGTATTTGTGAATTATTTTAGACTCCTTTATATTTAATTTATTTTCTAAGTTTATTTAAATTTATTTTGTTTTTAATGATTAGAGAACATGACTATATAGGTACAGTATAGTTATTATGGTCAATATGGCGGTCCATTTTAACCCATAATTTTGTATTTTCTCTATAAACTTCAGAGAGGAAATTTTCTACTCAAGTTTCATCATTTAGACACATCTACTTAACTAAATTTAACCTAACCAATTAAATCACATTGGATTTGGCTGGTAAATCATCTTAATTACCTGTTATAAAAGAATGGATCACAACATTGACCACTGTACTAAAAACAAACACATTTAATACACAGAAAACATCAAATATGTTTAATAAATTTGATATGTTTTGTGTAATTGGCAGAAAATGACAAACACGAGGATTTAACAGAAGGGAAAGATGGCAACACGTCAAAAGCTGGTGATGAGGTAGAAGATAAGAGTGATCCCATTCCTCCTACCAAGACGGTCATCACTCTCCTTATAGCTCTCCGTTACTTTAAAAGTCGCACGCCCAATGAAGTCACTGTTCTAAAGGGTGACAAGATGTTACTGCTGAACAGAAAGTGAGTGAAAGATATCTCTCTCTCTCTCTCTCATAGCACCTCACTTGTCTCAAATAAAATTCTGCTAGCTTCACGTAATGTGAAGGGTTCCAAATAGCTACCCAACATTCACACTAGCCTCCCAATATCCACCAGCTTCATATAGATCCCCAAATAGCCTCCCAACACTTCCAATAGCCTCATACAGGTCCCCAAATAGCCTCCCAACACTTCCACTAGCCTCATACAGGTCCCCAAATAGCATCCCAGCACTTCCACTAGCCTCATACAGGTCCCCAAATTGCCTCTCAACACTTCCAATAGCCTCATAGCCTCATACAGGTCCCCAAATAGCATCCCAGCACTTCCACTAGCCTCATACAGGTCCCCAAATAGCCTCCCAACACTTCCAATAGCCTCATACAGGTCCCCAAATAGCCTCTCAACACTTCCAATAGCCTCATACAGGTCCCCAAATAGCATCCCAGCACTTCCAATAGCCTCCTACAGGTCCCCAAATAGCCTCCCAGCACTTCCACCCCTCATACAGGTCCCCAAATAGCCTCCCAGCACTTCCAATAGCCTCCACAGGTCCCCAGCCTCCTTCCCACCTAGCCTCATACAGGTCCCCCAAATAGCCTCCCAACACTTCCAATAGCCTCATACAGGTCCCCCAAATAGCCTCCCAGCACTTCAATAGCCTCATACAGGTCCCCAAATAGCCTCCCAGCACTTCCACCTAGCCTCATACAGGTCCTAGCCTCCCAACACTTCAATAGCCACAGGTCCCAAATAGCCTCCCAGCACTTCCACCTAGCCTCATACAGGTCCCCAATAGCCTCCCAGCACTTCCAATAGCCTCACATGTGGGTCCCCAAATAGCCTCCCAGCACTTCCACTGGCCTCCCAGCACTTCCACTAGCCTCAGGTCCCAAATAGCCTCCCAGCACTTACTAGCCTCCTACAGGGTCCCCAAATAGCCTCCTTCCAATAGCCTCATACAGGTCCCCAAATAGCCTCCCAACACTTCCACTAGCCTCATACAGGTCCCCAAATAGCATCCCAGCACTTCCACTAGCCTCATACAGGTCCCCAAATTGCCTCTCAATATGCCCCATTATCTGGTCAACAGGAGTAAAGACTGGTGGTTCGTGGAAGTGATAAGGACCAAGAATCAAGGCTACATACCCAGGTCCATCGTGGCTCGACTACCCACCGCCGGGGTCCTAGCGGCCAAGAAACCTGCCACCCTCGTCCAGGTCCATGACGGAAAGCCTGCCAATCTGGACAAGACCAAAAATGAAGATGAAGCAGATGACGAAAGCAAGAACGACAGTGGGACAGAAAATGAGATTAATAATGAGGATGAGACAGAAAATGAGATCAATAATGAGGATGAGACAGAAAATGAGATCAATAATGAGGATAAGGCAGAAAATGAGATCAATAACGAAGGTGAGATGGAAAATGAGATCAATAACGAAGGTGAGATGGAAAATGAGATCAATAATGAGGGTGAGAAAGACATCGAGATGATCGGGGATGAGATGGAAATAATCAGAGGAGTCGAGGAAGAGGATGTGCATAGCTCAAAGAACTCCAAATTCTCGTTCTTCTCCAAGATTTTATTCCGAAGACGCTGAAGCACTTGTGAAAGTGATGGTCGTAATCCACAGAACAACGTGCCATTGAGACTAGACTATGAGTGATGGGAAACTGTTGGGGTGAATCAAAATCGAAAAGGTTGTTTGGGGTCATCTACTATTGCTAATGCTAATAACTGCTACCCTGGAACATATATCCCAGTACAATCCTGTGGCTAGTGTTTTGAGTTGGACATGACTTTGCAAATGAAGTGACTCTGTGATCCGTGGTGGCCCAAAAATGACCCGAGGGCCAGTTTCCTCACCTCTGCCTGAGACCATGTTTCAGCAGGTCCGACTAATTACCCAAATGTAGCCAAATATAGCCGGCTATACACTTATTAGGTATATTGTTTTAATAGTGTTTGTTATCGAGCACTTTGTGGACAGGTTCAGCCACGCCTCAATGACCCTAATGGTTTTACTGTTTTAATAATAATTAACAAATTAAATACTGAATATAATACCCTTTGGGATCTATAAAATAAGTCTGAACGTATTACACTACAGCTAATAAATTGGGTCAACCTTTCTGTTGTAAATGTCTTTGAACATATTTCTTTTTCTGAAATGGCATCTTCCTCTCACCACTTGACTACAGTATATATATTTTTGTGTGTGACTCTTCTTGATACAGGTTGGATCCCGCTAATCCGGGAGCTGATAGTCCAGCAGCTTCGATAGTTCAGGACAGTGTCATAGCTCACTTCTAGTGGCTGTTGCCACTATTTTACCTTTAAATACTTATAATTTACCCCTAATTATGCCTCGTAAGAGACCAGCAAGCAGTGGAAGTAGTTGTAATGTGGTAAAACGTAATCATGTGACATTAACTATTTTAGAAAAGGTATCTATACTGAAGAAATTAGGCAGTACAGGCAATAGTACATCTTATGCATTATTTTGCCTTTTTTTTTAACCTCAGCTACGATGGTTCGGAATTTTTGCTAATCCGGAACCGGTCTGGTCCCAAGCTTCCTGGACTAGTGAGTTCCAACCTGTACGGGTACAAAATTTTGATGTATGGTACAATTTGAATACAAACCTAATTTATATCGAATATAGTGAAACCTCTATTTAACGGACTATATAGAGATGAAATTCTGTTATATCAAGGGTCTGTATGATGTAAAACCTTCCAACTAAAGGATTACATAGGGAGAAAAGTCCATTATATGGAGTTTTCACTGTAAAACTAATAATAAACCTTAATAAGGACCAATCTGATATTACTAAATTACTATGATAATGTACCGGTACTTGATGTTACTTAAATCACTGTTAAATACTGAATTAGTTATCTGATGTAAAGTTATTGTAAGTTATTCTTCAGATGCATATAAAGTATAAGTCATTTGAATTCGCTTTAACCTTGGCTGTTTGGAGAGAATTTTGTAAGTTAACGTTAGAATTAGAGTTAAATATGTCAGTTATTCATTTGTTATTATTTCTAATTTCCATTAATTATCATCTTAGTATAAACATTTATTTAACATGCTGATGCTAACCTAACATAACCTATTGTAACATGATGATGCTAACCTAACATAACCTATTGTAACATGATGATGCTAACCTAACATAACCTATTGTAACATGATGATGCTAACCTAGCATAACCTATTGCAACATGATGATGCTAACCTAACAACCTATTGTAACATGATGATGCTAACCTAGCATAACCTATTGCAACATGATGATGCTAACCTAACAACCTATTGTAACATGATGATGCTAACCTAACAACCTACTGTAAATGATGATGCTAACCTAACAACCTATTGTAACCCCCTGATGCTAACATAGCCTAATGTAATCCCCTGATGCTAACCTAAACACCTTAACCAAACACCTTCAGGTATTAGTTGAATCATGTGAAATAAGCTAGGGTGGTGCAATCATCAGGTATACTGTGTAATTTTAGTAATTGGCAAGAGCCACCTGTCACCAACACCTGTGTGGTATTAGTGTGTTTATTTGACTATTCTGTCTCATGAATATTGTTGGTATGTGGTCAAATGGGTCCAGGTTATAAAAGATCTTGATCTAGCCTAATTTTACTCATTCTAACCTAATCTAATTAAATCTAACCTAATTGAACTTAATTTAACCTAACCATATCATTACTATCTCAGCAGATCCACTCATTAAACATAGTAAAATAAAAAACTAAAAAAATTCTAACTTTACCAAAAACTTAACACCAACCTATCATAATAGAAGAGTATAATCATTACAACATGGACTGACTTCACCAACCTATAATTTGTACAGCTATAATAAATGTAATCATCACAATATATTAATGGAGAATATGATGTCTTTTAAGTTACCTTTATAGAACCAAACACAGACTGTATAAGATCAGGTTTATTATATCTCATGCTGGTTTATGTCTCATGTCTGGTTCAAATGTCTGCTAATGCATACTAATATTTAAGTTATTTATTGATATTTGGTTATATTATGCAGTTAATGTTTGGTTAGGTTAATGCAAAATGATAAGAGATGCCGGTAGTGATGATAGGGATGCTGATGGTGGTAGTAGTAGTGGTAGAGGTGGTAGTGCTAGTAGTGGTGGTAGCAGTGCTAGTGCTAGTAGGGGTGGTAGCTGGTAGTGGTGGTAGCAGTGGTAGTGCTAGTAGTGGTGGTAGCTGGTAGCAGTGGCAGTGCTAGTAGTGGTGGTAGCAGTGGTAGTGCTAGTCATAGTGGTAGTGGTGGTAGAGGACAAAGGCAGACCTAATGAGAGTTGTGATAACAAAGATAAAAACTTGAGTATTTTTTATATTAGTTGTCGAGCATCAATCTCGTGAACCAGCTATGTAACATTACCTCTTAACTGTACCACTAGCACTACCACACAACACTATGACATGACACACTACACAACCTACCACATGACACACCACACAACACTACCACACCAAAAATGTAATACAAAGTTATGGCATCACTAAAAGACGAGATATTAAATGGAATAAAATACAACTGCAAGACTAAAGTGCAGGTTGTATGTGCTGACAGAAGATGAAGTTTGATATAAACAAACTTATAGTAAAACAAAAGTTTCTGTTACATCGAAGTTCTACACTGTACTGTCCTTGGAAACACTAATCTACTTCAACCATGAATTCAACAGAAGTCATCTAACACTGTACAATACTCTACCACAGGATTATAAATAGGAAAACATTATCTTATGTCATCTTTATTAATGTTCTATGGTAGGAAAACATTCCAAATACAATAATTATAATAATAACAACTATAATAATTATAATAATAATAATAAACATTAGATGTAATGTTTTAATAAAAGTCTATTATATTACTTCAATAAACATTTAAAGGGTTTATATCAGAGGTTCAGAGTGAGCATGATACTGATTTTGAAACTTGGGTGTATCTGTGTGTAAGTATGCACACACACAACACACACACTCCTAACAAGAGTGTGCTGCCCACTCCCACCTCTGATATGACCTGTTAATAACAAGACTCACAAAAGCTGTGAAAAAATGAGTCTACGGTGCTGAGTTACGACTCGTGTGAGTCTAAAAGGTGATAATGGTGAGCCAAGACTCTGGACTCTACAAGACTGTGGTACACTTGTAGTAGTAAACTAGAGCACTGAAGCTGTGAGTTGTACGTGAAGTAGGCAACAAGATCAGTACTGTAGGAGGAGACACCACCTTCAGAGACGTACAATATCTTACTTTATGTGTTTACAATGGATAGCATCATTGCTTTACAAGCCAACATCCCTGACACTGCTATATACCCCCTGGGGCATCCACAAAAGAATCATACAAATTATACATATTCAATAGATAATATTATATGTATTGCATATACTATTTATGTGCATTAAATGATGTGTAATATTATATACTGGTATATATTATTTATATATGTATTACTATGTGAAATATACTACTGTATATATGTACTGTATTATTTATCTGTGCTATAAGTAAGATTCTTTTGCGGTCACCTTGTGCAGTAAACCCTTGCCATTTGTAATTTCCACAGTAAGCAGATGGTGGCTAGCTTGTGAGCCTCTCCTTCAGCTCAACAAATCACCCCATGTGGCTGCAGCATCTCCTCTCCCTCTGTTCGCGCTCAACCATTGCCTGTGATGCAGCATCTCGTGTTGTACTCTGAAAACTTTAGTGTTCTGTGTGAAAATGGCCCCTAAAAGCAGTGCTAGTTATGCTAATGGAGTGAAACGTAAAAGGCCCCTCCACCAACCACCACTGCATTACCCTCTTCTAACAGTGATCCTGATGATCCCCCTAAGCTTCAGTAACCAGATGTCTCCCATGTACAATACACAACTTCATCAAGTTCCAAACTTCCACATAAGGAAGGTAAGTAGTGGCACTAAGGTAGTATAAGTTGCTATTCGCGGCTTTCCTGTGAACCTAACCCATGCGAATAGCAAGGGTTTACTGTACTGTATTCCTGTTCACACACAAACACACACTATTGTATTGCTGACCCAGAAAATCTCTACTACTGTACACCCACCAGAGAGCAACACAAAAAACCATCATCAGTATGAACCACACATATATATAAAACAACAAGAGGGTAGTACAGACAACACAATGGTGAAACATGGTAACTACAACATGACCTGGATTAGGGGGTTACTGAACTAGGACTGACAAAATATTAAACACAAATGACTAATACATATTTCTCAATGATGATGATGATGGTAACAATAAGACCTCAGGGGTGGCGTAAGGTCGTTTGTATTCATGCTGTTGAGCTAAAAATGAATATCCATCATTGATAGTCATAATACACAACAATGAAAAGTAATATTAAGAACCTGATACAGAGTTATGAGCAAAACTGGAATGAGCTTTACATCTCTTCATGAGCATCACTATTAAAGCACTTGTGCTATGCTCCTTGTCTAAGGCCAGAAATAATGGCATAGTTGCAGACAAAAAGAATTCAATAGACAGGGAGGGAGGGAGGCAGGTGGTGTATGGGAGGGTAGGGGCAGGTGGACACTTGGCACACCACTGCATATGAGTGGCAATTAAAAGTCCGCAATAATTTTCTCCACACCACAAATTGATTCTTTTGTTTAATTATGAGACAGACGTGGCTTACATTCCCTCCCTGCTCAATTATTTTTGTCCATAACTGTACATACAATCAATGAGACATTAACAATACACAACAAAATTCTGCTGCCCTTGAAATGTATTTTTACCCAAATATAATCTATTCAAAATACATATGACTATAATGTCACCATAAAAACTTCTCTTTAGAATTATACAATAAGATATCTCAACCTGGAGAGATTCTTACGTCACTTCACAATCGGTAACCTTCAAGTTATCTTACACTCTTGGCTACTATCTTGTACTGTATGTGAATTAGTAGCTCTCCATTCCTGCAACTTTACACAAAAGCATTACATACAATGCACATCATACCTGTGTGAGCCATGATGCACCACACGCCTCAACCAACATCACTCAGACCAAGGAGGCCATACAACCAAAGCCCCAAGCTGCGAGCACTTCCACTACCACACACACACACGACATCTGCATGCTCGGTAACAAGTGTAAAAACAGAGAAAATAAAAATTAAGTCTTACTGATAAAACTCAAATTACCTTGTATACTTATAATTAACCAGAGGCAGGGCTGAGATGAGAGACAGAGCTCGTGAACATTAAAGTCCTGGCTGAGTCAATGATTACTACAGTACACTCTTTACATGGCTGCCACACAGAGGACCTTAAGCCTCTAAATAAATGTTCAAATTACCACAAAAATCTTAGAAAGTACAATAATGTCATAAAACCTGTCAGTAAAGGTAGATCTTAAGTGATACAATTATAATATTGATAAAACTTTAAGCTAAATACAATTCTAGGTGACACTGTACTGGTACTCTCAAAATATTTATATACATGTACTGTATAATGGAGGCCTAAAGTCTACAATACACCCATGGACAAAATTCCACAGATCCCAGATTACAGTATTACCAAGTCTTCTGGCCGTCACTATACATTACACGACACAAACAATATGTATCGCCTATAATTCATAATCAGTCCTTGTATAAATCAGAAGCATCTTATGTCTCAGAGTTAAATTGATTCATGCCTAAAAAAATCACTATGTATCAGCTTCACATACAGTACCTGATACTGGTACCTCACTATGCATGTATATGTATCAGTACCTATGTATGACTCGCAACAGTGTCTGATTCACCGTACAAGTCAGCTTGCCAACATAAAGGGCCTCATAAAATATGTACAGTATCTGTGAATCACGACACAGATATTACTCAATAACTGCTTGTATCATACAGTACAGGATTCCTCAAATGTATTTCTCACAAGCATCAGATATACAACACACATTACCGTACTCACAACCTCATTCTTAACAGAGCTCACAATATAGAGACTAACAGCCTTTGTACTGTACTCATAAAATACATCCTTGAAAAATACAAACGACAACTCCCTCAAACTGGAAAAGATATCAGAGACTCATAACAAATTTTTAAGTTACAGTATACTGTACACAAGAGACTCAAAACATGTATAAATAATGTATACTGTACTGAACTGTACTGTATTGTACTGTACTGGGAATTCCTATCAGTACGAATAGTCTGAACATTGTGTAGAATATTTATGTCCTTCACAATAATATGATAGGACTTTATTTTTAGGATCCTGTTTATGATACATCCTAAAATACAGTACTCATTTAAGTTTCTTTAATAAAAAATGACTCTATATACCGGTACCTGTATTAATTAATTTATTGTCTTTAGTAATCCCTATCAACGCTCAAGTCCTTAATTCTCTCAACCTTCTGTCGGTAATTCATATGTGTACCATTAAAAATGTCATCTACAGTTCCTTCAATTGGTTACTTCCATTATAATGTCCGCCATCATTGTTTCCTGCATCTAAATTATTATTCATTAAATACTGGATCATCAAAGCTTCATTCATCTTCAACTTTCCTTATTCATTTTGCTTCTTAACTCTCAGTTGGCACTTAAATATTAGATTCATTCCAATAAAAATATTCTACCCACCCAGTCTGGTCACATCAGTGCCCCATCCTCCCACAATCTGATCTAATCCTCTTCCATATCTCCCAACTTAAATATTTTCTTGATTTTTGATTAAAGTTAGAATCTCTGTGAAGCTGTCCTATCAAATTAGACCCCCAATAATTAGTCCCCAGTTTAATATGCATTAATTAAGTCTACCAATACGACACAACACAATAGGGGTAACTACTTGTACAGTACAGTATCCTATACAGTACTACAGTATATGCAAAACCTCTGCTAGTATTATTCTCCTATTTTTTATTACTTATATGAACAAGAAATGAAAAAGTCAGATAAAAATTATGTTAAATTAGCGAAAGTTAATTATACCGGGAAGTGAGAGATAAAGTTCACGCTGCCAATCACTTTCAGACAGCAAACAGAAACAACTCTGATGTCCTAACAGGGACTAGTTACCAATTCAGATCAGTTTAGTAATAACTTTCAGCACATCTGTAATAATCTTAATACACTACACACCACAAGACACACAAGCTACCCTGCTAACTATGATTAATGTCTTAAGTAACATAAATAAAAATCTCTATTCCTAAAAAAAATTAGTGGCACTTAAAATAACATTCCTAAAAAGGGGTTTACTTATACTGCAAATAAATCAAAACTTATCCTATTATTAACTAACAATAAATCATTCAACATAATAAAATGTATAGACAAGTCAACTCAATCACACTTCTGTACATTTCTCCTCGCACCATTCCCAGGCAGTAGTCCAGTAGGTGTCTATTGTAGACTAAATATAAAATAATTTGTCAACCTTTAAAATAACAGAACTATATACAATATTTACAACTAGCATGTATTCCTTTTTAAATTTCATATAACTCATACAATAAATATCAGAGACTGTTACACACAATCCTCTTCAACATAACGTACAAAAACATTTAACTCGGCGTAATATATTCCAAAATCTCAATTACAATACAAATAATAATTATACTTCAGGAATCAGTAAACAATAAAAAAGTTGGTAACAAACAACAGAGGAAGTTACTACCAATGATGTACAGTCGGTCTTGATCTTGGCCTTAACTACATCACCGGTCTAGACTACACACAACTGGTCACTGTCCCCTGAGTATCTACCAACATCCTTCTATCAACAGTTGGCATCATTACTTCCTGACCTTCTTCAGCAGCCAATTGACTTTATAATCTTCCAGATCCATTTTGCCACACTAGAGAGATTCCTCCTTTGTGGTCTGGGCCATGGCATGCTGCCCTGTACAGTACAGTATGGTGGAAACTCTCTGAGCTGAATGGACCGGAGACAGCCTATTGTACAACACACATCAGGTTTGTAACTAGCAGGCGCCTTTATGGGGGACAAAACTGTTTCACATTACATTGCTTTCATTAAACTTATGAATCAGTAGACAAAACTGTTCCACATTACATCTTTTAATCTTAAATTTACTCAGCAGTCAACTTTAAGAGTTCCCCAAGATCCTGTACTACAAAATGATCTACAGAACCAAGAAATTATTCTATTACTGTTACAATGTATTCTTACAACAAGTTTAACTTTTCTCACATTCTACACTAATATCTAAATACATGTTTACTGGTTCTGGCACTACTGTAGAAATGAAATGCTGGCCACAAAAATATTCCCTCCACACACAAGTGTATTATCAGCCTCACATGTTATGTTTTCTAAATCCTAATTTACTATAAATGATTACCAAAAATTTCCCTCAGTAATTACCACATTACTGAAAGTCAACAAATGTGGGAGTAGAACCTGGTGCAATACTATAATTATAGTTCAGATATATTATGTTTACATCATCCACCCAACATGCAGCCATCACAACAGCATACGTACAGTCTTAAACAAAAGTCTGGTAGCTTCCTCTATTGCTCCATGAACCCTGAGATTCAGAACTAGTGAATCTGATGCATGAATGGACAGAATAATCCTTCAGTGTCAACTGCTTCTGGTTCACGAGTCTGAATCTGGCGGGATAAAACAAATGAGTTGATGGTCGCCAGGGACCAGCCCCACAAACTTGTGGTACTGTACTTCAGTGTACAGTATTGTACACCTAAATAATAACAAACATTTCCTTTTTTAAGAAAGGAAGGTCCTTGGTTGTGAAATGGTTCACTCTCCCCAGCTGTCAGCTTATAATACTGTATGTACGTATATGTATATACAGTACCTGTACTGTATATATTAGCCTTGTCAATAATTACTCCTTAGTCTGCACTCACCCCTGAAGATGTGAATTACACGAACTATATATATATATATATATATATATATATATATATATATATATATATATATATATATATATATATATATATATATATATATATATATATATATATATATATATATATATATATATATATATATATATATATATATATATATATATATATATATATATATATATATATATATATATATATATATATATGTTGATTCCGAATATGTGGTCCAAGATTCGATTGCAGGATAAGTAGTGGTTGTAATGACGCTTGGAATATTTTAATGACATTTTTCAATGCTAATTACTCGCCAACTATAGGTTACTGAGGTACAATTTTGGCGCTTAAGTGTTACTCTGGAAGTACTTAATTAGTTAAACTCTCTGTTAACTGGAACTGAAATTTGCTCAGAATTTTTGGCAAAAATTTCTCAATTTTGGGTTTGTGAATAATTTTCCCAATTTTAAAAATCAAGTATAGTACATACTTGTATGTATACTTAAATATTGCATTCGATACCTAACTCTCCCTTTCTCTCACACACACACACACACATATTGATCACTCTTGTTTTTATTAGCACCAATGTTACATATAGCTACTTATTACCTGTTAGTGTGCACTAAAGTAGTCAACATTTCAACAACTACAGTACAGTATCTTACTCAAAATCCGGAGCATCTTACAACAGAGGTTCTACCTGCTGAGGTCTAACTCAACAGTCTACCTGGTGTGAACAGCCTATACACTACACCAGGACAACCTACACATTGTATGATCTCAATCTAGTTTAAGAAGCAGCACAATGTTGGCCAGACAACAAGACCAATAGAGACCCACAGCACATCCTGGCACTCTTGACCAGCCAGCTTCCTCTTATAACATTTTGAGAAATTTCATGATTCTATAATTCTGGTTATTACAGTAAACATTCAATATGAAAAGTTTATGTATCATCTGTAATAAACACAACAATATTTTTCCTGTACTGTACTGTAGTGCTCAGGATGGCTTAATACATAAGTTCATTTATGTTCTAATCACCGAGATCAAAACTTAACTCTCTATAAACGGGCTGAATTGCTCACTGGCAAACATTGTGTTCTTTTCTACTTGAGGCAAACATCTAATACAGTATCTCAGCTCTACTTAGGCACTCGCTGTTGACACACGACCTCTACATCAGTCTATCAGTACCTATGCTGTACAGTATATCCAATAAGCTGTTAATCTCATCTAAAAATAAATAGCATATCAACCTATTTCTCTATCTAGGTATATATACAGTACATAATATCATTTCCTACACCAAGAGCAAGCTGACGATGCCCAACCTATTATAATAGCAGCACATGTTTTGAAAGCTTAACTAGATTCCATGTTGTAAATTGAACTCTTTGTCTCTTGCATATGAACTGGACACAACTTAAAACAAACATTACAAATTGAAGACTGTATTTTACAAGATGGACAGTTGATCTTGTAAACAACATCACCATTGTGTGTTGTAGTGTTTCAGGTTGTGTTCCCAGTCACCCCTGCACCCGATAATGGTGACTGCAGAGTTATGTGAACCCCCTCAGCTCAACATAATAACACACACGTGGGGTTGTGATGCACCTATGGTTGTTATATAGCACATACAGTATCTGGGGTTGTGATGCACCTAGAGTTGTGATTTATATAGCATTATAAATAATGATAAGACAGAAACAATACTAAGTACGGCAAACATTACATTAAAACACTCACCAAGTTCTTGATTTTTGTTATAACATCAAGAAGTGTCATACATTTGTACTGTATATTGGTGTTAATCATTCACCATAATCTTACAACCATACATTGTAAAATAAATAAATACACAGGGTTATTCACTCGCTTGTAGCCCCAGAGTATCACTTAATATATCCTTTATTTATGATGTACAATATTATCATTTTGTGTATTTCTCTCTACAGTTGCTGGTGTTATATTCTCAAATGTGTGTGTGTGTGTGTCTCTCTCTTATTTATTGTCACGTAAATAATGTCCACATCAACGAAATCCCAAGACCACCTGCGAGCGCATCACCCTGCACTAATAACCGAAAAACGCACTGAGGTAAAAATAAATCACACTCACCATCAACCGAGACCTTTACCATAAAGAGGGAGGGAGGGAGAACCACACCCTGATCAAGTCTTCACCATGACACTATATCAACAGTTTAGTTTATAATAAAAACTCTTTTTTTATCTCTTGCTGGGTAATAGTAGTCTTGGTGTTACTGGCTGGTATATAACATAAAAAACATATTCCATCTGTGTCATTTACAACACAAAATTGAGAATCAGATCATGAGACACAACAGAATCCTTCAGTAACTTCACCCAACTTGATCTTTAACTTCATCTAACTTCAACAAACTTGACCTTTAACTTCATCTAACTTCACCAAACTTGATCTTTAACTTCATCTAACTTCACCAAACTTGATCTTTAACTTCATCTAACTTCACAAACTTGATCTTTGACTTCATGCTTAGGCACTTAGAGAAATAATGGGAAACTGAATATTAAAGTTGCACCTAATGATCGAGGATGACGTGAGTGAAGCATGACTTGTAACACGGACTAATCCTCTATGGCGCAGTTGCCTGATGAGTCTACTTCACTATATTTACAGCAGCAATAATATCTGTTTTAGAGAGACTTAGGGGTATAATTCACACCCCATACCACCACTACATATTGCTGTTACACGTACCTGTATATTCGAAAGTAATTTTATACATAGTTGAGCTGAGGGGGGTGGTTAAAACCTTGTTATTTATGGCAATTACATCAAGCCCTGAGAATATTCCTTCCCCAACACCAAGCTTGAGTACGACGCGAGTAAAACCTCCGTGATCTGGGGTCAGTTGTGAGAGTTACGTGACCAGCCAGGCATCCCATGAACTGTGTCACCTTCAACATGAGGTCCACCTACACACTTGTCCCCAATATCTTACACTATGCCATGTCTCCAGTGGTGGAAAGAATTGCAAAGGTAATAACATGAACATGCATAAAGGACCATGACCCTCACACATGATAAACACCAAACCGAGGGTCGTGACCTCGTATATTCGCCGCAGGAGCCCAGGCGTTATTAGAAGTTATGAATAAACTCTGAGAAAAATACATCCAAAAGAGTATTTAAATAATGAAATAATTCTTAACCGACAAGATGAGATGGTACAGTACTGTGGTGATGGACCGCTCAGCTCTCCACAACAACCTTTTTGTCTTCGTCGTGTAGTGGCAAAAACATTAGCGGGAACATCCCAAGTAGGCAGCCCAGGACCACACCAAAACCTCGACCCTGTGAGCCAAGATGTTGAGTGAGTGAGTAAATGCTATTAAGGTTAATCTGTTGGGTATCAGTCAAGAGCCTTAACCCCTTGTGTATGTGGTCCCTTCTGTGCTGAGTAAAATCGTCTGGTATTAGCTGAATTAAATACAGAACTAAAAAGTGGCATCCCCAAAATGAATAGGTTAAGCTTACACGTAACAAAGTGTAATCAATAAAAATGAAATATAAACCTGAGATAAATTACAATACTTTATAGAACTGTAGCAACACTGACATAATATAACACAGGTATACCTCACTAAATGTTGCCTTGCTATGAGTCATTTTGCTTATAAGTTGTTGAGAATTTAAGTTTGTCTTCAAGCAAATCAATTTCTATCACTTTAAAACACAAGAGCTCACCAACAGTCTCTGGTACAGTACACTTCATGACCTATTTTGTGCAGTCTTCACCATCCATAAATAAGTACTAGCAGAAGACACAGAGGAAGAACAAGTTAAAAGTAAAGGGCACGTTGCTAAAAGGACAGGACATTTCTCACTCAGACTTATAAAAATATAGGAAAACACTTACCGGGTAAACATGTCTGGTGTGTTGCATTGTCTCACACAAAATTGAAATTAAACCTTTTGGAGCAAGTGCACACATCAATATCACTCCTAATGCTCCCCACACGACACTTCGTCTACACTGAGTATAGTATACTGTACGGGGTGCTCCAAAAGGTTACAACCTAAAGGGTGTTGTTGTTTCCTCCTGTACTAACAGTGGATAAACCAACTGCCTGAATGGCTAGTAAGCTGTTAAGTGGTAAAATGATAAAAAAAATATATATTATAATAAAGAAGAAATCTACACTCAAACTCACCAAATTGGCGACCCATCTGGATGACCATCTGTCCAGCTGCTCCTGACACAGTTCGGGGGCGCGGATACCGATCTTCACGGCAATGTTCTCGACGTACCAGGCAGACCCTATGCCTGCCAGATCACTAATAGTATTGCCCAACGCCGCAGCTGCCATTGTGCTGATGCCCAGATTGGTTCCGATAGTCACGTCAATATAATCACCCTGTCATAATGATGTCAGTGATTAGCTAATAAGATACACAGAGCAGGACATGATTATGAAAAGGGAAGAAGCTGTTTATGTAAAATAGAACTATTTTCTATAATATATATGTGTTACTGTACAGTATTTGTTTATGTTTTATGTACAATATTTTGTGTTATAAAACCAGTTTTTGATCAGTTTATGGGTATCTTTTGGCCCCTGGAACCTAACTAATTATTTATTTAAATCAATTAAACTATAATTTGCGATTTGATAGTTCATAATGTGTTGTGGTACTGTACCTAACCCGCGAATTATCGGGTCTCCACTGTAACATTTCTTTATCCCCAATCTATATTAAGTTAAAGACATCTGATGTGGTGAGGGAAATTACCCGAGAAGTTTAAAAATCTACCATAAGGATATTTATCTATGGCAGGATGTAGGATTATGTTAAGGTTAGAGGTTAGAAGGATGGAGCAGTGTTGTACATGGGTGAGAGGACTAAGAGGAGACTTTGCTTCTTAACATTAATAAAGTATGAATAGTGACGACAGAAAGTTTACAAAGATCAATAAAACAAATTATAAGAACTACATAGTTGTGGTAGGTTGAAGAGTTGCTGTGTTGTCCAACCCATACTATATATTGGAGGTGTTCACCTACTAACAGTTGGAACAAGGGTGAAATTTCAGTGTGTTATAAAAGAAGTTAGAGTTACTTAATAAATGAATGGAAGATTTATTCTATACTGTAAAGTTGTGAACCAAAGTCCGGTCACCTCTTCTGCTGATCCATGAACCCTGAGATTCAGATTTGTGAATCCTAAGCATTAATGGACAAACTAACACATCAGTGACTACTGCTTTGGGTACTTGGTTTGTGGAGCAGTAGAGGAGGTGATAGGACTTATGTCTGGGACATACAAGAGGAAGACTGTCAGATATACTCCAGGAACAAAATACTTACAGCAACTATCATGACAAAGTTGTCGAGGAAGCCAAAACCAATAAATGGGAGAGCATTATGCACAGCCACTGTGAACAGAGAAAAGTGTTAGTGTCCAGCACTACCTACCCTACTGGTGTTCTCTACCACAAAATGCTAAGCAAATGTGTATCTTGCTGTAGCTTTGTCTTATTGAAAAAAATAAAATAAAATAAATAAAAATAAATAAATAAAATAAATACTACAGTGAAACCTATAATTAATGGACAATATGGAAAAGAAATTCCATTATATCAAGGTTTCATTACATGTGAAACCTCCATCTAAGTCCATTACTCGTATATGGAGATTTCACTGTATACAAACATGCAGAAAAGGAATAATTGGCTACTATATTTGCCCTTGATGTTACAGTAACCAACTACAGTACTAATAAATGAAGCATCTACTGTATATCAAAATACATCAAAATAAAATAAAATCCTCTCCTCTAAAACTATGTACAGTAAAGTAAACACAATATATACAATAGCCTTGGTTATAAACACAACACTCTTCAAGACTTTTTAGTGCTGTAGAACCTCATCAAAATATTCATAAGCGTGAAGCAGCGCCTTAAGACCCAAGTCCTCACTGTGTTAACATGTCCGGTGCTCAACTTTAGGTCCAGTTTGTCTAAATAATACAACAACACAAGTGACAAACTCAACAACCACAAATTTATCACCCCAGCCTCACTAAGTCATCACAATTATGGAGAACACCGCACATCCACAACCACATGCACGCGCATACACGCACACACACACACATACATATGAAGTGAAAAATATTTATTATCCTCTAAACTACTGGAGTGTATGTCAGCCTGACAAGATCACCTCCCTCTTCCCAATTCTACTTTTGGGAGCTAAGATCTAGTAGGAGTCAGCCTACTAATTCTGACATGTTTGTGCACACTTTCCTTTCTTTCCTCCTCCTCCCTGCTGCACATAACATCCCATCACTTAATGACCAACAAATACCATTTTAACAATATTCGTATTATGTAGTCACTCAAAAAACTATCTTTAAAAAAATCATGTTAGACAATATGACACAACAACAATATGACAACCCCACCGAGACAACAGGAGTCACCCCCCCCCCAGTAAGGATAGTTTTTGGGTGATTGTACAGTGTTTTTTTTTTCATCTATCTACCCAACAAGCATAAAACTCAAGCCATTTTGTGGATAAACACAAGACTTTAAAGGTGTGTACTCCAGCAAGTTCTTACTCACACTGCCTCAGCTCTGCTCCAGTGGGGGGTTTGGGCTTTGCCTTCTCAGCTGTGGAAGATATACTGTATAAATAAAGTCTTCCAAAATACTCCTATGCCACTAACACTGTAGTACTACTAACATCCAAAACTGAGGGTAAATTTTTAGAAATTGGCCATAATGGTTTTGGACATGAAACTTACATTTTTCTGGTGGTTTTTGATGTGTTTTGAACGATTCTGACCTTCATTTCTATCACAAATGACTAGTTTTTGAGTTTGACAATCTTGGGGGACCCGTGGGAAATTGGGTTTTGGGTGAGAGCAAAAACGAGTGATATGCTATATAAATTACCAAAGTTGGCTCGGAGCCAACCAACCAACCTAACCAAACTAAATTAAACTAACTAACCTCTCAAAAACGAATCATTTGTGACGGACACGTTACTAAAAAAAAGTTGTTAGAAATTACAAGATACAATTAGAACTGGATATTGTGGGACTTTATAGGCAACTTGTAATAAAATACCAGACTGAGATACAGAAATATGTTCTATTTGCCACATGATCCAATTGAAATACTGTATGAAAAGAAAAATATCTTTTCATGAGTACACTTGGAACACAACAGAAGGCTTAACATAATAATGAAGGATTATAACATTGTTCAACTCACCCATTTTCTTCTGGAGCCAATCTTGAGGTATCTCACAGTAGGTGCCAGTGGGGTCAGCCCCGAGGGAGTGTAGAGATGTGGGCCGGCCAAAACGTGATCGCCATCGCCAAGACGCCAGCTTCTCTGTTAAATTAGGTTAGTTCAGGCAAAGAACTGCAAGATACAGAAGCCATCATGATTTTCCTTGTTCACATAATATGACAATGGTTCATCACTACAGGTAAAGACACAACAATAAATATCAAATCAAATAAGGACAGTCCACAATAACTCCGAACCACACACACACACATACAGTACATGCATACATACCTTCCGCCTTCTTCTTAGCCTCAACAGCCTGGAGTTGGTGTATCTCGTCCATGATCATAGTCCTCTGGTCCTGGGTGAGGGATGCCACTAACTGTACCACTGTGTCGTCCCTCACGTCAGAGACGATGCCCACCACTGTTCCCCCGTCCTTCCCAACATCTCCCTCTTCTCTCGCCTTTCTGCTCGCCTCATCACTCTTTACCACTGACGTTCCCACTGCCCGAGTCAGCCTGGGATGTCTAGTGGTGGTATTAGCAACTCTATTACACACCAGCGTCCACACAAGGCGAGGAAAGACAGGGGGCGGCCTTCCCGTCAACATTGTAAACAAACCAGCAGCCGACGCACCTGCCTGGCCGACCCACTACACATTATGCTGTAAACGTACCACGAACATGATTGCTAGTCCAACTATTTTATAGACAAAATCAATCAAAATAAAAAGAAATTAAGTAAATAATCATAAAAATAATATATATTAATAGTATTGGCTATCTTGGATTATTTATGCTGGGTTTGGATAGCTTGGGTTATAAAATAATAATAAACGTTTTAGTGCAATTGTTCGTGGTACTTTTTAACATTAACCATCTTGTTCGAGAGCCTTCCTTACTATCCACTAAGCTATTTTCCTCAAAGGTCAACACTTTTACAGTACTACAGTTCTCACCACGAATAAATTCCATCCTAGAAAGAACTACATCTACTTTGTTAAAAAATATATTTGTTTATTATTGACACTTTATTAAAGGGAACTAGAGAGAAGTAATTATCTCTACTGGATGAAAACGAACATCCCAACACTGACTGAGACAGTTGCTTGTGTTAAAGCGTAAAGTGTATTTTTTATGAAGAATTTATTTTGTACACACATTTAACAGTGCTGGGAGGTGCCGTTGTACCTTATGTTTGAAGATTTCCTTGTTTATTTTGCCAATATTTTTGTGTACTTATAATTTTTTTCAATTAATTTTGTCTCTACTTGTTATGCTGTTTGATAAACATGTGACAAGGTCAGCATGATGAAACACATTTATCACTAAAAAAACACAATACTAACACTATCACTACAGAACAATACTAACACTATCACTACAGAACAATACTAACATTATCACTACAGAACAATACTAACACTATCACTACAACACACCCCTTACCCCTCACCACCAACCTCCCCCATGATAATCTTAGGCAAAATTCACCCTTATTTCACCAATGGCAAACATTCACAAAATATTACAATTTTCGGACAAGGAAAAAAGAAAACACTTTTATGATCATTAAGGTCTGAATTATAATGACAATGACATATTTAAAACTTTATTGTAAATATTCCCCTATGACTCGTATAAGACTACATATACTGTACTTACAAGGCGGTTCACCAATGTAGGTATGGGTTCACCACACAACAAACACCTTAACCTCGACCATTATTACGATAATTATCTTTCAACAAGAAAATAATAGAAAAATATAAGTTAATAATAATGTAACAAACAATACCAACCACATACAATAATAAATTCACCATTAAATAACAAAAACAAAATTCATGTAATATTTTCTTTAAACAATCCATGACGTCACAACAGAACACTTGACCTCGCAACACTACATTGCTGAGGGTGTTTAGGGACCTGGTGGGGGATCCTGATGCTCGGACATGGAGGGCAGGATATGAAGAAAATGTTGCAGTTCCATAGCGTCTTGAACATGGCCAAGTGACAGTCCCTCATCTGGAAGGCAACACCGCAAGTATGTCATAACTGTAACACACACACACACACACACACACACAGACAGACACACACACACACAGAAAGGTGCACGAGAGAGAGAGAGAGAGAGAGAGAGAGAGAGAGAGAGAGAGAGAGAGAGAGAGATAAGACACAATACAAGTATTTACCTTGATGGTCCAGCGAAGATATTAACTTGAACACAGTAGGTGCCGACAGTCTCCCCCGCGGTCCACAACTTGCCCGGGCCAGGTCTCCTACGGTCCATACCAGAGCCTGGGTCACCTTCTCTAGCAAGCCCAGGTCCATTGTATTCTGGTCCATCGGTCCATCACAGGCGCCATGGTAACACTCGCGCATGTGACCTCTGAATGGACCTGGTACAAAAGGAGTGTGTATTTGAGTGAGTTTACTGTACAAGGATGTTCACTACTCTCTGTACAGGGATAGGCAGTAAGTTTGGGGATGGTGTACTAACCAGTATCGGTGAGGAGGACAGCGGGGATGGTTAAGGGATAGGACGTATGGTTCAGGTACCAAAAACGGATGTGATCTGAACGGATGAAGTCGAAGTGGTCTTGTAAGACGGCCATTTTGGGTAGGTCAGCCCCCAGCCCTTCCAGACCCATCATCTCTAGTCTGTACTGCTCCTGTCCCAGCTTTTCATAGTACAGCGCTAACCTGAGGAAGTACAGTAGTACATTGTTACATGGTACTCTGGGGCTGAAATAAAGTGTTACATGTACTCTGGGGGAAGTATTGACCTGTGAGGGATGTGGGAGTCTACCTGGCGAGAAGTACTGACCTGTGAGGGATGTGGGAGTCTACCTGGCGAGAAGTACTGACCTGTGAGGGATGTGGGAGTCTACCTGGCGAGAAGTACTGACCTGTGTGCAAGGTGAGAGTCTACTTGAGAGCGGTAGATAACAGCAGCAAAATCTCCCGTATAGTTTCTTTGACGTAAACTCTGGTGAGTTTCAGGCAGAAGGTCATTCCAGGTCTCTGGGAACTCCTGCAAGGAATATATGACATACCAGGTGAGTATAGCCACACCTGAGTCACCTGTGCATGTCTGGGTACACTGGTATATCTTCAACACAGTCTCTACATGTCTGGGTACACTTTCCAAAATGAAAGATCTTCCACCAATCACATTTCAGGATGCAATCATTCTGCAAAAGTTCTAAAATACATATGCTAGGCCTCACCATTTCCTCTAATATGTCATGGAAGTCACACATCCACAACGTTGCTAAAGCTGCCTCCAGAAACCTAGGAATGCTGTACAGATGCCGTAGCTACTTCACTCCTGAGCAGTTGCTTCAAGTTTATAAGGGATTCGCTTGTCCTAACTTGGAGAAGTGACCTGTATGACCCAAGAACTGACCTCTGTGACCCAGAAACTGTCCCGTGTGACCTAGAACTGACTTGTGTGACCCGGGTACTGACCTGGGTATCGGGTCGTGGGTCCCAGTTTGAGACACAGTCGAGGATGAAGGCGCCGGTGACCTGTGTGAGGCCAAACTGGTTGATGACAGCCCCAACCAGGTAGTCCTTGATGAACATGAGTGATCCTTGAGTGCCTGGAGGAGGAGGTGAGATGAGGGGGGTGTAGTCTTTCCCTCTCTATCTTTCTTTCTTTCTCTCTCTGTTTCTATCTATCTCTATCCCTCTCTCTCTCTATCTATCTCTTTCTCCTAACAATACTACTTTGCTGGTGCCCCATTGAGAAGACATCTCCAGAGTAATAATGTGCCCACAAGTATTAAGGTGTCCCAGAACAAGACACCACCACCCACCTATTTCCTCCAGATCAAAGGCGACGAAGAAAATAGAGAACTTAAAGGAACATCCGCTAGAGGCCAACACCCTCGCAACCTCCACCAGCGCTGAGAGGCCAGAGCCGTTGTCATTGAGGCCAGGTGTCCCAGCGACAGTGTCCAGGTGAGCGCCCAAGACCATGGGAGTGTCCTCAGGTGTCCCCCACAGACGCCCAGGAAGGATGCCAATTATATTCTTTCCCTCCATCGGCTCGTTGTACTGCAAGTGTTGAGTGAGTGAGTGAAAGAGTGAGTGACTGGTTAAATGAGCGGATGACTGCTTGATTGAGTGAATGAGCGGTTGGTTGGTTCAATGACTAAGAGTTTGATGATAGACTGACTGACTGTTTGAATAGATGAGAGTTGGATGACTGATTGGCTTACTGGATAACTAACTGACTGTCTGATTGTAACTAACTGACAGACTCACCCAGAGAATATATTCAGCCGCGGAGAAGACGTGTTCCACCACCATCAGTCCAAAAGAGTCAAATTTCTGGCTGATGTATGCAGAGACAGCCATCTTGTTGAGGGGCGCAGAGTCTGTCAAATAGGAAATAATCTGTAATTATACGATTATCTCTGAATAGATTATCTGATTATAACTTTAGATCAATGAATAATTAAATATAGAATATCGTAGAGCTGAGATAATGTCACGAGGAACCTTTGTGTTAATAAAGAATGTTTGGAAGGTTTTTAGTTTAAGAGATATATATATAGTTTTAGGCAGGTAGTGCTTGGATAAATGAATATACGTAGCAAGGTAGAAAATTAATCTCTCTCTCTCACTATGAGGTTGATATAGGCATGCAGAAGGTAGATTAGTAGACAAGGCCAAGTAATACAGATACCTCTCTCTCTCTCTCTCACTAACCATGGTTCCTAGTGGCGGAGAACACAGTCGACATCATCTGCGTCAAGTGTTGGAGGTCGACCTTCATGGTGTTGGCGGCACTCTTTGGGCTCCTCCTGGAGCCTTCCATGGCCTCCTCCTCCGTGGTCAACACCTGCAAGTGATTAACTACCTCCTCAGGTAACCTCTGAGCAGCGTCTTCCAGATCCTCGACCTGTGGAAGAGATGAAAATAACATTGAGAGAGATGAAAGTCCGTTGTATCAAGGGTACGCTAAATATGAAACTTCCATCTAACGGATTATGCACAGAAAAGTCCGTTATATGGAGGTTTCACTGAAGCATTTACCATAACAGGCAGTAACAGCAGCATATAATATGACTGGCAGTAACAGTTAAGTGACAACAGCGTTCTAGTGATAGTTGGAGCGAGAGTTAGTAGTGAGAGCGCATGAGCCCAGAGAGAGAGAGAGAGAGAGAGGCGAGCTATAGTATAAGAAAAAAAGAGCATTTAAGCACCAGGAAAAGGCTCATGAGTAACGAATACATACATACATACATACCTTAGGTTGGGGTGTAATGCCCTCATCACGATGCCAGGGACGAGCTCTGAGAGCGTACATCACCTCGAGGGCCTCGTCGAAGTCCTCATCAGTAGGGGCGAGTACCAGCCCTGGCGTGTTCTCCGTCAGTATCACTCTCACTATGGCCAGGGTCTCCTCACTCACGTCTGGCAGAAGGGCTCGAAGCTTTTCTTCGTTTGGCAGACGAGTTTCTGGGAACTGTACGTTAGGCAGATGGGTTCCTGGGTCCTGTACGTTAGGCAGACGAGTTTCTGGGTCCTGTACGTTAGGCAGACGAGTTTCTGGGTCCTGTACGTTTGGCAGACGGGTTCCTGGGTCCTGTACGTTAGGCAGACGAGTTTCTGGGTCCAGTACGTTAGGCAGACGAGTTTCTGGGTCCTGTACGTTAGGCAGACGAGTTTCTGGGTCCAGTACGTTAGGCAGACGAGTTTGGTACGTTTGGCAGACGGGTCCTGGGTCCTGTACGTTAGGCAGACGAGTTTCTGGGTCCAGTACGTTAGGCAGACGAGTTTCTGGGTCCTGTACGTTAGGCAGACGAGTTTCTGGGTGTCCTGTACGTTTGGCAGACGGGTTCCTGGGTCCTGTACGTTAGGCAGACGAGTTTCTGGGTCCAGTGTTACGTTTGGCAGACGGGTTCCTGGGTCCTGTACATTAGGCAGACGAGTTCCTGGGTCCTGTACATTAGGCAGATGAGTTCCTGGGTCCTGTACATTAGGCAGACGAGTTCTTGGGTCCTGGACGTTAGGCAGATGAGTTCCTGGGTCCTCCACGTCAGGCAAATGGCTGTCAGAGTCATTGACACTAAGCAGAGAGCCTTCTACGTTTTCCAGAACCAGTATTGGCCCATGTAAGTCTCCCAGGACTGGTTGAGGGCCATGTAAGTCTCCCAGAACTGGTTGAGGGCCATGTAGCTCTCCCAGAACCGAATAAGGATCCTGTAAGTCTCCCAGAACCGGTTGAGGGCCATGTAGCTCACCCTCAACCGAATAAGGATCCTGTAAGTCTCCCAGAACCGGTTGAGGGCCATGTAGCTCACCCACAACCGAATAAGGATCCTGTAAGTCTCCCAGAACCGGTTGAGGGCCATGTAAGTATTCCAGAACCGGCAGAAGAGGGCCATATAACTCTCCCAGAACCGGCGGAGGGCCACTGAATAACTCCAAGCGTGGTAGACGGACCCCTTCAACCTCCTGACCAGGGACCTGTGAGAGATGAGAGGTGAGTGGTGAGAGGTGAGTGATGCAAGGTGAGAGGTGAGAGGTGAGTGATGCGAGGTGAGGGGTGAGGTGTGAGTGATGAGAAGTGAGTGGTGAGTGATGCGAGGTGAGGGGTGAGAGGTGAGTGATGCGAGGTGAGGGGTGAGGTGTGAGTGGTGAGTGATGCGAGGTGAGGGGTGAGTGATGAGAGGTGAGGGGTGAGTAATGAGAGGTGAGAGATGATTGGTGAGAGGTGAGAGAAAGTAGGGAATGTAAAGAAAGACAATGCTCATGGTCATCAACCTCGCCATGACAACGATCCTTCCTGTCATAAATATTTGTCAGGAAGGTGAGTCAGGAAGGTGAGTCAGGAAGGTGAGTCAGGAAGGTGAGTCAGGAAGGTGAGTCAAAGGACAAACATATAAACATTAAGGTGTTAATTAATGTTTACCTGAGATTCTGAGGTGATTGACTTTGACTCCCACTGCTGTTGTTGTTGTTGTTGTTGTTGTTGTTGTTGATGTTGTTGTTGTTGTTGTTGATGTTGTTGTTGTTGTTGTGGCTGTTGTTGTTGTTGTTTTTGTTGTTGTTGTTGATGTTGTTGTTGTGGCTGTTGTTGTTGTAGAACCTGTTGTTGTTGTTGTTGATGTAGTGGCTGTTGTTGTTGTTGTTGTTGTTGTGGCTGTTGTTGTTGTTGTTGTTGCTGTTGTGGCTGCTGTTGTTGTTGTTGTAGAACCTGTTGTTGCTGTTGTTGATGTAGTGGCTGCTGTTGCTGCCGCTGTTGTTGTGGCTGTTGTTGCTAAGCAGTTGCTGTTGTTGCATGTTGTTGTTGCTGTTGCAGAACCCGTTGTTGTTGCTGTTGCTGATGTAGTGGCTGCTGTTGTTGTTGTTGTTGTTGTGGCTGCTGTTGCTGTTGTTGCTGATGCTGTTGTTGTGGCTGTTGTTGTTGCAGAACCTGTTGTTGTTGTTGCTGTTGATGTAGTGGCTGTTGCTGTTGTTGTTGTTGTGGCTGCTGTTGTTGCTGTTGTTGTTGTTGCGGCTGTTGTTGCTGTTGTTGTTGTTGTTGTGGCTGTTGCTGTTGTTGTTGCAGAACCTGTTGTTGCTGTTGTTGCTGATGTAGTGGCTACTGTTACTGTTGTTGCTGCTGTTGTATGACGCTTCTAATGCTACTGTTGCTGCTGTTGCTGTTGATGTTGTTGCTGTGGCTGCTGTTGTTGTAGAACCTGCTGTTGTTGTTGCTGTTGATGTAGTGGCTGTTGTTGTTGTTAAGCTGTTGTTGTTGTGGCTGCTGTTGCTGTTGTTGTATGTAAGTCTCTTTGCCCGTCTACTTGCTGCCAAGGTTGTAGAAGTTGCTGTTGTTGTTGCTGATGTAGTGGCTGCTGTTGCTGTTGCAAGTCTCTTGTTCGTCTACTTGCTGCTGTTGTTGTTGTTGTTGTTGTTGTTGATGTAGTGGCTGTTGTTGTTGTTGTTGTTGTAAGTCTTCTTGTTCGTCTACTTGCTGCTGTTGTAGTTGTTGATGTGGGTGTTCTTGTAGCTGCTGCTGCTGTTGTTGTTGTAGCTGTGATTGTTGTTGTTGTTGATTTTGTTGTTGCACTTGTTGTAACTGTTCCCGTTGCTGTTCTTGTAGTTGTACTTGTTCTTGCTCTTGGAGTTGTCGTTGTTGCTGTGGTTGTAACTGTTCTTGTAGGTGTGGTTGTTGTAGATAATCCTGCTGTTGCTGCTGTCTCTGCCCCTGCTGCGCCTTCTGCTGTGTAGTGTTACCCAGGTCCTCTCCGGCGTGGTGTAGCAGGTGAGACATGCCCTACCACAGACAGGTCTAAGTCAGGGTGTTCCTCACTATCACAACATATATGAACTGTATTATATCAGGTAAATTTCTCTTTTCTAGCCCCCCTCTCCCTCTCTCTCTCTATCCCCTCATTTATCTCTCTTTCTAGCCTCTCCCTCTCTCTACCCCCTCTTCTAGCTCCTCTCTCTCTATCCCCCCATTCTCTATCTCTTTCTAGTCCCTCTCTCCCTCTCTCTCTCTCCCTCCCCCTCTCTCTTCCCTCTCTCTCTATCCCTCCCCCTCTCACCTACCATCCTAGCATGGTGGTTCATGATGAGAGTGAAGGTGGTGGTGGAGGGCACGGCGAGGAAGGCAGATAAGGTGAACTCCTTCAACGCCTGCAGGTGATGGGGGTCCTTCACCTGGGAGAAGTCCAGAGACACCCCTGATCCCACCGTCACCCTCACCAGCGCCGTCACGACCGTCACCACCACCGTCACGCCTCCTGTGGGGTGTGTAACATATACTGTATATATCAACAACAACAACAACAACAACAACAACAATAACAATAATACAGCAAAGACTTAGAAACTTACTGATGGAAGCTGTCATGTTAGCAGTGGACACTCTGAGGATAGTCTTGGAGTAGGACCTCAAGGGCAGCCCTGAGGGATAGTCTTGGAGAAGGTCCTTAAGAGCAACTCTGAGGGATAGTCTTGGAGTAGGACCTTAAGAGCATCCCTGAGTGATAAGTGTTGTAAATACATGTAAACATCATTGTAAACATAAAACACTTTAGTAAACATTTGTAAAAAATTCTAAATAGTGTTGTAAATATTGATGTAAACACAGATATTACCACTCATAACAAAATACTAAACATAGTTCTTATTATTTCTGTTAACACACATAACAATACAGTTGTAAACATGTGCAAGCACAGTTGTTGACATTTCCATAAAGTGATGGCGATAGCGTTTTCTCCGTCTTACATCACGACCCCGGAAATGCTTCAATTATCATTAATTCTTACCGTCACTACTTTCTCTTTACTCGACTGTGGCAAAATGATGTAAATTATTTAGCACTGTGAAGCTTCGAATCTTAACTTTAACTCATTATGAAGCTTCGAATCTCTACTCGAACTCTCACAGTTAAGCTTCGAATCTTAACTTTAACTCATTATGAAGCTTCGAATCTCTACTCGAACTCTCACAGTTAAGCTTCGAATCGTAACTTTAACTCATTATGAAGCTTCGAATCTCTACTCTAACTCTTACTTTGAAGCTTCACATCCCCACAGTATTTACTGACTATCAAGGCTTCAGATCCTTACTCTCACCTCTCACTGTGGAGCCTCGAATCCCTACTCAAGCAGAGTTGAATTCAGGTGTCTTTTGAAGGGTAGGGGTGAGGCAGGGTAGAGGGGGTTAGGAAGGGAGGCAGGGGTAGGGGGTGAGGCAGGGAGGTAGAGGTGAGGCAAGGAGGTAGGGGTGAGGCAAGGAGGCAGGTGTGAGGCAGAGAGGCAAGGGTAGGGGTTGAGGCAGGGAGGCAAGGGTCGGGACAGGGCAGGGTCTAAGGGCAAGGGAGAGCAGAGCCTTTTATACACGGAGGTTCTTTGCAAGTTATGTGAGCAGGTAATGACTCTCTCTCTCTCTCTCTGGTCGGGGTATAAAACCAACATCTAGTGAGGTGATGAATGAGGATTATGAGAAAGTAAGTTTTTGTAACGCTAGGGTTAGGTTGGTTAGGGTTAGGATAGGCTTGGGTTAGGTTGAGTTCGCTTAAAATATGTTGGCTTAGGTTAGGTTGGGTTGAGGTTTGCTTTGCTTATTATAACAACCTAACCTAACCCAACTTAACCGTGCTAACTTCTTAACCTAACGAATGTAGCCTAACTTAACCTGACCCAACCAACCATTCTTAACCCAATCCAACCAAAACCTAACCTAACCTAAAGAGAAATATAAACATCACGTGACTCTTTACAGTCAATCACAGCGCTCGTAAAATAATCACTTAACATTTGGGAAAACAACATTGACTTGGGCACTTGACAACATCTTCAGCACTTGCCTCGTCTACCAAGCTCTCCTCACTACCCAGTTCTTCACCCAGTCACTAAATTTACACCTTTTTATTTATTTTTGTCATGTAATTGTAAATAATAAATTGAAATGTAAACAACTTGAACTGATATGGAAATGAAATTGGGGTTTCAATTCGTTTTCTATAGTTTGTCCTTCTGTTTACGTTTTGTTTGCTTTTTCTTCCTTTTTTTGTATTAGATTTTTTTTATTTCATCTCTTTCTTAGCGTTGTTATAATTACTGGTTGTTGTTGTTCTTCTTTATTTCTACCTTGTCGTTATTCTTCTTCTTGTTCTCTTCGTGGTATTCGCTATCTCACTTTCCTTTTCTTTTATTGTATTTCCTCTTTCTACCTTGTCATTATCTCACTTTACTCTTATCCCTTCCTTCTTCCTTGAGTTTTACTGATTCTGCCTTCTTCCTCCTTTTATTTATCGAGTTTCCCTCCTTTCCTTACGTGTGTGTGTATGTCAGCAGAGCTCCCCCCCCCTACACACACACACACTCACTCACCCATACAAGCACACACACACACACACACACGCCGGCCACCACCACAAACACGACTGATGTTTCGCCTCTCCCCTCACCTCACTAAAATGAGAAAGTAAATGTGTGTGTGTGTGTGTGTGTGAAAGCAACACTTGGTGACGCAGCCAAGTGACGTAACACAAGCGTAACGTAACAGCCAGGCCGTGACCGGTGTGGTAGTTCTCTCCCCCCCTCCTGCTACCTACCTCCTCTTCTTCTCCACGTTCTTTCTTCCTCTTTCTCCCCCTCCTTTATCCTCCTCTTCTTCCTCCTCCACCCTTAGTTCCCACCTCCTCCTCCCCACTTCCTCTTCCTCCACCCAACCTCCCTCTCCCCTTCTCTCTATATGAAATAAAAATACTAAAGTAGTTATTAGGTCAGCAGACAGCCACACTGACCACGATAACCAGATGCTTGACTAAACACAGATAAGATAGTACTGTACAGGTGTTGCTGGGGAGGTTGGGTGACGCTGGGGAAGGGGTGTACGAGCAGGGGAGGGGAGGGGGACACTGTGATGGTAACATTATTCACAGGAGTATCTACAGTTCTATCAACCAGCCAGTTAATCTCCCAGGGGATGATGACCTTCACCCACTACACCCACCCCCCAGACCCCCACATCCTCTATTACCCATTCCTCACCCCGTTCAGGTCCCCATACCTTCTCCTCGTCCCTACACCCGCTCTCCACCCCCTACACTCTCTCCCCACACCCTCTTCTCACTCCCTACACCCCCTTCTTAACCCATACACCCACCCAACTACCTCTATACACCTCTTTCAGGCCCCCCACACCCACCCCCTATCCTCACCCAGCCTCTCTCAGCCCGCCAGCGCATAGTCACTCGCCCTCCCTAACCACACCAAGTCTTATCATTCATTCACACCAAAATTCAACTAAATCCACATTACATCAGCCTCCCTACAGTTAAAAGCTTCATTCTGGCATATATTAAGCAGTAAAGGGATAGCAAGTGCTTAAAACGTCTATAAATAAGGATACTTCCTCAAGACACACGACTGGATGATACCAAGACAACTTCAACACTCCAAGGACTCAACTACGCTTGTCGTTTAGATGTTTATATAAGGTAAGTTGTCCTAGTTACATTTATAAAGTGTGATTAATTGCAATATACATTAAATAGAGTAAATAATATAGTTTGGCATAGTTCACGAAGTTAGTACATAAGTAATTACAGCATCTATGTATTTATATAAAAAAATAAATAAAATGAATATAATGTTTGCCATGTCACAATTATTATTACTGTGAACAATGTTTACAGATAAATAAAGCTGCAGTCAAGGAGTGATACAGTAACTTTCTTAATTTGCTTGTAACGTTTTATTTTCATTACCTACACTGATATGTAAATGATGAAGAAATGTGAACTGGTAAAATGATTTTAAGAATATAGATATCTATCAATTTATATGATTTATCTGGCCATGTTCTTGGTATTTTTCTAACACTGGCCTTCTTGTCTAAATCAAAGGGGATATAGCATTAATAAATTCTGAATTAACCATATCTACCTCCAGTTAAATTCCCCAAGAACTGCCATATTTTTGTAAATTTTTTGTGTTTTAACTGTTTATTCTAACTGTTGGCAATGCACTTTAATTAACTGTATAAGGGGGATCAACAGTTGTTTATAATGGACAACATCCAGCAAACACAATTAATTTTCTGGGTACACTGTCTCGCTTTGTTACTGGTTGGTTGCTGGGGGTGTGTGAGGTAACATCTTCCGTGCTTTTGGTTATATTTTTGTGAGTGGGGAGACGAGCAACCAATCACCAGGGAGAAGGATTGCCAAGGTTATCTTCCTACAGTACATTTTGTTGTTGCTGTCTTGTCTTGCCCCTCAGGTCAACTTAAGCTACGTTAGTGTTTGGGTGGTTAATCTTTAGGTAAAATAAGCTGGATTGGAGATTCTTCTAGTGATCCTATTGGTGGATTCTAAACTTAATTTCATCTCCTGTGAAGCAAAGGAAGAGCAACGGCCAAGTATCTCATTGGCTGCTGACCTCCCACTAACACAGGACAAAAGATGACCTAGCTGGGTCAAAATTGTGGAAAACAATATCGAAGAAGCTGATTGGTCGGTGATTTCCCGCTAAAACAGAGGACGAAGGATCTCATTGTCTACTGACTCCCCGGGAATATAAGGAAGGAAAAACTTAATATCTGATCTTGAGAGAAAAGTGAAAAAACTGAAAATCGATCACCGTCATGGAGAACCCACTCAGCCCTGAGTTACTGTCTCAGGTAAGCTTCAATTCCTTACCTATTAGTACCTTTCCATAATTAATTTCAAGTACTACAGAAGTTTCAAAACTCATTAATCATCCCAGCAACACACTGATTTTTTATTGTTGTTGTTTAGTATTTGGACCTAATTAGATATAAATACTGTATGTTTTTAAAGGCTTTAGTTGCACTTATTTAGAGTACGGCCTTAAAGACCATACGTATTTGCACCTATTTAGAGTACGTGTTTCAAGACCTAAGTTGTTGTTCACTAAATAAAATTATAGTACTTCTTTCAAGACCATAGTTGCACCAATTTTGAGTATGATGTTAAAAACCATAGCTATTGAAACAGAAACACACATAAGCAACAAGGGTAAGTCAGTAACGGCCTCACAGTACCGCAGGGAGGGATGTGTGTGTGTTCCCGGGTTCCTCACTGACGATGAAGCCAACTCTCTGAGAGCTTCATGTCGACGCCTAGTGGAGGAGATGGACCCAACACAACACACACCTACCATATTCTCCACCTCTGATCATAATCAGGTAAGAACGCCACAGATGGTTACATAAGCCACAGACAGGGGTACGTAAGCCACAGACAGGGGTACGTAAGCCACAGACAGGGGTACATAAGCCACAGACAGGGGTACATAAGCCACAGACAGGGATACATAAGCCACAGACAGGGGTACGTAAGCCACAGACAGGGGCAGGCACGTAGTTGGGTGACAGGGGTACGTAAGCCACAGACAGGGGTACATAAGCCACAGACAGGGGTACATAAGCCACAGACAGGGATACATAAGCCACAGACAGGGGTACGTAAGCCACAGACAGGGGTACGTAAGCCACAGACAGGGGTACGTAAGCCACAGACAGGGGTACGTAAGCCACAGACGGGGTAATGTAGTTGCCAGACAGGGGTACGTAGGGGTTACAGACAGGGGTAATGTGAAGCTACAGACAGGGGTAATGTATTACAGACAGGGGTAATGGTTACAGACAGGGGTACGTAGTTACAGACGGGGTAATGGGGTTACAGACGGGTAATGTAGTTACAGACAGGGGTAATGTAGTTACAGACAGGGGTAATGTAGTTACAGACAGGGGTATGTGAAGCTACAGACACAGGGGTATCGTGAAGCTACAGACGGGGTAATGTGAAGCCACAGACAGGGGTAATGTAGTTACAGACGGGGTACGTAAGCCACAGACAGGGGTACGTAAGCCACAGACAGGGGTACGTAAGCCACAGACAGGGGTACGTAAGCCACAGACAGGGGTATGTAAGCCACAGACAGGGGTACCACATAACCCATTAGCCCTAAAAGATAATACCTAAATGTTGACAGACCAAGAGTTACGTAAGCCACAGACAGGGGTACATAAGCCACAGACAGGGGTATGTAAGCCACAGACAGGGGTACCACATAACCCATTAGCCCTAAAAGATAATACCTAAATGTTGACATAATATTATTATCAACTAACAATGGTGACCAAGAGTTAGCTAAACTAGTCAACAAATTCTCTTAAGTCAGTCAAGATTAGTAATTATATAGCTTCTGATGCATGGGTGTTGGTAGGGGGAGTAAAACAACTATAATAACACTTTCCACCTGGTGCGTCCCCTGACAGTCCCGCAGTTCGTACTTCGTGGACAGCGGAGACAAGGTTCACTTTTTCTTTGAGCCTGAAGCCCTGGATGAGAACTCTAAGCTTAAGGTGAGAGGAACAACAATAATTACCTTCGTTTTGTTAATGTTTTATATATTTGAAAATGTTCATCATCCTTTAACTAAAAACACAAGGAATTGATTCCTTTTGTGTGTGTGTGTGTTCCCTTGGTTAAGTCGACTTAGTGTTTACCATTGTTTTTATATTTATCCTATTGCTACACATGATGAACTAATAATGTGAATTTGCATGACGATTTTACTTGAATAAATATCAATCAATCATCGATCATTCTTTCAATCAATCAATCAATCATCAATCATTCTTTCAATCAATCATCAATCATTCTTTCAATCAATCAATCATCAATCATTCTTTCAATCAATCAATCATCAGTCAAACAACTTCCTGACGTGCATATGCATCTCCCTAAGGTGGACAAACATCGCTCCCTCAACAAGATCGGCCACGCCCTTCACTGGTTGGTGCCGGAGTTTAAGAAAGTGTCGTTCTCCACCAAGATGAAGGCGGTGGCCAGGCAGCTTAGGTTTGTGTCCCCAGCAGTCGTCCAGTCCATGTATATCTTCAAGCAGCCTGGCATTGGTGGCGAGGGTCAGTTCATGGTGTGATCTTATTGTTTTAAGGTGTTTGTTCAAGTTTTAAGGTGTTTGTTCATGTTTTAAGGTGTTTGTTCAAGTTTTAAGGTGTTTGATCATGTTAAAAGGGGCTTGGTCTTGTTTCAATGTGTTTTTTTCATATTTAAAGTGAGTTTGCATTTATTTTAGTGTGTTTATACTTATCTAAGGGATGTTTAATCATATCAGATAAGCATTTAATCACATTTAAAAAGTGTTCAATCATCTCTAAGGGTGTTTAATCATATTAACGGTATTTACTCTTGTTTTGAATCAGTCCTAATGGGAATCAATCCTAATGATTACGTTAAATTAAGATCTAATTAGGAATGGAGCCCAACTGACCTGTAATCGTATACTTGCGCCAACAGTGGTGCCCCACAAGGACTGTACCTTCCTCTCGACGGAACCTCAGAGCTGTGTGGGCTTCTGGTTCGCCCTGGAGGATGTCACCTTAGAGAACGGTTGCCTCTGGTACAGTCCTGGCTCACACAACAACCCTACCAGCCGCAGGTTTGTTCTAGTATACCGTAAATAGCCATAATATATCCACAATAGCCACAATTTATGATAAAATAGCCATAATAAACCCAAAATAACGATGATACTGAAAATATCCGTCGTATAGTATATCACAAAAATATGCCCAAAATACCCTCAATGTAGCATAAAGTAGCCATATGTAACGAAATGGCCAAAGTATACCCAGAGTAGCCATAACATAACCTTTATCTTCTTTGCAAAGGTTCATCCGTAACCCTGACGAGACTGGTGACCTGACCTGCTTCACGGCACCCCCTGACCCGGATGACCCTACCAAGTACATCCCCATCCCCGTCCCAAAAGGTGAGGTCATATTTCAGCTACTGTATTTAATTCTGTATGATAACCTTCGATGGCCTAAATATATTCAAGAGCCACCTAAATATATCCTAAAGTAGGCTACAGAATTCCTAAATCCTAAGATAACCAAAATATATTCTAAAATAGCCTAAATATATCCTAAGATAACCAAAATATATCCTAAAATAGCCAAAATATATCCTAAAATAGCCAAAATATATCCTAAGATAACCTAAATATATCTTAAAATAGCCAAAATATATCCTAAGATAACCTAAATATATCCTAAAATAGCCTAAATATATCCTAAGATAGCCTAAATATATCCTAAAATAGGCCAAATATATCCTAAAATAGCCTAAATATATCCGAATTACGCATATAATAAATTGGCCAAAACATTTTAAATTATCAAACAAGTACAGTACAATTTTGTATTCAAGTAATTATCGATCATCAGACCTACTCGTATATCAGATTATTATACTTACCCTTAACACAACTGTCTTCCACATTAAATATATTTTCTACAATAAAACAATGGCTAACTGATACAAGGTCAAGCTTAAAAAGATGGGCAATTATAAATAAGAAAGGTAATAAACTCAAATTATTTAAATGAGAATAAATTGTATACATAATGTATATGATTGTAGAATGATGAATGAAATATAGACTTTGATCCCCACCCCATGATAACCCTTTAGCAGTGATGATGCAGATAATTATGTATACAGGGGTATTTCTCTAAATTTTCTGTGTTTTGACAAACAGAATTGAATTACAACCATCAAATATCCTTATTTATTTTTGAGGTGCAATACAATAGTACTGAAAATCTGTCATCTGGACGACCGGCCCCTCAAAATGTTTAAGCAATCGCCACATAATAATAATTAAATGTACTAATACTAATAATACACGTACTACTATTCTTACTACTAATACTAATAACTCCCATACTACTATTGCAGGTGGTACTACTACTAATAATAATGAAACGTTATTTTACGGCACTTTACTTTATCCTCTCCGCCACTGGTCAGTCTGTTAGTCACTTGGGCAGTAGGTCATTTCTCTGTTACACACTGTTGGCAAGATATATGGACCATTGTCATTTATCTCACATAATGAAACCACAAATATATTTTATATTCACACAGTCAATTTTTTTTTAGTGCACAAGGAATAAATAACGTTTGTTTAAGCAGAGGACACTGATGATTAACCTAACCAAATAATACAAATGTAATTCTGGTTAATATATTTGTGGTGTTGCTAGATCATGTTGGCTAGACAATAAAGGTGGTTAGACATTGTCTGTGGTAGTTCTTTTTGTCTGTGGTACTGTACTTTTTATTCTGCCTGTGAAACCTTTTATCGTCAGTTGTACCTTTGTCTGAGTTACCTTTTAACATTCACTATTTTATTTTCCTCTGAAGTAAACAACACATTTGGTCTCACAGGTACACTGGTGCTCATCAATGGTCAAGTGGACCACAAGAGTAAGAAGAACACCTCGCCTAATTCCCGCCACATTTACACCTTCCATGTGATCGAGCGCCACGACACGACCTGGGACCCGCGCAACTGGCTCCAACCCACGCCAGAGATGCCCTTCACGGGACTGTATGAAAATGAACCCTAAAATGATGTTGCTTACTTGTCAGTGTGTATATGTGCGAGAAAAGTGAGTGTGGGGTTGGTTGACAGAGAGGTGAGCATGGGATTGATTGATTTTGAGAAGTAAGAGAGAGAGAGAGAGAGAGAGAGAGAGAGAGTTATTTCTGGGGTAGGTGTTGGGGTGACCAGCAGCAGAAGCCTATCAAGACACTGCCAAAAACTACTTAGCTGTAAACTGGAAAAAATCACATTGTGTAGGATAATGAATACAGTACTGGCCTATGATTAATCTACTTGTGCTTTACGTACCAAAACAGGTATTTCTTATATAGACTACAGATTCATTATTTATATACAGTACTGTAGTATAAGAGTGTAACACCTGCTAGAGTTGTGTATGATCGTGTCTATGGTATGTACACAGGTGCCATTAATAAATGCTTGTTCTGTTACTGTGACTTGTTGAATTATTTCATAAACCCTGTTAAGTTTTGACACTAACATAATATTTGGCAAAGTACATACATACACACACACAAACACACACTGTATGACAAAACATTAAGTAAGGTTGAATAAAAACCATTTCACATTTTCAAATATATTCAAAACAAAACATTCTTATAAACAAATCTCTCCCATATGTGCTCCTGTAACTGTTACTGCCACCCTCTCATGTTGCTTGAGTTTGTGAAGTTTGTGATTTCTTTTTGAAGATAATTTTCAACACAAAATTAAATCAAATTAATTAATAAAATATGATGAATCACAATTTCTCTCTTAAACTACACCAACACCTTAACTACAAAATTTGTGGGACAATATCTCCCGACTCCTCTGGTGGTCAGTGTTTCAACATCACCTGAGAGATCAACAGTTCCAGTTTTAATTCCAGTTGGAACAGAGGTTCAGATTCTCTCTCCCCTTACACACTAACAATGGGTTTTGTAAAGGTTCAGGTCAAATGACTTGCACAATTTCCACCTTTGACCTAGCAACTATACTGCCCTGACTACCATGACCTACCTAAGACAAAGAAGAAAAGTCCTGACTACTTAACTCAAAGGTGCCTCACCTGGCTGCCAACTGTGTCCTAATCCTTGTATACTCATAAAATGAATCCACTGTTGACTGTTTCTCAATCTTTAGAAATATAAATACTGTACTGTAACCCAACACTACTGGGGGGGGGGAACCCACTAGATGGTGAATGCCAGGCAGTAATATTTAGCAACTTCTATACTATACCATCAAGAGCTGGTCATACACAGCTGTACAGTGATTAGTTTACCTCCCGGGTGAGATGATTACATTAACATGAGGCCCTGAAGCTGACACATACTTGATGTTCACAGCAGATAAAAAAAAATATCCTTACAATATTGTGTTAGGCAATATGGCACGAAGGACAAAGGATTTGGGCAGCCCAACCGAGACAACAGGAGTCACAGTATTCATTTTAAAATTCACCCCCACAAGTACAGATAGTTTTTGGATCGACTGTACGTCACAGTAATATATCATTCACAATTCTATGGAGAAACAAGAACATAATTTATCATTTTATGGGCAGGAGTTACACAGTACATCCCACCCTGTAGTGCCTCCTGTTGTCTGAACCTGCTTCTAACAGCTTGTATATCCAGAGAATCACCCTTCGATGAGTAATCTTCAAATTAAATTTTACAACACAGTGATACCAAGCTGAAAACTATTATTGTCCACATAATAAGTCTCATTGGAACTATTTTCTCACCCATGAATAAAAAAAAAAAATTTTTCTTGGAAACAGCTGTTACACCACTAAAGCCTTCAGTGTGTGATCTGAACACTGTCACACATTCTCTGGGTATAATAACACTCAACAATATTTAAGTTCTAATTACATGTGGGTTCTCCATAACATGTTAATAATCAAAGTGTGCATAACACCAGAGACATTATAAAAGCAGTATCAGTAGTTCTCGGAAATTCCAGAAGGATGCACTATTTCATCTCTCAAAGCCTGAAGAAAATCCCCCATCCCCAGAATTTTCCAGGTACTGGGAAAATTTTATTCAGAATTTTCCAGAAAATGTGCCCCTCGGAAAATTTCAATTCCAGCTATCGGAGAGTTCCGGGTTTGAGGGATTCCAGCTAACGAAGATATTACTGTATATGAACCGGCTGTGGTGTTCACATCAACCAAAGGATCTTAAACAATGTGTCTCCGTGTGTGATGATCGTCAACACTCACAAATTACTACAGTATTTTGTTACTGTGTGTTGCTATAGAGACAAGGGACCTCTCTCACCAGGTTAAATTTCCACTAAATTTTGTTATTCTGGTGTGTCTTACTGATCATGTTTTTTTAATTATTATTACAATTTTTTTTTTTAATAATTTAACTAGAGAGTTTTCACGGTTCAGCAGCTCCACAGTCCGGGCTCTGGCAAGATACAAAGGTATCACACTTAGCATACAATCTATCATATGGTAAATAATTAATAGACTGAAATACATAGTCTCATAGTTCAGCAGAAGACAATAACATCAACATCACTAAAACTCCCACAAGCTGCAGATGCTATACCCATTGCTGTTACTGGGTATTTGATCTTAACAACACAGTACTGTACCATTTAATAACTTTGGCACTAGAATGCTTGACCCTTTGTGTACAGGGTCCCCTTTGAGCTGAATAAAACTGTTTGATAGAGATAGTCTACTAATCCCTTGTGATTGGGCTCTCCTATATGCTGAATACAATCATCTAGCGTTAACCAAATACAATATTAAAAGTGGTATCCCCGCACTAATGGGGTTAAGGAATATTTTACTTAAGTCAAAATCTTAAAAAAAAGTCCTGGTACTGTTACATATCATATTTCAAAAGCTAAACTAAAGCTCAGACCTAGAATCAACCCCAAATACTTACAACCAAACCCCAAAGTTGGTTATGCTTAATGAGATCACATCGGGGGGGGGGGGTTCAGTCATGGAAAAAAGTACTGTAAGTCCTTCCTCCGATCCATGAACCCAGAGACTCATTAACTTGTGAATCTGAGATACCATACAGCACAGGTACACCATCTACGGCACCAACAATGTGTGATACTTCGGATTCACGAATCTCAAGGTTACAGACAGGACTAATTTTCCATGCCTGTACATTACATCAAGTTAGAATTATGGGTTACGTAGCTCAGATTTAAATAGGTTCTGACCAGGTCCAGTACAGGAGGCCCTGAGATGCCAGTTATACCACCTCAACATATTTCAATGCTGCAAAAAATTACTGAAATATTTTTTTGATTTTGCACTTTGGTAAACTGAATCTTTGTAAATTAAAGACTGTCTGTATAATATACCTAAATACAACATTTTGGTGTGCACTGCACATCACCTTCATGTTGGTGCACATAACATTAATATTAAACTGTGATGTAAATAATTAGAGAGAACCTTGGTCCTGACTCAGACCAAAAAGGACACAATTAAGGAATAATGACGGGAGGGACAAAGACGAGGCTCAACGAGACTTACAGCGACCATGATGCAGGTGGCGGTGTTCACTAGTACTGTGCGTTTGACTAAGCAAAATCTTGTACAGCTTCCAAGATTTCATTGGTATAAGTCTCTGTGGAAAGAACGTGATTGAGATTCTTTTTTCGGAGATTTCACTCCTAATTTCACCCGCCATATAATACACATTTCAGAAAACTAAAGGAGTACAAGAGTACAAGGAAGGTTTGAGATGAAGAAGTGTTCTATTTGAGAGAGAGAGGGATGTTTGAGGATCATAATGGCATAATAAACACATCTCAACCTGCTTTGTCACTTATCCTGTTCTTGCCTGGAGCACTTTGTATACTGAAAACTGAAAGCATTAAAATGGGATTCACATTTCATCTACCGTCTACACCATGAAACAGAGTAAAGTACAGTACACTTGTATATATATCATTCTATCTGCTACATTCATTAAAGATTTTATAAGTCAAAACAAAAAACATTATATTTACCTTAGAGATCAGGGAGTCCAAACAAACTGCAGACTCACTCCAAAAAGTATCTTTACAATTATGTGTGAGACAATATGACAAAGGACGAAGGATTTTTACAACCCTACTGAGACAACAGGAGTAGTAGTGTTCATTGCAAAATTCATCGGACCTCTCTTAAAGATACTTTTTAGAGTGTGTGCACATGTTTTAGGACTCATTAGAAAAAAGGTTATAATGCCGGGTGCTAGTAAGCAACTGGTCGTGGGTCGAGATCCATTAAAGAGGCAGTGTGTGTGTGTGTGTGTCAGTGACTGATATCAGGTAGCAGTTAGTTCGGTTAGTATAAACACATCACCAATAGTTTGTTATAACAAAAAGTTCATGCTAATAATAGTAGTAAGGCCACATCGCCACCGATCTGTTGCAATACCAAATCATTGTAAAAATCCTAACAGGTTAAAAAATACCCAGATAAAATAAATCATTTACCTGTCCCACACATCCCGTCTGACATATACTGCCGGGACAGCACTAGCGACACACAACCTGACTGACACACAATCATCACCATGCGAAGGCACTGACCCACTCCTTCCCCTTCAGTCCTCTATGTGACAATAAGTGTGGGCCAAATATACCTTACGTTTTATCTATGGCAACAATCTGATAGTACTAAGAAATTGCTTCAGTATAAAAAGCCAAGTATAGAACTGAGACAATATGAGATGTGATTCAATTACCATCCAGGATAAGCAGGTTTAAAGCACAGGTGTACAGATTGGTATAAAGCACAGGTGTACAGATTGGTATAAAGCACACATGTACAGATTGGTATATAATTTATGGAGTATACACCTGCACACATGTACTTACTGTTTTCCTCAATCTTGTTGGGGTCGGTAACAATGCAGTTCTTTATGGTGCACTTCCTCTCCACGTTGGCAGCTATCAAACTGTTCTCAATCACACACCTGGAATAAATATTGTCTTTGATACCTGTAATGTAGTGTGGAATGATTATAAAGGAAGACTACATGTAATATCTTATGAATATAAATCAAGACATTATACAGTTGAGAGCAAATCTGAAGAAATACATTATACTGTACAGCTATAGTTACAATATATCCTCGGCACTATATTATATTAGAAGAGTAAGTATATAAGTTTATATTGTGAGTGAGTGAGATGCTCTTCAGTCTTCCATGTAATAAAGTCACTCGCCAAAAATATGTAATACTACATACAGCTGACAACAGGTAAGTCAATGTTTGAAGTACTTTCATCAGCTATGGAAGAGATGCTTCGAAGACCAGGATCAGAGGTAAATATGTATTGTTTCTACGTATAAGCCAAACAAATATAAAGTGCTGTACGCAAATGGCAACTGAGCCGGAATTCAGTACAATATTATAACATGGACTTACCCCGGGGCGATGGTGATGTGGTCGCCCAGGGCACAGTTCAGTATACGGACGAAGGAGTTGATGCGACAGTGGTTGCCTATGACGCTACTTGTTATGTTGGTCTTCTCGCATATGACAGATCCTGAACCAATCAGACTGTCATCACTCACCTGCAGAGATAATTTCAATGTGCAAAAACCAATGGGAAAAACAAAATAAATTATTGTAATAAGAAAAGTTGTTATATCAGCTGCCACTAGACACAGTATTCACAATTCCCCAAATACACTTGCGTCTTAGACATCTGTTTATCCATATAAAGTAGTATCTAATGTGTGCTATTTTTAAACCAAAGAAAAGTAAACATTTACAGACTTTTGTAATTAATTCTTAAACAGCAGCCATCTTCAGTGGAAGTTTCACGTTTCTTGTGTCCATATTTTGCACTTATGAGGATGAAACAGGGAGCCAGTTGTGGGTTAAAGAATCTTACAATAAGTGATCACTGTTCTACCCACCATATAGTATGTCAGCAAGTTATGGTTCTTGTTATGAGCTACTGTGATGTATGCTAAGACTCACCTGAGCCTTCTCTTGTACATCTGCTGACGGATGCTTGATGCTCCATGCTGAGTTAGGGTAAACTTGCTCAAACAATGAATGCATCTGGAAAGATTGACCAAATGAAGGATCTTAAGTTATAAAGGAACACTACAATAATAATGGAATTAAGTAAATGTCTAAACCAGGCTGTGACAACCTCATGGCACCTCTCCCTGCTACACAATCTCTTGCATCGTCTCTTGTCAGTGTCTTAGTTATGATATAATTTCTAACTTATCCCCATGTCAGTCATACATCTCATACATCTCTGAATTCACTTGGTCTCCTCCATTGTCTCCACATGCCCAAAACCACCCCAGTCTACCTTTATATGCAATACACACTAATAAACTCAATACTCAGCTGCCCTCTTACTTCTGAACAGGGTTTCTAAACTTTCAATATCACATCCACCTCACCATTCTCTTTTAAGCTCATTCAAGTCTACATATATCATCCTCTTATCTGTCAATGTTTCACTTCCATAAAATAAAAGATAAATACTCAGATGAATTAAAACAAATACAGAACTGCCAACTTACCTTTCTGCTGAGTTCCCAGTAAGAGTTGAGGGTGTTGGCACGGACACAACAGCCCGGGTGATGGTAGACGTAACACACCCGAGCGTCCAGCTCCAGGGAGTTGTGATGGCGCGACAACACCACACTACTGTTGTACTTCCTCACCAGGTCGTCAAATTCCTCCGTTTCTAACACGTCGTAGATATCTGCCAAGAAATACAAGTTAGTTAAGTACAGTGGTCCCTCGGTTAACGAGATTTCGGTTAACAATTTACCTTCCATGAGATTCTTAACTTCGGTTAACGAGCACTCCCTCGATTAACGAGTTTTTTACGAGCCGACTTCAACTTGTTTTCGCTTGCATTTGGCGGTCCACCAGCTGTAGTATTAGTCCGCCAATACAGTAACCGGTTTTAGGGCTTAAATTCCTTACTATTTTAGTAAATATCAAGAAGTTTGTACTATTCAATAATTTTAAAAGTTTAATATTAACTTTTTTAGTCATTTTAACAATTATTGAACATAATTGAAAGTAAAGAAACTAGTTTCTGGCGTGCCATCCAGCCTGTTAACACACCAGACAGGCGTTAGTCTCTCTCTGTTTTCACTGGAGGTAACATCTTGCTTGAGACTCTCTTCAACTAAACGCTTTTTTCTGTGTTTCCAAGCAAATTATTGGTCATTTTGAAATATATTTTACATATTGACAATATATAATGCAGTGCAGTGTTGATTTAAAGAAAATAATCTTGAAATACACCAAGAGAACTAAAGTTTTGGTGAAATGGTGTCATGGGGTGACTTCTCTTCCACCCCAATGCCTTCTCTTCTTCCTTCTCCTCCACCCCATTCTAATTCCCATCATCATCATCATCCAGGAGCCTTCTACATACACACCTCAAAGTAAGTGTACTTTTCTACCTTTTTTGTTGAATTTAGGCAATTTTCGGTGAGCTGGAACCAATTACCCAAAAACCCATTGAAACAATGGTTTCAGTTAACGAGTTTTTCGGTTAACGAGCAACCTGCTGGAACGGATTGTGCTCGTTAACCGAGGGACCACTGTACAAAATACATAAATACACAGAATATGCCAAATGATGCCATACATATATAAATCTCTTCTTCCCCCATCACCCTGAGGTAAATTCAGGGATCCACTCTCTTGCACTAACACTCTTTTACCATCCTTGTACACAATGAACCAGTGTGAACTTGTGTGATGATTTAACAGAATATCCAGTACTGCATCTACCTCAGTACCTAACCCAGTGATGGCTTCCTCCCCTCACACTTTCTCACACCTGTAAACTGACCCACCCATTACTCACTAATTCATTCAACTTCTTTCTTATCTGTCACTCCCCCAAATCCCTGTCTCTCACTCAACCAACTTCCTGTCAACCAACTAAATTCCTGTCACTCAACCAGCTTCCTGTCTGTCACTCAACTAGCTTCCTTTGTCAGTCAACCAATTCCATATCTGTCATTCAACCAACGTCCTCTCTGTAACTCACCCAAATCCTTCTCTGTCACTCAACCAGCTTCCTCTGTCACTCACCCCAATTCTCCTGTCACTCACCCAATTTCCGTTCGCTGCGTTGCTTGATCGGCTCCTTGGTGAACTGACGGGAGATGATGTGGGGAAGAATCTCAGCCTTGAGGGAGCCCATCTCACCACACAAGGATCTATAACAATGAGAATATAGAAATATAATCACACGGCCATGAACATACGCTCCATAAAAATATCTTTACGATTTTGTGTGAGACACTATGACAAGACGGATGAAGGATTCTGACAACCTTTCCAAGACAACAGGAGTCACGGTGTTCATTTTGAAATTCATCGGACCTCTTCATGAAGGTAATTTTTGGGGCGTGTGTACACAAGTTAATAAGATGAATCAATAATAACAACCATGTACAATGAAAGACAATTCATGTCGTGAAATTTAGTGAAATCATATGCCGAAGGGCTAAACTTTTGGTGCTCTCTGCCTTGTGGTAGGGGTGTCTCATAATGTTTCACGAGTTATATTTAATCTTCGGACAAAACCGTGACATGACCTTTGTCTTTGATTGCACACACACTCCAAAAGTACCTTTATGGAGGGGTTTAATGAATTTCAAAATTAACACCATGACTCTTATTGTCAAAGTCCTTCGTCCGCTGTGTCATATCATATTTGTTAAAGCGAGTGTTTTCAGGAACGGAAATGCTGTATTTCATTAATCATGGACTACCTTTAGTGTGTATATTGGAGACAATACGTATGTAAATAATAATGTGAACATAACAGAACCCGATGACTCAAGTTACTATGAATAGTAAAGAGACATGAAGCAGTATGAACAGAGGGAAGGGAAGGGGAGGGACTACATACTCCTTGCTGAGGATGTAATCAACGAGCCATCTCTTCATGATGTAGAGGTGAGCGTCAACCGTTGATGTCGACACGTTGAGGGACTTAGCGCTCTTCATTACACGGTTGTGCAGAGAGATGACCTCGTCGTAGTCGCCACCAGCCACGGCGTACATTAGCCGCCCCGTTTTGCTCTGTGTGCAGATAACGTCATTGTCTGCAAGAGAAAAAATTAATTCAGATTGTTTAAACAAAATGATAATTACTACATAAATTTGGTCACTATTACAATAACACTAATCAACACCTCCTTTCAAAGTACTTTTTCCTCTTGCGTGTCATTATTATCATAGAAACCTGATATCCTGTATAGAAACTGGGAATAATTAACACCATCATGGTAAACAAATTAGAAACATCTCAGAACCATGGTATAGAAAACTGAGCTGCTATATCCAAGGGGATTTATTCATCAACACAGAAAATAGATTAATTTTTCCTCATTTCCAATTATAAATGGTGAAGCAGCCAAGGAGATAAATGTCACATATCACCATTGTACATGATGTTACTTTGTAGTGGAATGGTCACTTCCCTCACTCACCCTCCTGATTGTCTTTTAAGATTGACAAGGAATAATATACAGTACTGCACAAGGTCTGTTCTATACGGCCAGCACCACAAAGCCTCTAGACAGTACTAAGACACCAGACATGACTTACTGATAGTGGGTTTAGTCTTAGGTCCTGGAGGTGTGGCCTTTAAGAACTCTGGCTGCTGATTGGCTGTGAGCATGGTGAGAGCAGCACCACTAGACCGGTGCTGGTCCATGATTGGCTGCAGCTTAGCGTCCGTCACCAGGTCGCTCGTTACGATCACCACATCATCAACGCTCCGCTGCGAGGAGGAAACTTCTCAATTGCTGGGGAAAATTTTCATGGATCTCGTGAAGATTGGGAAGCTCCACTTCTTTCACCCGATGACTAATCTTATTATGTTAACTAACCCAACCTAACCTATTCTAATCTAACCTAACCTGACTCCCCATTCAGCATTAGGGTGTTTTAATCATCAGGTGAAATAAGCTGGGGTTCCTAAACTTCATAAGATACCCAAAGAGGATGGTGATCATCAGAAGAATCTCCACCCCAGTTTATTTCACCTAGATATTTAACACCTTAATGCTAACCTAACATAACCTCATCCCCCCAAAATAATGTTAGGGTGGTTAATCTCTACGTAAAATAAGCCGGGGTGATATTTCTTCAAGTGATCTATAAAAATTTACAAAGTATCCAGTGACATACGGACAGAAACGAGTGAGAAATTCTGTAATATTACAGGACTATAGAAAGAGACTTATGTTGTATCAGTGACATGATATAGCCACAACAGATGAAGAATTGTTATATGTCCCCTCACCCCTCTGTAGCTAATTGGAACAGGACAGTATACAATGAATCCTTTATTTAATGGACTATATAGAGATGATAGTCGATTATATCGAGGGTCCATTAGATGTGATACCTCAATCTAATGAACTACAGTATATGGAGATGAAGATCCATTATATCAAGGTTCCGTTAGAAGTGAAATCTCCATCTAACGAACTATATGGAGAAGAAAATCCATTATATAGACGGTCCATAAGACATGAAATCCCACATCTAAAGGATCGTGTGGAGATAGATGTCTGTTACATGGAGGTTTCATTTTATATTCCAGTTGTGGGTAATATCAAAACAAACAGACTGCACTCAAGTGAAACAACAACAGACATATGTACAGACACATAACAGAGAGTTAAAGAAATCTTTGGAGCTACAGACAGACAGGTTAGAGGCACTGACTTTGATCTTGGAGGCTATGTGTCTGAGGGAGTCGGCCGTGCCAGGGTCGTGGGAGGTGTTGACGGGGGCTATGTCGAGGTTGAGCTTGAGGCCGTATTGCTCCACCACCTTACTCATCCTCTGTTCCTCTCCTCCGCTCACCACCACCGTCACCTCTGTCGCACCGAGCACGTTATGTAAACAAACTTTCCTCTCCATAGTTATAAATACTTCCTCTATACTGTACATGTAACATTATTTCCTTAGCTGTTTATGTCTTTCTAGAGTATCGTGGTCATGAATTAATTCTTTGTAATTTATCAATCAATCTACATCAATCACAAGTCTTTATCTCCATCAATCGCCAGTATTTATCTCTGCCAATCACCAGTCTTTATCTCTGTCATCACCAGTCTTTCCACCCACTCAACTTTCCACTTAAATCTGTTGATGTTCTTATTTACAGACTCGTGTGCCCAGTCTATCTGTCACTATTTGGCTACCAATATATCTAGAAATAAATTATGCTTTAATACAAACTAAATAAATACTGTGCACTCACTCCAAAACGTATCTTTACAATTTTGTGTGAGACAATATGACAATGGATGATAGATTTTGACAATCCTACTGAGACGAGGAGTCGCAGTGTTCATTTTGAAATTGATCGGACCTCTCCTTAAAGATACTTCTTGGAGTGAGTGTACAGTAGCTAATAAAGTATCTGTGCATACTCTGTGTGACACATCATGAGACCACAGATGATAGGTATTGGGATATATGTGTTGTCTCCTTATACTATGTGATAGTAATTATTTAACCATTTATTTTATTCCCATATGTCAACTCACCCCCTGTGTTGGATACTGAATGGCGATGGGTGAAGACATGCAAACCAACCCTCCCGAGACATCACCAGTTGAACGTATAATTTTGGTTGTCATCGGACCCAACCTGTCAGACACTTTTTCTTAGCTACTGTACAAGCATGCATACATAAATTATAGTTAATAGATACATACATATATTCAGCACACAATACATACATATATACAGTATAAAGTACATACAAACATACATACATACATACATACATACATACATACATTGTTTAGTTTAGTAGTTTATTGACAAAAGTATAAATACATGGTAAATATATACAATAGAATTCAAAATATATTTGTCCAACAAAATATTTTAAGTCAAAACATAACATGTAAGGGGCAATTTCAATCTTAACTACCGTATAGATTCCTAGTACCTCCTGTACATAATTACATAATTCAGGCACATATATATTTTCATTTAAGAGTTCACTGATACTGGAGAAAGTCAGCATATGATACCTTTCACGACAATGTGCAGAGAGCGGACAATTGATCAGCACATCGTTCACCTTGTTCATGACTGTCATCGCACTGACATACTCTCAACTCTGCTGGTGTGCGACTCCACCTGCTCGTCTCTACTTTGAGGGTGTGTGACAAAAGTCTCAGCCTGGTGAATGACTCGCACTGAAAATCCGGGATAAATATCTTACTTAAGTACACCTCATGTAGCACTGTCATAAAAGGGTTCAGATCGGATATGTACGTAGCAAATTTTGTAGCTCCAGCTGACCTCTCCGTTACCAGATTCACCACTCTGTCTAGTGGGTTTGTGTTATAGTCTAAGGTAATTGCTCTCGCCATGAATCTAAATCCTGGTGTATTTGCTATTCTACATAAATTATATACAAAATGAAGAAGTTGTTCCATGTCCATTATCTCATGTTTTGATTTCATAAACTTGCATCTCCTCTTTGCAATAATGTCTTGCACTGGGGAATACCTGACTCGATCATGCACAGATTCATCTCGTGTTTTTCCTCACACCAAACAAGCACTTCACCAGTTTATTATACTGTCTTTCCAATCCTTTCAAGTTATTGGTCAGCCACGATTCAGAACCGTACAATAATTATGATGTCACTGAAGAATCAAATACAGTCAGTCCCCGATTTATGACGGGGTTAGGAACAGACGAGCAGGTTGTAAGTCGAATTGGTTGAAAGTCAAAAATGCGAAAATAATACATAAAAAATCTAAAATGGGTGTCTCTTTTTCTTCTCAGCACCACGAGAACTCTTACTTTTACACTTGCCAGCCATTTTAAATGGAATTACAAACAAAAATTTTGTCAGTACACAGCGCGATCACTAACGTCGGGACTCAAAAATACGTAATTTGAAAAAAATTCTGTACGGCTGCGGCGGTCGCATGTCCGGGTGGTCGTAAGTCAAGTAGGTCGTAAGTCGAGGAGTACCTGTACATACTGTACATACGTACATACACCGTATGTACATACATACATACATTAATATATACATATATACATACATACATACACACACACACATACCAGAGAAGCCAGCCTCCTGCAGGATCTGTAAGGGGTAGCAGACCATGGGGAGTGTACCCACAGGCAGGAGACACTTGGGTGTGTGGTTGGTCAAGGTGGTCATCCTCATCCCTGGGCCGGCTGCCAACACAATAGCCTGAGCCTCTAGATGCATCTTGGTGTGACTGTCACCTGGAGAGTGAGACCCATTACAGTGAAACTTCCATCTAAGGAACGATATAGAGATGAAAGTCCATTATATCAAGGGCCCATTATATATGAAACCTTTATTTAACGGACTATACAAAGATGAAAGTCCATTATACTGAGGGTCTGTTAGATGTGAAACCCCCATGTAACTGATTATATTGAGAGAAGTCCATTATATGGAGGTTTCAGTGTATAAGTGGCATTCATAATACAGGCAAGAACACTTTCTCTTTACATTTCTGTATAGTAATGTATTATCTCAAGATAGCTTATGCCCCTTTTGGCAACTCCAATTATATACTGTATGTCTAGTCTGAAAAAGTCACATATTCCTAGAATTTCTACTGTCATGATAGATGACCTAACTTAACCTAACCAGACATAACCTAATGGAAAGTAAACGAAATGGAAGCAGACAGACACAATCCATTCACTTTGGGGATCTCACTTTTAATATCATATTTGGCTAACACCTAACCTAACCTAACCTAACCTAAATGTCTGGTTAGGTTAGGTTCCATTGTCATGTTTTTTTGTAAGTGGTTTAGCCCCATAGCCAACAACACAATCAATGGTTTAAACATTTAAGAATGAGGGTTTAAATATTTGAGACTGATGGTTTGAACTTCAGGGGACAAAAATGGTTTAATCCTCTATGGACAATAATTAAACTGAGCTCAATGGTTCAAACTTAAGAAGACAATAGTTTAAAGTTTAAGAATTATGATATAAACCCTTGATAACGATGACCTCTCCTCTGATAACAATGGTTCAAACTAATCACAATCACCATAATCCATAAACCCTGACGCAACATCTGGCAGAGTTTCACCAACCAGAAATAAAACTAAAAAATATCCAGAAATACCCCCCCCAAAAAAAAAATTATATAAGCCAGACATTCAAAAGAGACTAAATGTTGTTAATTAAAAAAACTAAACCCAACGTGGATAAATAAGGCTCATAGGACCTAAAATATAAAATACAAATATCTTAAATATCTTAATACATCTATTATAGATTATCCTTCATTAAATTAACTTGTATTATATTAATTATTTGTCTACCTTAAGTGTCTACATACATGATAAAACAATATTAACTTATGAGGTTTTGAGTTAATAAACATCTTTAAGTACCCACGTTTGTTATGGTACAACAACACCTGCAGGAGCTGAACCAGGAACACTCTTCTCTTCCCAGGACACACTACGGCTTTATTTTTTCCCAGGACAGACAGTGACCAAAGACCCGGGAAAGTCGTAGTCAAGCCTAAGGTAATGACCCTACTGGAGAGAAGCATCTGATGGCTTTGTCGGTTGTCCTTGGTTAAATTGCCTTCGTGTTTATTATTGTTGTATGCCTGGACTCTCTAGGTAATGTACTGTTATGCCGAGGCAGAGTTTCGTATTATAATTTTGTAAACTAGGTGTTTTGATTGTTTCCTGTCCCTTGCAGCAGTTATTTGGCAAATTTAGTGAAATATTCGCGTATATATTGACGTATTAATTATGTAAGAATATTCTAGAATGTATTGCATCGTTTTTGTTATGATTTACTTATTATTGTAATTGTAAACCTCGATCAGAGTAGAACGTTCTAGAATCTCCCAGGCGTCTTCGTGATTCTAGGATGTTCGAGAAGCTTCTGATAAGGTGTACATAAACAGCAGTGAGCATTATCATCATTATAGGATACAGTCAATCGCTTCTGTTCAGAGTGTAAAGAATAAGCCTAGCAGAACAACTGACAAGTCCAGCTGTGACACCATTACCCTGTTAACTGTTGTGAAGAATCTGCGTTTATTAAAGAAGACTACAGTGCACAAGTGCGTTTCTGTGACTATTTAGGTGAAGTAACAATAACCTAGCATAACATAACAATATATTAACCTAACACAATCTTAACTTTACTTGATATTGCCTTAACATACTAACATATCTGTTAGAACAAGTTAAGTGAATTTGTTTTTGTTTTTTTACAAGTTGCCCATAATGTCGCACGATATTTTTGGATTCAGTTTTAGGTATTTCTCGTCATTTGGGAAGAGTTAATACAGTGTTGCACCCTACAGAGATTGGCAATAACAAGTACAATTGCCTTTGAGTGTGCACAGTAAGTTTGTCTTTTGGAAAGAGACAAAGAGTACAGTGATAATTTCCTCGTGTATTCATCAGTGAAGCAGTAAAGTAAAAGTTCACATTCCAGTATTATCACTAGGGGAGTGAGTAATAAGTTGAGCAGTATTTGTGCAATAATTTTGAACAGTATTTCAAGTGTTTTTTTAGTATTAGAAGGACAGTTAGGCAGTAATCCGTTTGTTTTTGAAGGTGTGCACTGTGCCCGTGTTGTGTAGTTACAGCGAGTTGTGACCTCCAGGCATGATGGCAGTCACAAGAGAGCAGTTCAGGGCAGTTAGCTCAGAACCTGTGTCCAGTAAGTTGACGTGTAGAGTTGAGAAGGATGTGGGTAGAGACGTGTTCATTCACAGGAATGACACCCAGGTCTCACCACCAGTTGTTGCATCAGGGGGATGGCCTGATGGACAGGGAGGTGTAGAAGGGAGTGAGGAATTCCTCTCTTACTAGTTATGTGAGAGACTGGCATCAGTGTTGCCGAGATATCTTTGAAGGGCTGTAGACCTTTGACGGGAATGCATTGGTTATTGATAATAATAATAATAATAAGAATAAGAATTATTAACGGTTTATTGAAAGAGCTTGGCAGCCAGAAGGCTGAAAATATACAGTTACATAATTGGGGAATGGGTTTCTAATTACAAATAATATACAAATAACATAAGTGATATAAATAAGATATATAATAACTAGACGGAGAAAAGCTCAAACTACAGGGCATTTCTACATAGTGACAGTGCAAGAAGTAGTATTTACTGGGAGTGAATACACTGGTTTATTACAAGTTATTGATAATTTTTACAGTGGTTGGGACTGGGCTGTTCTTATAGCGATCAGTTCTTGCACGTATGGGCTGGATGCGGTGTCGAACAGCACAGCAATTCTCGGGCGAGGGATCTCAGGTGGTAGTAGGAGCCCGTGTCGAGGATGGTGCAGAAGCTTCTTACCAAATTTGCAGATGAGGTCGTGGTGATGGTCAGTGAGTGTCGAAAGGGTCAGTGTGTTGAGCGCTTCTTGATATGTGGAGTAGGAAGGGGAGAGAATAATCTTGATGTGCATGGTGAAGTGTGTTTTGCATATTTGCGTTGCAATTTGGAATTACAACTGGTAAGTGAGAGAATGTGTTGTTGCCTTGCATCAGTAAGCTGTGGAAAGTTAGTATGTTGTTTGCCCATGTGAGTGTGGAATGTGGTGCAACGGGAATGTTTGTGAGTATGTAGGTGTTTGTGATTTTTTTTTTTGAGAGGGATTGTCGATTTGCAGTAACACATGTAAATTGTAAGATGGATTGGCAGTTATGCAATCATCTGATGGGTATCTGTTACCAATTGAGTAAAGATACCAGTTGTGAGTTCTCAAGGTCCCTAACGCAGCCTAGGCCGTGTCTGTAGCGTGGATGACGCATCCACTAGTCTTGGGAGATGTCTGAGGTCCAGTGGAGTCGGGTGTCCCCTTGAACCCCGACCGTCAGAAGCTCCACTACCACCCATGGGCCCCATAGGGGGTAGTATTCCCCTAACGCCCTGTCCCTTTGGTGAACCCGGATCTTCAAGCCCCCAAACTACTGCCAGCCCCATCATTGGTGGATGAGTACAGTACATAACTCGGTGGGGCTGTTGGTGTGGTGGTGTTAGTCCACCGGAATTATTGGAGTTTGTTGGAAGGTGTCACTTGGTGATGAGACTCCCAGGGCTGCTGCTGGAGTATTGCCCCTGGGGTATTGAGTGTTGTACTGGCAGGTGCCACTGGTTTTATTGGTATTAAGGTGCTGTAAGAGTTTATGTGCGTTTTGGTGTGGGTTCACCCAGTAGTGGTGCAAGTAAATTGAGCCTGAGGGCATGGTACCAGGAGTTCCTGTTTTGGGTGCATACGTCTTTTCTGTAACCATTTTTGTGTTTAATAAACATTGTATTTGTATGTGGGTCTATGATTCACCTATAGTATTCACCGTTGTTCTCTCCCTAATACTCGATACTATATTTACATGTACCCATGGGCCTTTCTCTCATGTCACGCTACCAGGTCAGAGTATCAATGTAAGTAGTAAGAGTGCCAAGCCCTCGCATGGTGGCAGCTAGCTTGTTGTTCCTACCCCCCCGCCCCCCCTTGTTACAGGTACACTGTGCTGGGGGCTGGCGGCGGCGTCTGAGGCAGGACGGTGATGTTGGGGTCGGTAGGACACAGTGCGTGGGGCAGGAACAGGAGAAGCAGCAGTCATGGAGGAGCAGAGCTGCTCGAGGGTGTCTATCCTACGGTGTAAAGACTGTAGCAGGTCCCTCATGTCTTGTGAGGTGTTGATCGTCTGGGGAGCGTTGGTCTGATTGACAAGATCGGAGGAAAGTGACGGTGTGGCTGCTGAGTTGTTCGTGGCAGCATGGCGCACAGCATGGTATTCGTGGAATACTCTGTCTGCCGTGGCTGCATAGGTCGCCGAGGTAGTAGAGTAGTCCAATGCCGAGAGGACGAGACAAACTTCTGCAGGTAGCTTCTGAGTGTGAAGCTGGCGCAGGATAGTGTCAGGAAGTCTGTCTGTGTGGCGGGAGTTCAGTCTCAGCATCTCGTCCCAGAGACGTGCAGGAGTTGAGTTGCCGAGGGAGAGACCGGATAGGTCTTGCAGGAGACTGGTGTCAGGCCGCTGGTATCGCCTCTTGAGAGCATCTCGTAGAGCTGCGAATTTGTTGTCAGCTGGAGGGTTGGTGATGACTTCTGCAACTTGTGTGGCGACTTCTGTGGACAGAGAACAGACCAGGGCGACGTACTTCTGTTCGTCTGTAGCTGTAGAGCCGATGAGAGCTGCCTCCGTGTGGATAAGCCAGTCTTCAATGTTGTGAATGAAGACTGGGAGAGTGATCCGTTTCTCCTCCATCCTGTTTGATTGCGTTTCTCCCGGGATTACCATTTGTAGTGTTAACGTTATGATGTCGCACTCAGGATGGGTTGGAGAAGGGAAACTCTTAATGGCGGTTTTCTTATATAAATATATTATATACAAAACAGTCTGGTGCTGGGAAGTTGCTGCGTGGTAGAGGAGTTGCTGTGCAGGAGCTTCTTTAGAGGTGTTGTGTGTTGCAGAGCCCTAGGTAGAATGGACTTCACGGCGAGGCTAGGAGCTTATATACACGTCCACCGGGAGTAAGCGTCACCGGTGTCAACCCCCCTGAGTCTAGACGGCTAGGCTTGTCAGAGAAACTTCGCCGCAAGATCGGGTGATCAGCGGCTAATGGCATTGGCAGTTGTAGGGGAGAGTATCCACTACAGGGGTCTGCAGCATCTCACTACTGAGAAGCCGCACGTTAAGACTATTTTGATGGGCACCAGATCCACAGACCCTTACTCCCAGAATCTCAAGGCCTTCTAGCTAAGTTGATGAAGGTCTGAGTCCTATGTTGATGAAGTTTTGTACTGTATCAGACTTGCCTGGTGTTGTACTGTACTGGACTGGACTATCTTGCACCTTCCTGGTTAACTGCTGGAGGTTTTATCTCTTTTTGGTAAAGTACTGGACCACATGAGATCATCTTGTGAGCGAATGAATATAGAAGAAACTACAATGTGAACTGGTGCATGGCAGGTTTCTTATCATATAGGAGAACAACTTGATATTTTATTTCTTCTGGTGAACTTCTAGACTATCTTGAGTCAGACCTGTCAAGTTGTCTGGAAAGGTTTGTTAGGGGACAGCTGGTAGAGAGTGTCTCTTCTTCCTTCCTGGAGATATATCCTAGACAATGCTGAGCATTCTAAATGACCTATGAGAAAACTTCAGTTTGAAAAGTAATTATACTAAAATTACTATTAAAAATGTTGATATAAACTTAAGAATGAAAGTGATAATAATTTTTGGTGATACATTAGTCTGGCAGGCAGTTGGTGACAAGGATATTAACCCTCTCAGTCTTGCAAAGGCAAAAAAACTTACATTCAGCCTCGAGACGGCAACGTGGTGTCCAATGGGCTATATTTTCAAATAACTCGAAAACTATTCAATGAAACCGACTTGAAATTTGGACGGCATTTGACAGACTTCGTTTTCTTTGAGTGGGCCTTCACCTTCCCCGAGATGGTCTTAGTTATCGTGTGCCTGGCAGCGCAGCATGAAGCCAGTGTCGCTCTGAAGAGGGTGCGCCGTTCGCCCCTTTAATTATTCTACGAGTTTTTGAGTGATATTATTTTTCCTTATACAGTGGGGTATGCTATAACGAACGGATTCTACTACGAATATTCCTATAACGAACGGTTTTACCTATAAAATTGAGAATGCTATAACGAACACAACTCCTACAACGAACGCGGATGAATACGGGACTATTTCGTCTGGCGCATGAATATTGTTGCACCGCGGCTCACAGCAAGAGCGTCATTGTGTAGTCAGTGCACCACTGAATTTGTTGAAATTTTGTCTTTTGATGTGGAAATTCGTGTTATTTTTATAACTATTTTGTTATACAAGTGTACAATTGTAACAATGAATCGTCAAAAGCGAGTGAGAAAGCTAATAACCCTTGAAACTAAGAAAGAAATTATAAATAAACAAAGTGCCTGTAAGACATTCACCAAAGAGGGCTAGGAAGGATGACTCCTCTCCTCCCCCCTCCTCCTCTGCCTGCTGTCCTGCATGCTGAACAATCCTAAGGTAAGATAAAGTACCGTATTTTTTACAATTTCCACAGAAATTTTTCAGTGTTAAATGGTTGTATTTGGGGGCCTGGAACGGATTAATTCTATAACGAACGAATGCTATAACAAACGAGGTTCTAGAACCAATTACATTCGTTATAGTACCATGATATTCTACATGCTTTGTTCTTTATTTTGGTATATAATGTACAGTACTGTAGTACATATCAATGAGCACCATAATACAAGGAATATGTGAATGGAAATAGAGATGTTACTAAACATTTTCCTACTTTTTCAACTTATTAAAAACAGTGGCTTAAATTTAAAGAATTTAAAAAAAAATATGGTTTCATACAATTTTATGCAAGAAGTGACCCCATTACAACTAATAAAACAATTCCATGGCAGTGAAATGAGCCCTAAATTTTTTTTTTTCAAGATTTTTCGGCAAAAACCTCCGAGGCTGAGGTAAGTTTTCATGCACGCATGTGTCTCAGGCTCCGAGGTTGAGAGGGTTAAGTTATTAACTGTGGTGGTTGTGTCAGGTGACAGATAGAATCTGGCCACAAGTGATGAGTGTCATGCCAATCTTGAACTGGGACTTCATCGATGTGTGGCACTTCCTTTGCTCTAACGCGATTTATGAATTAGGAACGATATTTGTATAACGCGAACGCTTGTTTGCTATAACGCGATTTTTGCTTACTATTTCTCCAATTTTGTGGTACAGTATTAACTGTGAATATAGTAAAGAAGAATATCAACAAGAAGCGTTCTCCATGATCGTAAAAGAAAGGATATAACAGAAGAGAAGCTCGACAACCTCAAAATCACCCTTCTCCCCCATCAAGTAAAGTGTTACATTTACTGTACATTATTAGATATGAATGTAACATTTATTTAGACTGAAGGCTAGAAAATCTGCACCTAACCCTATTTTCTCCATAAGCCCTGTTATTTCTATTACGCGATTTTCTATAACACGATATTTTACAAGAACACAATTATCGCGTTATAGCAGAACTACCTGTACACACATCTCCATATGCAGTACAAGTACCTTACAATATTGGCTGAAAGAAATTTTTTGATATCTTTCTAATAACTTGCAAAAATTTCCCTGTTCTATATACTGTACTTGCTCAGAGTGCATTAAATAACTTAATTCTCCATGGTCCTAATTTTAAATGTGTTTGTTAAGTTTGTGTTACATTGGGCAATGTTGTGTAGTGTTTCAGAGTGTGCATGCCAGTATGTTGTACGGGTATACCTTTTTATATATACTGTACAGTATAATAATGAACATGTGTGTGATGCATCATCTGTTATTGTACAGCCTGTATGTACTATACTGTACAATACTGCACAATATTTGAGTAGCCTGTGCATTATACAAGTTGTGATGCCCTTTAATTCATTTGAGGCAATTCTGTAACTTACAAGTTATTAGCAAAGTTAACCTGTACATGTAATGTTTCAAAGTAGCCAGAGGACATTCATAGAACAGTAGGTCTGTGTACTAATGAACTAAGTTTAAGAGTTAACCTTACTAAAAAATTATTGTAATACAAAGTTTTAATACATACAGCACCTACAGTAGATGATCCTTGAATGCACTGTAATCTAAGCGACCACAAAATTAGATTGGGTTAAATACTTTGGGAAGGTCTTATTTATAAAGTTAAAGCTTGTGGCCTTTCTTGCTAAGCCTTAATATACAGTAAATAAGTCCAATCTTTTATTTACTGTTAAATTTGTCTCGTCCACAGCATATGGAGAAACATTAGTATTTTGCCAGTTTGACCAAAGATAGCCAACAAAGTCATCAGATGTTTATTTTCAGTCGTCCTTTTAAATTAAATCCCAACAGCATCTGGTGTTGTCAGGTGGTCATCCATCCCAGTACTAACCAGACCCAACATTACTCAACTTCATTGATTGGATGAGAAGCAGTGTTTTCAAGGTGGTATGGGATTAGTTGATAGCGATTAGCTTCACTCTGGCTATATTAGTCTGTAATGCTCAGTTGCAGTAACTATATTTATTCTTTATTTCTGAAGTAATTCAAGAAGCAGATAGAATTCAATCTAGTGATTAACATACCGGGTAGATGAATGTAAATTTATTGCCTGATAATTTTCTCATCTGTAATACAGTACAGTACAGTGACCCCTCGTTTAACGAACGCCTCGGTTAACGAACTGCCTTCCATAAGGATCTTCAATTCGGTTAACGAATTTCTTACGAACCGACCTCAACATGTTTTCGCTTGCACTGGCCGGGCAACCAGCTTTAGTATCAGTCCGCCAATAAATTAATCGGTTCTAGGGCTAAATTCCTTACTATTTTAGTAAATATCAAGAAGTTTATACTAATCAATAATTTTAAAAGTTTAATATTCAATTTTTTAGTCATTTTAACAATTATTGAACATAATTGAAGGTAAAGTGACTAGTTTAATGCGCGGCGTTAGTCTCTCTTTGTTTTCACTGGAGGTAACATCTTGCTTGAGACTCTCTTCAACTAAACACTTTTTTTCTGTGTTTCCAAGCAAATTATTGGTCATTTTGAAATATATTTTACATATTGACAATATATAATGCCGTGCAGTGTTGATTTAAAGAAAATAATCTTGAAATACACCAAGAGAACTAAAATTTTATGGGTGAAATGGTGCCATGGGGTGACTTCTCTTCCACCCCAATGCCTTCTCTTCTTCCTTCTCCTCCACCCCCATTCTAATTCCCATCATCATCATCCAGGAGCCTTCAACATACACACCTCAAAGTAAGTGAACTTTTCTACCATTTTTGTTGAATTTAGGAAATTTTCGGTGAGCTGGAACCAATTACCCAAAAACCCATTGAAACAATGGTTTCGGTTAACGAACGACCTTCTGGAACGGATCGAGTTCGTTAACCGAGGGGTCACTGTATACCTAATTAATGAAATAATGCTAATACTTTGACTTTAGGTACTAAATATTTCAGAAAATGTTCCCCACAACAGATTATCCAAATTAATAATATCATAAAAATAATTCACTGTAGTTTCTTAACTTATTATTCTTCTCTGCTTATGTAATTTCATTCCTCTAACATATTAGAGCATTAAACAACCAACTGGGATGGTGTACACTTTGTCTCGGGACACCAGATTCACTTCCACGTCTCATTGGACTTGTACCTTTATTCACCACAAATATTGACTCGCAGATTGGAAGTTTGTTTCCAAAAGTCATGTGGTTTATGTAAAGACGTCTTATGTCTTTTGCCCATCTAAACAATTTTCATACATTATTTTGTTTGCTCAGGCCTGACCAAATACTGTATTGCAGAATATTTCCCATGTTGGTCTTTCCCATTACACTTTGGCCTCATTCACGGTTTCCTTCCCCAGGTACACATCACTGGGAGGACAGAGCAACACGGCCAGGAACCCACATCTCTCTTACCATGACGAGGCAGACACAGAGAACTGGTACCCCGCTTACTTAAGGTAAGCTGGAGCATGCAGGCAGGAAGTAGCAATCTTAAGAAACCAGACCATCACATGTGCTGTAGATTTATGAATGACCAATTTGCAGGTTTTGAAGGCATGAAATTTTTTTTATTACCCTGTACTGTGCTGTACAAGCAGTTGAGCAAAAACCTTGATTGTCCTGATCTTTCCAAATTTATCCTAGTTAAAGAAGTTATAATTACTTGAGGTATTAATACTCCCAACTATTCCATACAAGGAGTTGTCATACTGTAATATTATATTAAAAAAAATTATTAAACTCATCGAGTCTGTTTAGTATTGAGAGGAAACCAAATTTACCGTGGTTGGACAAAAACATTGCCTCGTGTCCATAAATGTCTGGCCTTGTGAGTAACATTTCATTTAAACTCAAACTATGGCAGTAACAATTTACGTAAAAGGCTAATGAAAAAATGCTACAGTCATCCCCGTTGTTAGAGAAATGTTCGGGAAAAAGTTGCATGTAATGTAAAATTTGGTAATGCAGACCCAATTTTCCTATTTATTACCATTATATCTTCACATGTGCTTCCCAGGAAAAATGTCAGACCAAGATATAATAAAATCACACTTATGAAAGTATTAAACCTGTATAAATACTGTACACATTAAATGGAAATTTTATTGTTTTAAGATATTAATATTGTACACAAAAGTCGTGAAATCAATTTAACAGAAATAATGATGATCGAAGTGAGTTGGTACTGTAGTGGAATAGATTTGACCAAGTATTTCACCTGCATCAAACCTTTATAGCATTACTAATTTTACATAAAGATAATGACACGACAGGCTTTTTTTTGCTCCAATGTCGCCATAAGCACTTACTGGTCCTTTCTAGACATATTAAACAAGGGTGGCGCACTGCAGTCTTCAATATTACACGTGTGAGAACCGAGAGCATACTTTACTGTACTGTGTACTCAAAGCATGCCAAGTTAACTGTGTTCACATCAAACTAACAGAGAGAGTACAAATGTGAAACACTGAGAGATGATTGCTAAGATGAATCATAAAAAAAAAAAATTATAACAGCAAAATGTGATGTTTTGTGTTGCATTTCCATTTGATTAAATTCTGATTATGTATCCCAGATTTAATGGTCATAAGTTACAAATTCCATAATGTTTTGACATTAATATCTTTAGCTTGGGAGATGACTGTACTTAAAAATTATCCTTAGTCGGTTGTGTGGGAGGAGCTGATCGACTGGCAATGTTTTGGTTATAGTAATGAAGGGTTTAATAATATACAAAATTTATGTACTTTACATAAAACTTCCTTGAAGCTTTCCTCTCACACGTAACGTAAAACTTGCAGTGTGTGTAATTTTTGGTGATGTGATTTAACTTGCGACTCAAAGACATTATTTACACTATTTAAAGAAACAGGATAATGAATTACTGATTCAAACTTTGTGTATTATTTTTCACCTTGAAATTCAATTTGCTTAGGTCAATATGACCAAAAAATGGATCCGTCTTCACAAATAATAATTAACTTACAACTTGGTCCACTCCTTAATGGTGTAATATGTTTTCCATCTGGCTTTTGTTCTGTGTAATATACTGACTCCCCTTCCTGTCATAACAGCAGGTTCGTCTCACCAACAATAATTACACCAATATTTAGGTCAGGAGCAAACACTTGCCATCAGATCATGTATCTTAGTGACTGCTGAAATCTTATATTCAGCTCAAGATAACATTACAGCACATGCTTAATAAAAAGCACTTACAAAATGTTTCCCTACTTTTTGTTTTCAATTAAACACAAAAGCAATGTACTGACAAAAGACACAACACAGATGTTAACGCCAGAAAACTATGTCATTCAGTACATCCTCATACTTTGATCACATTCAAACTATGATCATCCTCGTACTTTGATCATCTTTGTACTTCGATCAGTTGAGGAACTTGGCTACCTGGTTACCGAGTGTCCGTTGACTACCAGCTGGTCATTAGTGTTTACATATTTACCAACCATTCAAATGCTAGCCAACAATGCTGACCTGCTGACCAGACAATTGTTGTAAGCCAGCCATCAAAATCAATCTGCTGGCTAGCCTATCACAAGCTAGTAGTTAATGTCTACTTTTTGACCAGCCAATCAAGCGCCAGTCATAAGTGGCTACACGTTGACCAGCCAGACACCAACCAGTCATCATTGGTCAAGTATGTATGGCACCACTGATCGCAATACTGCCTGTTCATCTTGAGAATAAATGTGTCAACACTCGTTTCTATCGGCATAAGTTCTCTAATTCACTAGGGGAAACAATTACTTCTTTACAGAAAAAATCTTATATATTTTTCCATACAAATACTTCCTATTGGATGCTAACACATCAGTGCTCACCGCAAGAATACGAAAAGGGTGACTGGAGCACTTTCACTCTATAAATTCATTTCAATTGATTATTCAAATTATTTCTTCATTTGCACTGACATTACTTGTAAACATTCTCACATTTCACTACTGTCTTTCACAATCTTGCTGAACCTTAAACTAGGGATCTGCATGTTTCTCTGATGAGATTTGACCACATATTTAACTATTTTAAGAAGTCACTTTTGCAGAACCTGTTTCATCTAACTTGGGCTTCTTTGCACTAGCGGTGTTCCCTTCATCATGAGTGTGAGAGCGCGAGGAGGCCACTCTCCACTCTAGTGAGTTGTATAATAAGTCCACATCCTTGGGGCTTCCCTGAAATATATATATACAGTATATATTACACACATTAATATAATCACTCAAACAAAATACAATTGCTTTGCTCCACAACATTGCCACATTTAAACTAATACAGGACATGAAAATAATGCTTGCTTGACAGCCAAAGCAAACATGATGATGACTAAATGAAATATTAGCACTACACTTAACCAACTTAGCAAGTGACTTCTATCATCTATATCCCTCAGTGATAAAGTACAGTACTGTACAATATAGTGCATTTTTCCCAGCTGAGAAAAGGTACCCCGCCCCTTCCTCAAGAGTTACAGCTGATTGGCTGTTGCAAATCTGTTCGATTTTGTCCCGAAGTAATGAAGTATTCCTAAATGAGTTTATTCATAATCGTTGGGATGACCGTTTCTGACGAGAAAGATATTTAGCTAAATTACATAATGATACACACATTCATTATTTCAAACATAAGCATGTAGGAAGTATATCAGAAATCTTATATATGAATTAACTGTTGAACTGGTAGCAAATTCACGCTTTCTGAGGATGCATTTAATATATACTTACTTTTACCCACAATAAGGCATACTAAGACTAAATTACATATCAGTAATACAACAGTGGTCCCTCGGTTAACGAGCACAATCGGTTCTAGCAGGTTGCTTGTTAACCGAAAAACTCGTTAACTGAAACCATTGTTTCAATGGGTTTTTGGGTAATTGGTTCCAGCTCACCGAAAATTGCCTAAATTAAAAAAAAAGGTAGAAAAGTACATTTACTTTGAGGTGTGTATGTAGAAGGCTCCTGGATGATGATGATGGGAATTAAAATAGGGGTGGAGAAGGGAGAAGAGAAGGCATTGGGGTGGAAGAGAGGTCACCCCATGGCGCCATTTCACCCATAAAATTTTAGTTCTGTTGGTGTAATTCAAGATTATTTTCTTTAAATCAACCCTGCACTGCATTATATATTGTTAATATGTAAAATAAATTTAAAAATGACCAAAAATTTGCTTGCAAACACAGAAAAAAAGCATTTAGTTGAAGACAGTCTCAAGCAAGATGCTACCTCCACTGAAAAGACAGAGAGACTGGTGCTTGTTTGGTGTGTTGCCAGGCTGGATGACGCACATGAAACTAGTTTCCTTACCTTCAATTATGTTCAATAATTGTTAAATTGACTAAAAAAGTTAATATTAAACTTTTAAAATTATTGAATAGTATAAACTTCTTGATATTTACTAAAATATTAAGGAATTTAAGCCCTAAAACCGGTTACTGTATTGGCGGACTAATACTACAGCTGGTGGACCGCCAAATGCAAGCGAAAACATGTTGAGGTCGGCTTGTAAAAAACTCGTTAATCGAGGGATTGCTCGTTAACTGAAGTTAAGAATCTTATGGAACGTAACTCGTAAACCGAGGGATCACTGTACATTATGCAAAACAAGGGATCACTGTACATTATGCAAAAACTAACATTTTGAAAGATCAGAATCACATTGAAATATTACATGGCCGTTAGCAGAGGCAGGAAATATGAAGTTGTTCGCAGTCATATTTCCTGCCTCTGCTGATGGACGTGTAATATTTAAATGTGATTTTCATTGTTTAAAATGCTAGTTTTTGCATAATGTAGTATTACTGATATGTAATTAGTCTTGGTATGCCTTATTGTGGGTAAAAATAAGTATACCGTATATTAAATGCATCCAACGAAAAAGTGAAATTGCTACCAGAGTTCAACAGTTAATTCATATATAAATTTCTGATTAACTTCGTATGTGCTCATGTTTGAAATACAGTTATGAATGTGTGTATCTTTATATAATTCAGCTAAATATCTTTCTCGTCAGAAACGGTCATCCCAACTATTATAAATAAGCTCATTTAGATATACATCATTACTTCAGGACAAAATCAGACAGATTTACAACAGCCAATCAGCTGTAATTCTTGAGGAGGGGGCGGGACATCTTTTCTCAGCTGGGAAAAAACGCACTACAGAGTGTATAGACTCTTACATTATTATAATTCTAAAAAGTGCTCTGGGCATACATGGATGTATCACAAATATTTTCAAAGTAAACATAACACCCATTCTTATAATCATTGGATCCTCAAGTTCCAGAACTTAAGTTAAAAAATTTAGTGTTGCACTACAACACTTGACACAATTTCTTCTTTTAATAATGTATGTGCTGCAATTGCTTTCTGAGCTACTCACTACACTTTGCATTTTATACTGTATAGGATTACTTGGATTATTTAACTGACAACCTCCGAGTACATAAAATTTGATCACAAATTAAATGTCTCCTGCCACTAAGGATGAAAAATACCAGACTCCAGATTTTACTTACCATAGCAAGGAAGATTTTTGGTTGGCCATCAGCATCTAGTGCAGTGAATCTCACACTTTTGCTGCTGGCTCTCTCAATTGACATCTCTGCCCAAACCTGAAATTAATTTTAATGTTACATGTCTGCTCTTTCTTCAATGGAGCACGTTGACATGTGTTAACAACAATGTAGCGAAAATTAAACAAAAATGTTTGCAACATTAGTGTTTGGAACATTGCGGTCAACAGAAATATGTAAAGTATATTGACTGGAGTAGAATTTTTAGTCATTTTACTTTTCTTTCTAACAATGTTGACAATTTTTATCAAATGTGTTGATGCCAGTGTTACCAGCATTGTTGTGGATCCACCTTTACTCTGCAATTCCATGTAATACAACCAGAAGATACTTAAATGTATATCCCTAATGAACTCACTATCCCAATGTTTATTAAATTATCAATGAATAAATAGGCATTTACCTTAGTGTTAAGCATCACAGTTAGGGTCCCTTGTGTTCGGATGACAAGACGTGAGTGTATCTCGTGGCCTGCATCCCAGTCGTTGAGGCGAAGGATGCCTCGACCCCGTTCTTGCCATGACCCACTCACCCAGGCATACAGCTTACAGTTCATCTGTTGAAGAATAAGTTATAATGTCAGTAAGATTTCTCTTAGCTTTCCCTCTACACCTAAACTTCTCTGGGTATTTCTTCGTATAACAACAGAGCAAAAACAGGTATTTCTTCGTATAACAACAGAGCAAAAACAATCACCTCTCTTACCATCAAGATATGTCAGTAAATTTGTCAAGGTGGCTTTAATCTTATATCTATGAAGACAAGACACACTTGACTATTAAAACTAACCTGTAGAACATTAGACTCGCTCTCCTCTCCGGTGATAACTTCTACATGGTCGAATTTGCGTTTCTGGCTCTTCTCTTTTTCCGTGAGTTCCCGTGATGACTCCTCCAGGGACTGTCCGCTGGTCCATAAACTATCCTCACTTGGCTGAAAGACAAGATGGAATAATTTCTCACAAGATCAAACAAACAGAAGATATTAGGGTAGCAGTTAGGATTTCATAAATATTGTTTAGTCCTTCCTGCTATGGGGCTGAGTTGCCAAAATCAAGAGAAACCCTGACTTTGGTCATTTACAGTTCTCCCCCTTCTAAATAATTCACCAAACAAGTTTTACAGAACTGTTCTCCTCTCTGGTTCACAATTATCACTTCATCTATCACCCCAGCATCACACACCACCATGATAAACACTTCTACACTGTATTAGAAAGTTTGTTATGCAGTCAGTAAGAAACTAAAAGAGGAAATGAACGTAGAGTTGTATATTGAGAATACAATTTTGAGGAAATAAATGGATACTTTAGGAGGAATCATGAAGATATACTTCCTACAATACTAGATGCTGGATCTGACTAATCAAAGTATATATTTCTACTTTATCAGGCACCAATACTTCAAAATCACACTTAACTATTCAGATATTACAATGTGTCCAAACAACTTATTATTCCTCGGAGAAAAAAAAAACCAAAACAGACAAACAAGAATGAATGATCAAAGATATCTTACTGTCAGTAAAATCTTAAAAAATTCATTCCTTACCAATGAAATTTCTGACACAGCATCTGAGAAGAGATTCCCTGTGACTGGCCTCCCATTGGTGGTGGCAATGCTGGGGGTAGTATCTGTGGACTGTCAGTCAATCATTAACGCTAGTTGTTAGGATAAAGTCCTAGTATCTAGCAGGATTAAATACATTTTCCTCTCATCGGTCCAGAAGTGGTGTTGTGAGGCAAAAAGAGACTATGTTACAATATACTGTATATGACCAGAGTTCATAACCATCAGTCTTGCTGGGTTCATTGTGGCCAGTTTCTATGTTTCAGGTTCTCTTTGTATAAGAAGACATTATCATTTTAAAATTTAGCAGATACAGTATGTCAAATTTTTTTGCTTTTCAAACAGCTGTTACTATGTTACAATTTGAGTTTTACAAGAACTACCGGGTAATAGCTATTACTATCAGGATCCTAACAAACTCTACTTACTGACATTAACATTAGAATCTTGACCAATTTTTACATTTCATGTTATTGTGAGAATTGTTAAGTGATTTTCAAAAGTAGTGGTAGTTGGGGGGTATGCAGCTTGTTCCACAGCTCTTTCAGGATATAAAATAGCAATACTAGAATGATTGCCTTTTTAACTCAATTAACATTATCAAAACTCAAACTAGATGAGACTGAAAATATGCAGGGTGTCCATAGTCCCATTCTGATTTCAAACATTAATTATATGCAAACAACATAATATATTGAAATGCAGTTTTCTGCATTCACTTAGGTGAAAAACAAAACTTGAATAGTTATTCTTTCAAATGCAGAAAAACTGCATTTCAATATTTTATGCCATTTGCACATAATAAATGTTTAAAATTATAACGGGACATTGTGGACACCCTGTACATTTAGCTTCACCACAGAATGTGCCAATAAAATTCTCTCTTTATAACCTTTATGCCTCGCCCACTGTTGCCAGAGGGAGATCACGGGCTACAGTGGCTCAAGAGGTGTCACTGGGGAAGAGTGATAAGAGAAAAAGGTAGATAGCAACAAGAAACACGTGACACCACAAGTACAAATACTCCAGCCAACCTTTATACTAACAACAGTTGGCATATTCAGTATAGAATAGAGTGAATCCTTAACCTACATGTGAAGGGCAGGAAGAATATTAATTTCACTCCCACACCGATGCATCAGTAAAACCCACACTTCCACTGGTTCCACCACATTCATTTACACTGGGGTGTTGCCTTTCATCACTCCTCTGGTGTAATTCACTGACATATATCTTGACCAAAACAACTCAAGCCTTCATTATGTTCCCTGCAAGTCTTTCCTAACCTGTTCTACCTAAAGTACATGGGAATGGTGGAAGAAAACAAAAACAAATAAACACTGTACCAACTTATTTCTCCTGTATTTTTTTTCTTTTTTACTTAAGACAAACATATCATAACATATGCCATTAGGGAAAAGAAAGCTCCCAGGAGAGATGAATGAGTATGGCACTATTAAACTAAACAAGAAAAGTGGAACTTGGTACAAGACTTGACAATATGATCAGGTTCACAACACTGAGAGAAGAACTGTGTCCTGTTGAGCTCTTCTATGATTTTCTGACAGTAAACATCCACTAAGACTCTGTGTCACCTACCCGTGATATTTCGCTGGCAGCTTCAGAAAACAGGTTGCCAGTTTGTTTTTCTCCGTTTGTGGTTCTTGCTGCATCAGACGAGGACGTGACTGAACTCTCGGCGCCCTGGTGAAGTAACAACTACCATATACTTACTGAGACACATAAAGAGAGGTTTTGTTGAACTCACAATCTCAATCAAATATGGAGGTTCAATCACAAGCTAAAGATCAAATTTTGAAATAAAAACATTGATATAAATTGATATGATACTCAACTCTAAACATTACTTTCTCTTACAGATTTACCACCAACTTGTAATTATGAACGCCATGAAATAACCGTCTTATCTTTGTGGGGTGGGTACTGTTATGCCGATTAACATAAAAGTAGTTTCGGGGAACTCTATTTACAAAGAGATTCACCCAAGAGTGTACACCAAAGTGGGTGGAGAGATGCAGCTTACACTAATGTTAGTGCCTCTTAAAATTGGTAATCCATCAAAGATTTCCAAAGAAATTAACCAAGTCTCTTAACAAAATCCCTAAGATTACTAAAGAACTATATTAATCCTCTTACCTACTGTAAAAACTCTTTAAAATAATCACTCTACCAAAGGTTTCTAAAAAGCTAATCATTTAATGCAATCAATCCATGAACGACATCTATATAACAATAAAGTACTAATGATTCTTTCTACATTTTCAAAACAAAATCCCCACGATTCCTTAATAATCCACTTTGTACTCTCTTACAACAACCAAGTCACCAAAGATCACTAACAAAGTACAGTCCTCAAGTCCTCTATTTACTGTACAGTACTAGCGAAGTTGACGTCACCTAATTCACTGGGAAACTCGAACCCTCGAACACGTTTACAAACTGAAGAAAAGCTCTCCTGCGCCTTACTTTGAAGTGGGAGGTCAAGATGATGTGTACCGAGTCTGTTACCCAAACAGGAGAAATTTTGCCCTACTTACCGCAACTTTAGACTGCAGGTTCTGCCCGAAGATGAAGTTGTTGCTACCTACGTTGGGGCTCCCAGAGCTGTTGAGAAGGTGCATCATTAACATCTTCCTTCACAATGTGCTTTACTAACACCATTCTAAACTTTGGGTTTCTAAACTTTATACAATCTCAAACTTTAGTTTCAAAGGCACATCCATTGTGGTTTTCACCATATCTTATTCAAACTGAGGGTGAAAACTCTCTAATTATTGTATTCCTAACTCAAATATCTTTTTTTTTTGCCAGCCAGTTTTCCTAATGGAGTGGGAACCCCCCCCCGGGTATTTCTTAACTACATGTTGAGTGGACTTAAAATTTTCTTTAAATAACACTAAGACTTATTATTCATAATATATATATATATATATTACAGTATATAGCTCCATATCTCAGTTGTTAGAACAAGTTAATGGTCATGGATTTGGCAAAAAAGAATGAATCAAAGACAAAGAATAAAGGGAGAATGTGTGTGGGAAATGTGCTCTTTATCTGTCTAGCCTATATTAAGGCAAGCCATGGATAGTTTCAATAAAACAATAACTGATACACCCTTACCCATCTTTACCATCTCCATTACGTGCGAGGGGAAGGAACAAATTTCTTGAATTACTACTGGATGTGTTGTTACTAGAGGCATTACTGTCCTCGCTGTTGTTCGTGTGAAGTTCGGCCGGCAATGGCCGAGCCGCCCCTCTTCTGTCCTCTTTTACCCCCGAGGACGTTGCTCGAGACGTGTGGGAGGACGCCGTAGAAGTTGACGAAGAGACGTCTTGACCCGACGCTTGAAACGATGATGATTCGGCTGTGGTTCCTGGAACTCCATCGTCTGATCCACTTGCCGAATCTGCTTTATCCCCCGGGTCAGGTGCTGTAAGAGAACACAACAGTTTCCTCGTTCAGTACAAATGTCTGTGCACAATGCCACAGTTGGGCCAGTTATAATACCTATACCGTCAAATCATGCCACCCACTATATTCAGACCTACTACTCTTCACTTATTCTGAAGATACCATTATATAGGGTAAAGAAAGATAATGTTTAAATGAAGATCTTAAGATATCCAAAGAATGTGAAGTTTGTCATCTTCATAATACTCCTTGGAGATGTTTCTGTATGGTTTTTAGCATTATTTCTCTCCCATTTATATCTGATTTGAACCAAAGGGAACTGTACAGAGGCCTCAAAAGGGGGAGAGAGTAGTGTCAGGCAAGTACAGAAAGAGATATGACTAACACCAAGATATATACAGTATAAATAAATAAACAATGTGCTAGTTTTTTCTGTTATGCAGCACAGAGGCCCAAACACAGCCTCTCTAAAATAAGATTTATAAACAAAATTAAAAAAACAAACAAAAAAGCTTTGTAAATCTCATGACTTTACCATTTCCCAAGAGGAGAGTTTCTGACACCAAGCATAAAACAAAATAAAATTACAAAAACTTTAAAGAATAACATTCTTTTTGCTAATAGTAATATAAACATTAACGCGACAACAATTACAATACAGTCTCTCCTTGACTTACAACATATTCGACATACAACAACCCGGACATAAGACGGCCATGGCCGTATAAAATATTTTTCACATTACGTATTTTCGAGTCCCGACGTTAGTGATCGCGCTGTGTACTGACAAAATTTTCATTTGTAATTCCCTTTAAAATGGCTGACAAGCGTAAAAGTGAGAGTTCTCGTGGTGCTGAGAAGAAAAGGAGACACCCATTTTAGAATTTCTTTTAGAATTTCTATGTATTATTTTCGCCTTTTCGACTTACAGTCTGGTCGTCGGAACGGAACCCCGTCGTAAGTGGAGGAGAGACTGTACTTCAGAGAACTATAGATTATACTTGAGGTAAATACAGTACCGGGTACAGTATGTGTATATATTTTGACTGAAGTCTTTCATAAGTGTTAGAAGACATTATTGTTTTTAGGTAACATCATTAAAAATGCATTTTCTTCAAAAGCAACAATTGAAATTACATAAGTTTTATGTTTACATCACTTGCAATACTTACTTCTGGAAAAAGGATTTGCAGATCCGAGCACTGAAGGCTTCAACTTAAACTCCGACTTGCTTGACTGTGGCGGTGATGAACCCGTGACAGTTACTGTTGGGGGCGTGAAGAGACTGGATGTACTTCTCATAGAGCTAACTACCCGACTTGAACCTAAGGCTGACTGTCGAATAACTGGAGGTCCACCTGTTGGATAGAGATGAGTTTCTCAGAGTTGCACATTTAAAATTCTCCTGATTTATACACTAATACTGTACAATCCCATTTCAATTATGAACAAATGTTATTTTCATATAGTGCATAATTTTAAATACTCTACTGTAGCTACCAAGTTTCCTTTATATAGGTACGATGGAGACTTTACAGCACAGTATGAACACAGGTCTTACATTCAACAACACCTTCATAAATGTAATATAACTAAACTGTGTAGGAAGACAGACTGTAATTATCGGGTTACTACCGTACATCACCAGAGTCTCACCTGAGTCTGAATGTGGACTTAATCTTGGAGGGGCCAAGATGGGCCGGTGGTCGGAAGACTCGGAGCCCCAGGTGGCCTGAGGTGTTGCTCTGGCAAAGGGGTTTCCCATGCCAGTGCTGGCGAGGGTGGTGACTGCTGAGGTACTGTGGGGTGATGACAGTGAAGACACTTTGTTGTTACTGCTGCAGCTGTCAATGCTGCTACTGCACGCACTGATCCCATCACCTGCAACACACACACAATATTATAACACTAAACACAATAACATAAATCATATCACTTATGGACATTAGATATATAACATAATAAGTAACAACCTGAACTGATGTGATGTATACAAGAAAGATGGTACACAACCCTTTAGGTAATGACCTCTCACAATTAAAATAAACATGCACTAATAACATACTACATCAGCCACAATAGTGTCTTTAACCATTCTACCTCACTGAAAGGATAAAAAACAGCCAGCAGGGCATTACCAATTGCACAGAGTAATGGGTCAAGGGTAGATACCAACCAGAGCTGGGAAAACTGGATTAAAAAAAAAAGGAAATAGGGCGTGATATATTGGTGGTGGAGGAGTGGCAGGCTGCCAGGGAAGAGTGAGAGTTCACTGTGTGAGAGGGAGACCGGTAGTGTGAGCTGGTTATGGCTCCACCCAGGCAAGACTCAACCAGTTCATGAGCTGGTTCCTGTTTCTACCACCTCCCCTCACAAACCTGGTAACACCTACAATGTAAGTCATAGGCCACAGTCTTAAAAGGCCCCAACCCAACCCAACCCAACCCAACCTCACCTCACCACCTCAAACTGCAATCATTACCCCTAGTCATAAAATCCCCTAGCCTAACTATGAAGATAAGGATACATTAGCACTAGGACCATAATCCAGCCACTACCCTTCAACTCCCCCTTACATACAACCGACCAATCCACTGGCTTAAAATATTCATCATAACACCCAGCAGGAGTGATTAACCTAAGAAACAAGATATCTTGTGGTTTAGTATAACATAAATCTGAGAGGTTGTACCAACCAGTCACCTCTACCACACAACAGGTAAGCCCCATAACACAGTTACACAATTAAGTCCCACAACCACAGCTATGTACCACACTAAAAATAAGTTCCATACCCCAAGGTAAGTCCCACACTACAGCCAAGCATTACTAAAGGAAAAAGGTCTTCTCTGAACACACATGCTTAAAAAAAAAAATATTCTCCAATTACAAGACTCCCTTCTACCCCCATACATACATACATAGCCACCAAGGTGAGGGTGTCATGCAAAAGCCTTTCAGTACAAGAGGACGGTGGTGTGTTGCAAGTATGAAGCATGTTAGCCAAGGGGTCGTTGAGGATTACACACACACACCAAGAACATGACTTTGACAAATAACAAAAAAGAACAAGATTAACAGTACCCTTTTATAACCTGCCATATAAGGTTTTGTAATGTGTGTATTATGGGAGAGCCTTGACCCCAAGACTTATATACCATGTGTGGTTGTCGTCCTTATACTGCCTACTGTATTATCTTGGCCTGAACCAAGTAATGATATACCAGGAGAGTGTAATGATATACCAGGTGAGTGTAATGATATACCAGGTGAGTGTAATGATATACCAGGTGAGTGTAATGATATACCAGGTGAGTGTAATGATATACCAGGAGAGTGTAATGATATACCAGGAGAGTGTAATGATATACCAGGAGAGTGTAATGATATACCAGGTGAGTGTAATGATATACCAGGAGAGTGTAATGATATACCAGGTGAGTGTAATGATATACCAGGAGAGTGTAATGATATACCAGGAGAGTGTAATGATATACCAGGTGAGTGTAATGATATACCAGGAGAGTGTAATGATATACCAGGTGAGTGTAATGATATACCAGGAGAGTGTAATGATATACCAGGTGAGTGTAATGATATACCAGGTGAGTGTAATGATATACCAGGAGAGTGTAATGATATACCAGGAGAGTGTAATGATATACCAGGTGAGTGTAATGATATACCAGGTGAGTGTAATGATATACCAGGAGAGTGTAATGATATACCAGGTGAGTGTAATGATATACCAGGTGAGAGTGTAATGATATACCAGGAGAGTGTAATGATATACCAGGTGAGTGTAATGATATACCAGGTGTAATGATATACCAGGTGAGTGTAATGATATACCAGGAGAGTGTAATGATATACCAGGTGAGTGTAATGATATACCAGGTGAGTGTAATGATATACCAGGTGAGTGTAATGATATACTGAGTGTAATGATATACCAGGCCAGAGTGTAATGATATACCAGGAGTGTAATGATATACCAGGTGAGTGTAATGATATACCAGGCGAGTGTAATGATATACCAGGCGGTGTAATGATATACCAGTGCCAGGTGTGTAATGATATACCAGGTGAGTGTAATGATAACCAGGCAGTGTAATGATATACCAGGTGAGTGTAATGATATACCAGGTGAGTGTAATGATATACCAGGCGAGTGTAATGATATACCAGGTGAGTGTAATGATATACCAGGCGAGTGTAATGATATACCAGGCGAGTGTAATGATATACCAGGCGAGTGTAATGATATACCAGGCGAGTGTAATGATATACCAGGTGAGTGTAATGATATACCAGGTGAGTGTAATGATATACCAGGTGAGTGAAATGATATACCAGGTGAGTAATGATATACCAGGTGAGTGTAATGATATACCAGGTGAGTGTAATGATATACCAGGTGTGAGGGGTTTCTAACCACTTTAAATATAATGTTTGAGCTGAAGATCACAGGAAACAAAGATATTAGCCACCCCAGCTCAATAATTACCACCCTGAAGGTAATCCAACTTAATGTAACATAACCTAACCCCCAGATAATGTTAGGGTGTTTAATCATCAGGTAAATTAAGCTGGGAGGGGGAAGGGCTAATCTTAAGGTGATCTTGAATGAAGTTATCCCAAGTTGTAGTTCAGCATGGGGGGAGGGGTTCTGTATTTATGAGGAAACATTGATTGTGTACTCACCAAGAGGGAATGAGTTCCTGCTGCTGCTGGTACTACTGCTATTGCTGCTGCCACTAGTGGAGGAAGCAGCAGCGCCGCCGTCAGTAGCTGCCTCGGCCTCCTTGTTGTTGTGTTCGTCATCACTGGCCCCTTCCTGTAAGAAGATGCGGGTCAGCTGGTTCACCCACCAGTACCTGAATCTTGCACTAGTCTTCCCCCTGGCTGTCTGGTACTGGACGGGGCCTACACGGGGGCTCTTGGCCGGTCTGGTAGGTGAGGTGCTGACCGGACTGGTGGCCAGGCCGGTAGTGGTGACTGTACTACTGTTTCCGAGAACTTCAGGTTTGGGCAATATGGAATTAGTGGCAGCAGGGGCGAGGTTCGAGCCCCTGGAACGTTGACGAGACGTTGGCCGCCGTGAAGAACGTTTGACAGACGCGTGTTTGTGATAGCGGGCGGGATTATCTTGGTAGGGGTGTGTTGATGAGTGAGGCGAGCGGCGGCGACGACGCTGGTGGTGGGCTAATAACAGTCGGGCCAACAGCTGTGTGCGTAGTGAGGAAGATGACACGTGTTGCCTGCCTTGCCCTGTCAAACAAATGTGATGGAGCAGCGTAATGTAACGAGGCTGCATCCCACCCTTACCACCACTATTCATCACCGGATACTTCAAACCCATCACCGACACTGAGGTCAAATACTACATCAAGTCACCCAACGCAGATGATTGTGTACACCACTGGCGAACGATTTACTTGATCAAGGGTACGCTACACTTGACAAAACAATGCAATGGCGGGGAATGTTTGTGCCGTTAAATCATGTATCGTTGTCCACAGCCATGCAAAGAATAGTAATGGATAAATTAAATCACAGCGCCTCTAAGTTGATACACTACAATAATAAATGGCAGGTAGTGAAGTCACGTTACAGGTACAGCGAAGACGCAATATAGGCGCAGAGACGGTGCCGACACTCCTTCCCAAACTACTACCTTGACGCCACTGACCCTGGCAACTTGGCAGCTGCCTCGCTCCATCACACCGCTTCTCCTCCCTCCCTCCACCACCTGGCCCACACCACCACCACCATCAGGCCACACACCACCACAAGGCCACACACCGCCATCATCACATCTGGCCAACAAACAAGAAAACTTTACCAAGGTTAAAATACCCAGACAATGATTCCCTTCCACATTACTACCACAATTATCATCAGGATATATACTGTACAGTATACATACCCTCCCTCACTCTCATACATACATACATACATACATACATACACACACACACACACACACTCTCTCACCTTTCCAGTCATAATCAGATATTCTCAGACACATGGTGACGATGCATAACCCATTCTCAATCGGGTTAAAAAATCTTGATTCAGTGCCAACACAAACTCGAGGAGGCCTGACCACCAATGCTAACACACAGGGCTATATAATATATACGGTATTATATATAAGCGACGCCTTGTACCGACGCAATTCTTCGGTCTAGTATAAAAAAAAGGAAAAAAAAACATTCTCAAAAGTTCTTTAGACAGGTGCTTTCCCTAAGGTAGATAAATAAAGACAGATAGATGGATACAGATAGATATAGACATAGCTATAAACAGATGTAGCGTAAATAAAACTGCCTATTATGTAGCTTGAATATTAATTATTAAAGTTATTTTTGGTGTTTGAGCAGCAGCACCCTTACAACTTCTCTTGCGACACTGGAGTATACTAACACAAGGAAGACTAATAATGTTAACTGCCTTTGTGACCCTGCGCGCGTCTGTGCCAGTGTGGTAATCCTGGTGAAGGAGTCGACTAAACACAGAATGAACAAGTAGTTTAATGGAAATGAATCTACTCTCAAAACGTCACATGAGCTTCCGTATGTTCACACAGACGAATGAACTACGGGCTTATTTCATCCAATGCTTTCATCATTTAGGCTCCTAATTCTTCACAGCCATAACTGAATTACTCGACATCATAAACTCTAGTCACGTCTTAATGATAATACAGGTAATGGTAGGTCGTGTTATGGTACTATAAATATTGGTAATGTGTATAATTGATAGTACTGGTAACGGTAGATATATTAATGGATAATAGTGCAGATAAAGAGCCAACCGGGGAAGGGCAAAAACTGGGCTGGATGAATGAAATTAAAAGTTGTGGGGAATTTGAAAAGACTGTACCATTTGTTTAAGTGGAGGAACGTGGTCGCCCTCAGACATTATAACCTCATTGATTGGTAGATAGTGTGATATTAATGGTATTTTAAGCCCTTCCATGTTTTTTAATTCAAAGATAAAAATATCGACTTAATCTCTCAGGCTGTGTTGAGCGTATATCACAGTAACATGGACAGTGGGTGACGAACAGGAAATAAACCATCAGATCGGAAATGTTTTAAAAGGTCACATACTGAAGGCTGAACGTCGTGAACCCAGCCAACACTTCCAAGACGCTGTAATCACCAAGTGATAAAACACTATAGTAATCTCTCTCTTGCACCTTCTGGTATTATCCAGTTAATTTTCTACTAAAACTGGATTTGCCGATCATGAATACAGGCAAATCTGACTCCCCCCCTCACATCTATACAGTATGTCTAATCCACAATTATTAAGAACAAATAATAATTTTATAGATCTTTAGAAAATCTAAGACATGATTTCAGGCATGCCTATCCATATACGTATTATTGAGAAAGGAGTTTTAAAATAGCTAAAACAACTATACATACAGTTAAAGACCGCAATGACACCAGGATAAATAGTGTGTGGATCTTGAACATGACTGCCTGTGTGTTTGTGTCTGATAACGTCAACAACAATACTTCAGAAAGCTCTTGTTAATACGCATGCGCTCAACAAGTCTAGTTTGTGAGGGACATGGGAGGTTAAGTTGGATAAGTTTAGGTTTAGGAGGGAGATAGGAAGGAACTGGTTCACAAATAGGGTGGAGGGCGAGTGGAACAAGCTCAGCAACTTTGTAGTAAGTGCTGGAACGCTGGAGAGTTTTAAAAGGAGGCTGGATAGATTCATGGATGATAGAGAGTGGTAGTAACTCTCGACAGGAGCTGCCATGCACAGGCCAACCGGCCTATTGCAGACTCCTTATTTTCTTATGTTCTTAAGACAGCCAAACAGGAAAGCGTCCACCACCGCAGATGCGCGTGACCTTGCATCGTGTTACGACACACACACAAGCATGAAAATTGCCACAGTTCACAAACACATAACACAAACTGTACACGTGTACATACAGACATAATACACAGGCATGAAAATTACAACCATCTTCGATTTTCATATAGCAAAAATAAATTACATGTCGCATTAGAAGTATAAGGGATAAATATAAGTTAATATCATGGCGAAGTATATGGTAGGATTCCCTTCAGAGGCATCAAAACGTATTATGTAAACAAATCATCTGAAAAGTCAACTAATCCGCTTAAATCGGAAAGTTTAATGAACGCATACTGGATCAATCCGCCCGGTAGCCCGCCCGCCCGCCCGCCCCGCCGACTCACTGAACTGAATCCTCCCAGACCAGCCTATTACTGGCAAATTCACGACTTTTTGTGGGCCAAATCTCCCCTTTGACTGGGTGAATGAGAGACTTATCTGTCTACGGGAGTCTCGGTGCAATATAGATGCAATTTTAGTTATTTTACTCGCAACGTAGATTGTGACTAAATTGGGACGAGTTTTTTCTTCACCTACGTCGTATACAAATAGAGAGAGAAAGATCCGGATATAACCTGTTTCTCGGCCTAACAGACGACATGTGTTAAATACGTAAACACATGTGAAATTTAATGACCATGTGCTAGTACTGTTTGATAGGTGTATGTAAAATGTGATGCATGTACAAGTATATGCATTACAATGTGTTTAATGTATAAGCGTATGTACATGTAGACATACATACAGCATACTTGTATATAACAAGAACATTATAGAAAGTGAGACTCAAACTACTTGACTTGATAGGACCATGGAACTACGAATTGACCTGATAAGACCACTGACCATGACTACATAAAAAAAGGCGAGAGGCGGCGGCGGCCAGGGAGTGTGTGGGGGCGGAGTCAATGGCTTACCCTACCGGCTGTAACTGGTTCCACCTGGTCCTGGTAGTATACAGCATTACCTCGCTCTCACGACCACAAACACTCTACCTCCTCACCAGTAAAACCTGTCCCGCCAATTTAACCTTGTCAAGCGAGGATCAAGGATCGTTCACGTCACTTTAGAGGGGTTATGTATCTACCCAGTGCTTGTCTCGTAGTCTCAAGATGAGCAGGGTGTGAGGCAGAAGGGAAAGGGGGGGAAGGGGGGGGTACTTTGTAATCTTTACTGTGCTCGAGTGTGTACTTTATCTAATGGGATATATATATATATATATATATATATATATATATACATATATTGATAAAATCACACGGGAAAAGGGAAACAACGGGGCACCTTAGCTTTCGTCTTTATTCAAGACATCTTCAGAGGCAACTGGATTACATGGACAGAGAGAGGCTTAAATATACAGGGTGACCTTAAAAACATCCACTGTGTTGCACTCACCCGCACAAAAATTACGACCGTAAGTGCATTACACTAAACCTTCATAATAATGTTTTACTGATGTAGCACTATATTATTATTATTGGTGTTGAGTTCTTTTAAGTTACAGGTTAAACCATGTAAGCGCCAAAATGACCTGACCCAACCTAATCTGACCTTTAGCACTAGTCACACTCATTGTGGTAACCTACCGACCACTTGGACCCAAAAACCGTCAAGCAAGACTTACTCAAATCGATTCCCGGACACGCCAGCCCATGGCATATCGTATCTCCCACAATCACTCAATCACGTCTAACCCGCACTACTAACACAAACTCTCTGAATATATTTTTTCCACTGCCATTATCTTATATCATGTTAGAATCAATTATCATATAGTTAGTTTAGGTCAGTGGGTTTAATTCAGGGTAATGGTGTGTTTCTTCAGAATTCTTACCAAGGTAATTGTTCTATTTACAGACTAAACAAGGTGCATGACAAGTTAAATTAACTCATAACCACCAAGATGGCAAAATATAAGAGATGATGATTACTTTGGTGAATCTCTATATTATATAAGGGTAGAGAGGCTGACACTAGACTGTGCACTGAATGGTTATTCTAATGCACTGCACTCTAAAAATAAACTTGATGTATTGTGCACTGAATGGCAAACACCATGTACAAGTATTTTGCACTGAATGGTAAAAATCATGTACTGAGCACTGAATGATAAACAACATGTACTGTGCACTGAATGGTAAACATGTACTGTGCACTGAATGGTAAACAACATGTACTGTGCACTGAATGGTAAACAACATGTACTGTGCACTGAATGGTAAACAACATGTACTGTGCACTGAATGGTAAACAACATGTACTGTGCACTGAATGGTAAACAACATGTACTGTGCACTGAATGGTTAACTTCAATTACATATGGCTATTTTTATATAAATTTAAAACCATCAGACCACGTGAACATTAGCCCCCAGCTTCTTTCACCTGAAGATTAAGCACACTATTTGGTTACCATTAGGGTAGTTAATCTTCAGGTGATATAAGAAGGGGTGCATTAATCTTCAGGTGAAACAGCCTCAGCCTTGCTCTCAACCCTGACAACAAACACACAACACTAACTTTGTCACCACTCTTCTTTTAGACATGACATCAAAATCACAACAACACAGTACAGTACTTACTCTGAATTTACTGCGGTCCATCGTTGTTTCTGTAGTGGCACCTGCACAGATACAAAACTTTTGTCATCATTCCTTGTACATAATGGTTTGGCTAATGTTACTAAAAATACATGCAATTATACTATAATGACATATTGTACTGTATAATCCAACACTTATATACAGTACAGTACTACAGTATACATGACACCACAATTTTCACTCATTATAGATAAAAACACTATCACTCTCTCACTCTGTG